AACTTTACTTTTGTTGTTACAAATATATATATATATATATATATATATATATATATATATATATATATATATATATATATATATATATATATATATATATATATATATATATATATAACATGATGCATTTAAATCGTAAAGGCTAAGGGCTATTCCTTCTTTAAGAATCTACCAATTTTAAGATAGTTTATAATACATCTTTAGAATAATAATTCTTTACATTAAATAATTCTCTCTTTCTCTCTCTCTTGTGTTTGCAAATTTACTAAAAGAAAATGTTCTTCATCTTCAATTTGAATTAGTGTACAAAGGATGACTGCACTTAAGGACATGCCAAAACTGCGACAAAATAAACTTTCAAAACAAACATTTTTCTTTTAATTGCAGAAACGGTCAACATCTAATCTACAACTTTATGTAATCATATTAAATAAAAGTATGTATTTACGAAGTACGAAGCTGTTTTCAAAGGCGGGGGTCATCACAATTTCTTGAATCTCCATACGATAATGAGGACGCCCACTTTTCACTGACTTTATACATAGTCAGCGCATGTTTGTCTATTGTTCTCCGTTTAATAGTTGTATATTTGCATTAATAATGATGTGTCAAAGTTAGATTAATAGACAAACATGCGCTCATAGTTTAAAAGAGAAAAAAACTGTTTCTTCTTACATTCGCCCTCTCTGTTGTAACCTAGGGTAATGGCATGTGGAATATTATAATTCCCCACGTGATTTCTTAACTTAGGTAACTCTGTGAATACTAAATTCCGTCACGTGACTTGTAAGGTAGCATGTTTTGTGCTAACTAGGACACTGTGTTCGAACACGTTGAATTGTCAGGCATCGATTCAAAGTATTCTTTCCTTACATGGACGTGCTGATATTGTTAATTTCGTTTTGAAACCTTAGTAATAATAGTGTAGTTGTGGCATACAGAATAAAGGGGAGATGGGAAAAAATAATCTCGTATTTTTTATACATGTTATTGTTATTTATCTAGTCTAATTTTAGAGCCATTCTTACAATGTTAGCTCCACCCCTCATGCATACCTAATGTTTAATCAAGGGCAGGTAAGTGTAAATTCTCTATACTTGGAAAACAGTAAGGACAAAAAACATAGAATTATTTTATTGTATCACAGTCTAAAATCATTTTAACATTTAAATTTTGGTTCCAAATTGACAGAATTCTTAAGTAAATATACAAGAGGCCCAAGGGCCTTAACGGTCATCTGAGTATAATACAACAATTTAGAGGATCCATAGAGTATAAAATGAACTGAAAGGTGAAACTTTGTTGCCCAAGAGCAAGAAAAATAGGGTGATCAGGATCAACAAAATAATTAGTCTAGTGTTCATTAACAGTACATAAATTAGGTTCTAATCTGTTCCCCATTTATCATTCTCACCAGACAGTATATAAACAAACTTATAATCAGTGCTTCTGTACTCTTTTAATTCCTTGTTGAAATCTCTTACATTGGCCTCTCCTGGTCTTTGATGAACATTTAATAGGACAAGTTATTTTTGTCTCATTTTTATTTATCTATTACTTACAAGTCTACTTGATCATTAAAACTATGAGAGTACTTTTTGTATTATACAATAAAAATTCTTGCATAATTCTCTTATTCTATTAACTTTTCAAGTACATTATTTACAGTGATTAATTATCACAAGTAAATGGCAAAGGGGAATAACTCCTCTCCTTAGAATACAAATTAATAGAGCCCTGGCCTGGACCAGAACACTTGACCAAATGGTTCTGATGTTCAAAAATCTGGTAAAAATACCCTTCCTTATTAAAACTTTTACTCTTTTTGCCTCTGATATGCCCAGGTGCAGAGAAGATTTTTAAAGCATTAATGCATTTTCACTATATAATAAATAGAGCCCTGCCCTAACAGCAGAACCTCTGATCCAGGGGTCATGAAATTCACAATTTTGGAAGAGACATCCTTGCTTATCATAACCATGAGAAGATTTTCAAAGAAATAATGCACTTTCACTATATGATCTACATATGTATATAGCCCCGCCCTAGCACCAGAACCCCTGACCCTGGGGCTATGAATTTCACAATTTTGGTAGAGTCACCCTTGCTTATCATAACTATGTATTCAATTTGTTTGAATAATACCCAGGAGTAGAGAAGAAGATTTTCAAAGAAATAATGCACTTTCATTATATGATCTATATAGCCCCACCCTAGCACCAGAACCCCTGACCCTGGGGCCATGAATTTCACAATTTTGGTAAAGTCACTCTTGCTTATCATTACTATATATTTAATTTGTTTAAATAATACCCAGGAGTAGAAAAGAAGATTTTCAAGGAAATAATGCACTTTCACTATATGATCTATACAGCCCCGCCCTAGCACCAGAACCCCTGACCCTGGGGCTATGAATTTCACAATTTTGGCAGAGTCACTCTTGCTTATCATAACTATGTATTCAATTTGTTTCCATAATACTCAGGAGTAGAGAAAAAGATTTTCAAAGAAATAATGCACTTTCACTATATGATCTATAAAGCCCCGCCCTAGCACCAGAACCCCTGACCCTGGGGCTGTGATTTCACAATTTTGGCAGAGTCACTCTTGCTTATCATAACTATGTATTCAATTTGTTTCCATAATACTCAGGAGTAGAGAAAAAGATTTTCAAAGAAATAATGCACTTTCACTATATGATCTACATATGTATATAGCCCCGCCCTAGCACCAGAACCCCTGACCCTGGGGTCATGAATTTCACAATTTTGGAAGAGTCACCCTTGCTTATCATAACTATGTATTCAATTTGTTTGAATAATACCCAGGAGTAGAGAAGAAGATTTTCAAAGAAATAATGCACTTTCACTATATGATCTATATAGCCCCACCCTAGCACCAGAACCCCTGACCCTGGGGCCATGAATTTCAAAATTTTGGTAGAGGGCTCAATGCTTATTACAATCATGCCAACAGTTTGACTACTTGATGTCCAGGAGTAAAGAAGAAGATTTTTAAAGATTGCATTAATTTTGATGGTTTTGGCCCCACCCCTCAGGCCCCAGGGGGGCAGGGGCCACGAATTTCACATTTTTGTTCCCCTTCACCCATAGATGCTATATGCCAAAATTGGTTGAAATTGGTTTGCTGGTTCCAGAGAAGAAGCTGAAAATGTTCAAAAGTTTACGACCGACGCACGACGACGGACAAAGAGATAGCAATAGGTCACCTGAGTGACTCAGGTGACCTAACAAAAGTGAAATAAGGTTAAGATATAAAAACAACAGAAGCGACGAAAAAAGACCCAAAACCCAGCGTTAAGTGCACATTCTTTGTGTCCTAGGTATGTTATTATTTATATCTGTCCATTTCTTTGAAGAGTATGTGTACAAATATCTGGTCTACAGATTGAATTTCTATATTAATGTTTTAATATACAGTAGTTAGATATCTTCCTAGTCTGAAGTTGGTCTTCAAAAATAAAAACAAGAGACAAGGTTACCACCTTTTAGTGTTTCATTTGAGTACATGTACTTCCAATCCATTGAGTATTTTTGACCAGGCCCCACAGCTCGAGAACAGATTTAAGTCAAAATTTCAAATGAATATAGCTTCTAAAACAATTTTGATAATCACATTTTGATAATTAAAAATAAAATTTTCATCATGTGTTTATACCATGTATTTGAATTTCTTTCAAACACACATTTTTGAAACACAAATGTGAAATTAAAAAAAAAAACATACTCAAACCATTCTCAGTTTATGGCCACGGGGCCAGACATTGTTTTGAGAGAGATTAAATGACAAAGTGTTTCGAATATCAAAAAACTTGTCAATACATTTTCTTCGGAGGAATACCAGGGTGTTTTTTTTTTTTTTGGGGGGGGGGGGGGGTTAAAGTTTACACGTGTAAAAAAAGAGTTAGTTTGTCGACAGGGGCGGATCCAGGACTTTTACCAAAGAGATGGGGGTAACTTAACTGAAACAAATGTCAGGCTCGGAAAAAAAACACAAAAAATTGCCCAATCCTAATGGAGATCCCAGGTCATTTTTTCCTTACTTTTACATAGAAATTTCATAACTCTGAACAAAACCCCCAGATCCCTCTCTAGATCCGCCCATGGTCAAACAACTGACACGAAATGATAAAAGTATAGAAAATCATTAACGTATCTGTGTAGCCATGCAGTGGTAGAAAAAATTCAAGACAGGTCTGGCAGGTTTCGATTTTCTATAATGAAATATGGAGATAACGAACAGTATTCAAGCTCAAAGTCCATTAAAACAATACAAATCGGGAGCAGAGCAAACACGGGCCTCCAAAACATCAGAGGTGGGATCAGGTGCCATGGAGGAGTGAGCATCCCTTGCCGACCGGTCACACCCGCCGTGTGCTCCTTGTCATGATTGGGAAATAACGGGAAAATCCGTCGACAATTCCGTGTGCAAATAAAGGCCTAATGATGACTTTAGACTGTTGATATTCTTGTTTCATCAACTTGTCTGTCAATAACTTACCTCGTTTTAAAAATTGTTCATACGTAGAGCATGCTTTTGCGTATCGAATCAACTGAGAGATACACACCCCATATGCCGGTGATAAAGGTGTATTGCTGCATAAGTAAGGAAAGTCGAAATTTATAAAAAGAAATTGATAAACAACGAACCTGATTAATCATGATTTCACTTACTGAAAGAAAGTGAAATATAAGATACATTTTAAAGTCATGTGACAGACTGTTCAAGTGTCTACAGCTGTATGCATGTACACTGTAAATAACATACAACATTTACACCTACTCTTTCATACCACAAAATCGCATACACTGAAATTGTGCAATTAACATTTATTTTTATAATTAATGAACACAGTTCTGGTTCTGTATCACAGGTAAACGATCAACTTTTTTTGTTTACAAATCAGAATTAAGATTTTAGAGGGTCCGGATTGCATCTATTATATACCAAATTTAACCAATCACAATCTGCCAATATACTCTATTTCTCTAACTGACTGGCTACTCTTTGTGGTGCAATTTTCCATGCATTTCAATTAGCCCATTGTTGAGGTTCAGTTGCATTGGCATATGCCTATCTTTATAAATACCGTACATGTTTGAAGAAATTTATATATAAACCAACTGAACTCATTGTTTATTTTTTTTTCTATGTATACATAGACATCACTTGTTTCAGAGTATGTATTCCAATGTTTGCACCACATGCAACTACAACAACACGTTTCCCCGAAAATCTTCCAGGATTCTTCATAAAAGCACCCAGAGTCATACCAGCTGCCCCCTCAATCACCTGTACAGCGAGTCAATAAATTACATAAATGTATTTTTAAAAAAATACGTGAACTGCCCATTAAAAATTATGCTACAAAAGTTCAAAACTGTAATGTCATCAGCTTAATTGTGTTCATGTGTAATGTTTAATGATTGAAAAGAGTTGACTGAGCACACTATACGACCTTTTGATGATTCTGTAACATGTACACAATGGCTTTCCCAATTTCCTCCTCCGTGACCATTATCCAATCATCAACATATTGAGCACACAGTGGGAATGTTATCTGAAAATAAAGAAATGGAGCTAAAACCAAACAAAAAATCATAATTATAATTGTGGATAAAAAAAAAATACAAAATATTTACATAAAATGGCTTAAAACATTTTTGTGGCTTTACTTTTTGTTAAACCTGGTCCGGTCAATTTCTTATTGTCCTGCACTCCGTCCAATAAGGTGCCTAATAAGATTCAACTTATTGGACAGCTACAGGTAACATTGAAACGAAAACAAAGGGCAACGCTGATTAGATAAACAGCACTGAAAAAGCTTTAATAAATCGGACAATCTAATATTGTAAATTATAAATATTTCACAAGATAATCCTATTGGAATTTGCATGTATACTCAGTAATCCACAGTGAAACTGAATGTAGAGGAATCCGTGGCACCAATCTTAAATTTCACTAATTCACCATTCATTTCAAATTTCACATTCACACAGAATCTTGTGAACACAAAAGAAGAATCAAATGCATGTGTTTCCTTCCACCCATCCTTGGGCTTTTTTCCTGCCTTAACCTGTATTTCCGTTAGATGTGATCATTTGCCCTTCTAGTTCCGCGTTGTTTGAGCGATTGTCTGTCGTTGCTTTTAATGAGAGGCTGGAGCAAAATCCTTCAAAAAACCTGCGCAGAATCGAGAAACTGTTTGTTGCAGATTAAAAAAAACACTGGAAATAACCTTCCAATTTCACTCTAGAAAAAAAAAATCAAGCTTCAAGAGTGGTTGGAGTAAAATGCTTCAAATCCTGTTGTTTTGCAGTAAACTCCGAAATATAAGGATATCTCCGGATTTCACGGTAGAAAACTTCAGCTTGCATTTTGATGTTCTTCATGACTTTGATTAGAATACCTAATCTGAAGAAGTGTTGTTTTAAAACGTCCTCATCCGTATAGTGTTGCGTTGTAAAATGAATAAATTGTCAAGCTAACTTTTACGCATGCGTAGTAAAATGTCATGCGGATAAATAAGACTAAATAAAGTTAATGTTCATATATTTCCATTTCTATTTGTTTTCTCTGTGATAACTCTTTGAAAGTTAGGAGAGTTGATTTCTTCATCATTCTAAAGGAATGCAAATTTTGCCAAGCGAAAGGTCAGTCCTAATATGCATGTAATTCTCGTGCGGCTGTCTTTGTGTTTGACGTCAGTGGGCGGGGACTATTGAAATTGACATGTGAGGCCTCGTGTAATTTAAATCTATTAGTCTACATTTTTGAAATCTAAATTTACATTTTTATTTCAAAATGAAATGGAAATATAAGGAATCACTGTCTAGTTAGTAGAGTATGCCAGGGACATCAACGATAGTTGGAAACGTGGGATAATTTATGCATAACGGGCTTCGCCCGTTATGCAAATTATCCCACGTTTCCAACTATCGTTGATGCCCTGGCATACTCTACTAACTAGACAGTGATTCCTTAAATTTATATAAAACATTGACTAGATGATTCTTACTAATGAAAATTCAAAAACTTGTTTTCTTTGGCTTAACTTAATGGACAGTGCCAGATAAAGTCACAAAAGCAGATCGAGACCAGTATATCTGCAGGTGTCCAATAAGTTAACAATGGGAGTGTTCGTCATTAGTGAAATGTTTTAAGTATAAGTTATAAGCCTCAATCTGACCATTATGCCAGATATTAGACTCTCCTCGGTGCTAACGCGCCTTGAACCGTCTAATATCTGACATAATGGACAGTTTTCGTATTATATGTCTAAATTAATATATTTTACAATGATAATCTGTTTAACAATTTAGATAATTTTAAAAGTATTATGTGATTAAAGAATATAAATCTGTAAGAATTGCTTCACTTTATTGAATACAAGTGTCACAAATGTGCATGCAAGTGTTCGTAATCAAAAGACACACAACTGGGTAGTGCTCGTGCGTTTAGAATCACAGTAAATAACCATTGTTCAATGCTTATAATTTTATAACGAAACCCTACCGAGTTTTCTTCCACTCCCCCTGCCGTGCCCTCAGACAGAGTGTCCATTGATTCCTCGAACACGATCCTCCCTGCTTTCACACTCTCGTACATAACCTTGGAGTTCTGTGGCTGGCAACCGATGATCTGTATGACCCCAAATTTTTTTTAAATCAAGAAAGGACAAACAATAAGAAATATAAATGATTAAAAACTAATTAAATAATATGTACAATTTATTAATACCTCCACAGATGGCTTGACCTGCTTGATGTACCTGGCTATTCCACCTATCAATCCCCCTCCCCCGACTGGGACCAAAACGCTGTCCACATCAGGGAAGTCCTCCAGAATCTCTATTCTGCAAGTAACCGTGAATTCTAACTAACGAAAGGTTCAACATACAAATGTTCGATGATAAGATGGTAAACTCTACCTACAACTCACCCAATAGTTCCTTGCCCTGCAACGATGTCAAGGTCATTGTATGGAGAGACATATTCTGTATCTTGCCTCTGGATGGAAGAAAAAAACATATATATCAATAATACCCCCCCCCCCCAATTCTCAGAAATACTAAGTATGGTTGTATGTTGTATACATTTATATTCTACTTCAATTCAATAATTCTAAAAAAAAAAAGTGATTACTTTTGCGCTAGATCTAGCCTCGTTTTCGGCTTCCACACAATCATTCCCGTGCAGCACGACACGCACTCCTCTGTCTAGTAAAGCGGTCTTCTTGTGTTCACTAACATCCTTATAGCAGTATACGGTCACTGGAATCCCCAATTTCATCCCCGCCTCAACCTTTTAATATAATTTACTTCGACGCTCATTTTTGCTACTGAACCAAGGGTTATACGATTCGCTCCTCTCCATGAAAATGAGAGGAGCAGCGGATCGTAACCCTTGGCTATAGCTGTAGCAAAGATGTTTAAATTCAAGTTGTTTAACATCACTTCCAGTGTATTAAACGCATAGTATTATAACGCAAACTTCAAATTCGTATTAAATGCCCAACCGATGATATAACTTTTGACAGACAATACGGCAATGCAAAACATCTAATAATATATAATTATAATCATGATAAAATTTGCAGTCTACAATAGTTTTCAAAGGGTCAGCAAGCCTCTTTATATTACAAATGACTTTGAGGAGGTGAGCAAATCCCAATTAATTAAAGAAATTAGAAACTTAGCTTGGTCATCTGTCCTTTCAAGTAGGTTAAATCAGAGACATCGACTTTTTGTGTCTCTGGTGAGACGCAGAAGATTAAATTACTTTTTAAACCTTTTATTTTCAAATTAATAAGATGTTGAGTGAGAAAATTAATTTGGAAGGTTGTATATATTCAAAACTAAACTTAACTCAAGGAAATTGCCAGTAAAATTAAAAAAAAAAGTAGATTTCAAGAGAGAAGGGTCTCGGATTCGGACCATTAGATAGAACGTTCTATCGTTAAAATGATATTGTCCTATTGTCCTACGGACCCGGTGGTGAGGGCTTGTCCCGAGACACAGTTAGATTATTCTAACTATCGGACCATGAACTCAGATCAGCTAATTAAAATACATCTATTTAATATGGTGTACGTAGCATTTTAACCCCTCACTCCCTTGTGCTGTTGCCCGCCTAGAATGAATCACTTTCTTGCCATAACGACGAGGAGACGAGGGGCTGAGTATAGAGCCCTATCACAGTGCTAGATAATGTTCTGTTCACTACTAAATAATTACACAGGCCATTCCATGATTTCCAGAGGATGCTGTGATTATTCCCCTTTCCTTTATTACGTCACCATCAGACGACATCTTCAACAACTTGTTGAAAGCACCACGTACTTTGAATGACCCCGTTAACTGTTCGTTTTCTGAAAGAATTTAAAAAGGAAGAAGAACATTAAAGATGTAATTATAAACACAAATTAAAATAAAAAGTCTGATGTGAATATTAGCTAGCTTTACCATCGATTGATTTGTAAATATATATCACAGGCACTTTTTTTTCGTATGTACGGGGCATCCCTACTTATTTTTACCACAAATAAGTCAGTAGGGGTGCCCCATTTACAAAAAAGTGCCTGTGATAAATTGTATTTTAAAATTCGTGTGAAAGATAGTTAATAGTCATGTGAATTCGAGAATGATCATATATGTAGGGGTATTTGTTTTAAAACCTATTCATCTAAGCGATTTTATTTTATACATTTATCCAATCTACCAGATAAATTACTGAAAATATGTTACACTGGCGCTCCATAGTTCAAAATAACACAGCTATAGACGGCTTAGTTTGTACGTAACCTTTCCCTGACTTAAGTATGTCATTTTTTTAGCTTAAGCCTCTCATAAAGTCTTACTTGTTAGTACGTACCAAGTTTAATTTTTACTTTGCAATCACTAGCTAATTTGCTGAGTGGGTTTGAAAACATCAGGGGTGTTTTGTAAACATATTGCTTGATCCGCCAATGTGCTTCCAACGTTTTCTGTACCAGATCCTCCATCGTCTTCACTAAAAACGTGAGCAAAGAGCGCTTTGACAATATGCGATAAATATTTGAATAATATATATAAGTAGTTTGAATTTGCTTTACACACTCATGCATTACTCACCTTTAAAGAATTTTATCTGTGCTGGCTGCTACACTTTGGACTTTGAAAAGGGTGGTCGAGTTCCAAAAAAAAAAAATGAAATTAAAATCAAATGTACGTTCTCTTTTGTTCGTATTTCGAATTTCCACAATCCAGGAAAAATCCGGCACTTCAACTAAGGGGCAAAGCTGGTGCATAAAATGTCGTCTACAGGTCAATACCCAAGTTGTAATCCCGTATTTTGTTACATACTAAAACTGAGCATTTTTAATTTTAAAATTGCATAAAACAATCGTTTCGCTAAAGAAAACAATTCAACTTTCCTAAATGCCCCGCGTCTCTCTGATTTTTTTTTCTTTTAAAAATATTTAATATTCATACTGTTTTGTTTTTTTTAGCTAAAAGAAATCATGTAAAGTACGTATGTATGTACGTCGTACGGTATATTACTTACGGTAGATTATCTAGTTCCAAGTCCGTGCATTTCCTACAGTTTAATTTCATTTTGTAATCTTCAAGCACAAAACATTTAATATACACACACCAGAACTGAATGAAAATGTTAATCAATAATTTTTTTTATGAACCATATACACATATATTGTATGTCGACGCATCAAGTGACAATTAAGCATTTTCAGTGAGGAGTGCCCAGCTCATTAATCAATACAGTGCATCTGTTTTACATTTTCAAGAGGAAAGAGTACAAGTATTTAGTACAATGAATAGAAGATTTAACAAATACATCATCACAGTACTCGTGGACAGGACACCCCCCCCCCCCCCAGCAACCCATTTTATACAACCCAACCCATATATATGGGAATTTTTTTTAAAATTTCTCTTTACATAAATTATTCTTGCAACAAACATTTATGAACACGTACCTGTTCAAAAATGAAAAAAAAAGTTGAATAAACGGTTCATCGACAAATTACGGAAGCCGGTTGGTGCCAGGTAGAAAAAATATTTTATTTGGCGACCGCCAGATAAGTTTCTGGCGGCCGCCAGATAATTATTTGGCGGCCGCCAAAAACTTATCAGGCGGCCGCCAGATAACTTTCTGGCGGCTGCCAGATAAGTTATCTGGCGGCCGCCAGAAAGTTATCTGGCGGCCGCCAAATATTTATCTGGCGGCCGCCAGAAACTTATCAGGCGGCCGCCAGAAATTATGTGGCGGCCGCCAGATAACTTTCTGGCGGCTGCCAGATAAGTTATCTGGTGGCCGCCAGAAAGTTATTTGGCGGCCACCAGATAAGTTTCTGGCGGCCGCCAGAAACTTATCTGGCGGCTGCCAGATAAAATATTTTTCTACCTGGCACCTACCGGCTTCCGTAACAAATCCTGTTCACGGAATCATAAAAATGATACGCGAACTCGATAAAAACGTTTATCAGGCTCCCGTAGGAAGCAAATTCAGTTGAGGGGGGGGGGGCACAGTCATACATTTTCAGTTGACAGTTGAGGGGGCACTACCAAAAAAAAAAAAATATTTTCACAAGCAAACAATGAGGTTTTATATACAGGGAGGAGGTTCCAAGTACACTATAATAGTGTTGTTGTTTTTTTTTTTTTTTTTTTTTTTTTTTTGTTTTGTTTTTTTAAGTGCTTTGTTTCTGAATTTCAGGTTTCCATATTTTATTTCTCATCTAAACTGTGCAAATAATCGTTCAACCTGCAACCAAATTTATAATTGTTTTTCAATTTATAATATTAGTAGACCTAGGTTTTCTTTTGTTTTAGTTTTTGTTTTTCATATTTCAAATGTAAATCTCCCTTATGACTTCAAACTCATCAAATTTCATTAAAAAAAGGTTATATCTCAATTCATCAAGTCAAAGTAATACATGTAATTGTCCAATAATGTTCTTGTGACACTAAATCATAAAACCACATAGCAATTTTAATAACATTGCATTCATGAGACCCATGGGCCACAATGCTCACCTGAGTCAACATGACTCTACTGTTCTTCATCAGCAGATTTTTTTTCTACTACAGTAACTGTATGTGTACTTAAAAAAGCGAGCTTTATATTTTAGCGGCTTTGGTGCGGACAACGATGCCCTAGCTAACTCATGAATACCGCTAAAAAATCGTTTGTTACTACTATACATGGCAGGACATTTGTAGCGCTAATTCATGATTTTGCCAACAACTCCACACCCAGTGATTGCGCTAAATTTTGAATACGCCAATTTATGTACACATACAATATATATTCCTATGTAAAACTTTGATCACCCATTGTGGCCCCAACCTATCCCCAATGGGGTCACGATTTGACCAAACCTGAATCTACACTTCCATAAGATGCTCCATATCAATGACTAACCATGGCATTGCTGTTCTTAAGAAGGAGATTTTTAAACTATACAGTGTGTATATATTCCTCTGAGAAAGTTTTATCCCCATTGTAGCCCTACCCTACTCCTGGAGGTCATGACTTGAACAATCTTGAATCTAATTATACTACCTGAGGATGCTTCCATATCAATATGACTAATCATTGTTTTGCTGTTCTTGAGAAGATTTTTTTTAAAGATTTTCCCCCATTTAATCCTATGTAAAACTTTGATCCCCCATTGTGACCCCACTACCCTTCAGGGGTCATGATTTGGAAAAACTGAGTCTACACCAGCTAAGGATGCTTCCATATCAATAAAACTAATCATGGCATTACTTTTCTTGAGAAGATTTTTAAACTATATATTATTATGTAAAAGTTTGATCTCCCACTGTGGCCTACCCAACCCCAAGGGGTCATGATCTGAACAAAATTGAATCTACAGTACGTACGTGAGGATGCTTCCCTATCAATAAGACTATTCATAGCATTGCTGTTCTTGAGAAGAAGATTTTTGAAGATTGTTTCCTATATATTCCTATATAAAAATTGATCCCCCATTGTGGCCCCACCCTACCCCGGGGGTCATGATTTGTACAATCTTGAATCTACATCATATAAAGAAGCTTTCACATAAGTTTCAACTTTTTTTTAGCCCAGTGGTTCTTGAGAAGAAGATTTTTAAAAGATGCCACCAAATTTTCACTAATTCTTAATTATTTCCCCTTGAAAGAGAGTGTGGCCCTTCATTTGAACATACTTGAATCCTCCTCACCTGAGGAAGCTTTGTAGCAAGTTTGGTTGAAGTTAGTTTCTGGATAAGAAGTTGAAAATGTGAAAAGTTTAGAGACAGATGGCAGACAAAATGTGATCAGAAAAGCTCACTTTAGTTTTCAGTTCATGTGAGCTAAAAATATGTAGCACAAAAAATTTAAACCACTCCAGACTGTAACAGGTGTTACATGTAAATCCCCTCAATCTCCAATCTTTAGGTCATCTGAGCCACGTTTGTCATCTGTCAATCTGTTGACTTTGGTTATTTTTTTGTTTATAAAAAAAAAAATCAAATTGAGTGCACCATTCTCAACCTTGTTAGTTCACAAAGGAATGACTATGCCCCTTGTAAAGGGAGATAATTATATTGCTGAGTTAACATTGGGTCCTATGAAGTCTTTTTTTAAAAGAAACTTTTGGTGTATATATATATATATATATATATATATATATATATATATATATATATATATATATATATATATATGCTTTACTTATTTTTTAAAATTTAAAAAAGTGGGTACATGTAGTGATTGTTTGGGACAATCATGATTTAAGACTTTCAGTATTTTATGAATTAAAATTATTAAAAAATAAAATTTTGGTGGTGTTTATGAATTGGTGCTCTACCAACAGCATTTCTCTTTTCCTTTTCCTACATATTCACTTAAAGGTGCTTAGACACAGATTTTAAGTTAATATTTACTCAAATTTTCTGTATAATTTTATAACTTATATGTTGCTATAGCATTTCATACGAAAATTTGATAAAAATCTTATTTTGTCTGGAAGTTATTGAAACTTCGAATTTCTGGACGTGTTTGATAGACACATCCTTGCACTTTCATAAATTTTTACTTTATCCTTATTACTTTAGAAAAGTAGCAATTTTGTTGTTTATTAATGAAAAATGTTAAAACTTTAATGCAGAAATTTCAGAGTAGAAATGTAGAAAGCAAAATCTTCTCACCAGTATTGCCAGTCCATGCTCAGTGGTGTGTGCAGAGTTTAACAATTGAACACGCCCGGTGAAACGTAAACATTAACAACAACAGAGCTCGTGCCCTATTTACAAAAACAGTTTACGTTTCACAGGTGTATTCAATTTGTTAAACTCTGTACACAACTACACAACACTGAGCACTGGATGACAATACTTAAGTTAGTAGGTTTTGCTTTCGCACATTTTTACTCTGAATTTTCTGGATTATAGATCTAATATTATTCATTAATACACAACAAAATTGCTACTTTTCTTAAGTATTAAGGATAAAGTTAAAAATTGTGAAAGTGCAAGGATGTGTAAATCAAATGCCTCTCGAAATTCGTAGCTTCAATAATTTCCAGATTAGATAAGTTTTTAATTTTATTTTCGTGTGAAATGCTATAGCAACATATAAGTTGTGATATTATACAGAAAATTTGAAAAAATATAAACTTTAAATCTGTGTCTATGCACCTTTAAATGATTCTGGTGAGCTCACTGCTTTTTTCTTCGATTTTAATAGCCCCTCCCATTTTTCTGTTCCCTCTCTGAAAAACGAGAACCCAGGTTTTACCTCTGACAGTAAGTAGTTGCCCTTATTGCTTATTACCTGTGTAACCAATAGGGAGAAAAAAAAGCAATGGAGTAGACCAGGATTCAAACCCAGGCCCCCTTAATCACTAGTCAGGTGCTCTACCAACTGAACTATTTGGCCAGTGGCAAATCAAATATGCCTAACCTCCACATTCCTCCCTCCTTAAAGAAAATTGCCCCCAAAGACACCAACTCATTTTTTTCCCTGGGAGGACTTTCACCTGTCACTTCCAGGGAATGGACCAAATGTACAGTAACCAAAAAAGACAGATCAGACCAGAATTTGAACCCAGGGGTCCTGAATCGGGGTGATTTACCAAATCAGCAATCTGGCCAGTAGCGATCAAACCTGGCTGACCCCACGACTGTAACTATACAGTCAAACCTCGTTATCTCGAACTCGATGAGACCGAGAAAAAAACTTCAAGATATCCGAAGGTTCAAGATATTGAGGGTAAAATACTTAAGAAATACATGGTTAGGACTTCCCAATCACTTCAACATATCCATGGTATTCAAGATATCCATGTTTGAGATACCGAAGCTCAACTGTAGTTATCTAAATACATACATATTGCTGAAAAATAAGTTTATTTCAAACATTTTCAGTTTTGTTAATCTGAATCAAATACATGTATTTCTAACAAATTTATGTTCATGGTCCAGTAATTCAAAGTTCCTGATCACATACTTAACTGTAATGCATCAGATAAAGTTCGTTTACATGCTTCTGGTACATCAAGTTTTGTTATACTTTGTAACTGCCTTTCTACATACTCTAGGTTGACATGCTTTATAAGTATCAAACACTGTGTGCTCAATTCCTCAATATTGTGAATGAGTTCAAAGTCATACTTATCCTTATCAGACACATCAACTAATAATTTCACCAAGATCTTCAAAATGAAATCAACATAACGAGGCATTCGTGGCCAAGTAGCTATAATCACCGACTTCAGCAATCTAAGAATTTGTGGTTTAGCTGAGTGTCTCTTTCCATCATAGACTTCCAAGTATTCCTCAATGACTCTGAAGAGAAGATTAGTGTGTCTAAGTGTAAGAAGACCCAGTTTCTCCACAAAGTATGTCAAATGTCCAGTAAGAGCAATCCGCAGTGTCAGATTTTGTTCTCCATATGCATCAGTAAGAATGGTGTGAAAGATTTCATCATACTTGGTTGGTACTCTTTGAAGTCCCTGGGGATCAGTGCAGTATTGTGGATCTTTTTCTACCACTGACAAAATGTAGAGTAGTGCTGGATGAAGGGGATCAATGAGTTTTGCCTCCCTGGTGTACAGCTGGTGTTTCAGAGCCTCATAAATAACATCAGCTTGTCCATACCATCTCAACTCTTCTCTGCTAGTGTTTTGCATAATGTGATACAGACAAGTTACACCTAAAATTTTGTTTTCTAAGACATGGTCATCAATGAACAAAAGAGCTGTGGGAAGAAACTTTGGGAAAAATTCACTCATATTTGGAAATTTTGTGTGAAATAAACACCATTGATAAACTACTTTGAGGGAAGGATAGCACATCCAAGAATCTCGCCTCAGTTTGTCATTCAAATGTTTAAGAATAAAGAATAGTACAGAAGAAAGTTGATCTTTTGAAATTTTGTATTGCAGTAGCTCTTCATTATTGTTGACAGCAAGTACATTCTTAACTTTGTCAAGCATCTCCATTGATAAAACTAGTGATACACTTGATGTCCACAGATCTGGGTGCTGGTGTTCAATTACAAGAATGAGAAGATAAGGTAAAGCTTTTGAAACCACTGATTTCATTTCTTCACTCTCCTCATCTAAAGACATTTTGCTTAATAAAGATTTAATAAATTCAAGAACTGATTCTGCTTTTTCAGCCATATTAAAGAAATCTTTCTTTTCGCATTTTCTGTGTTGAAGATCTCTAACATATGGAACACAACCTTTTAAAATTAACTGTTCTAATAGGTTCTCGGCACTTGATGAGGTATTGGTAATTTCAGACACATAGTGTTTAATCCATTCCTGTGGCGCTAAGGAAATTAATTTTGATAAAATCTTTAAATATTCCAGAAAATCTCTGCCTGGAGTGTCAACAATAACTTTTATTAGATCAACCAGGCAGATTGATGGACTGGAGAAAACATTTTGTGCTCCAACAGATTTTTCCAAATCATGTTCCAAAACAAGGCTCTCCAACAAACTCTTAGCTGAAGACATATCAGTACTGGATCATGCAATCTTAAAAAAAGGAAATAAATTAATCTTTAAATTTGTTTTCATGAGCATTGGAAATACTGTCTATTAACATGATAAAAAAAAAAGAAAATGAATTCCGTCTTTAAAATTAGATTTCATACATTTTCTAAAATATGCTCTTCAAAAATTCAAAACGGAAATTGCTAAAATGGAATAACAAGTCACAAATGCATATCTTCGCTTAAGTGGTCAACAATTCAATTCAGGCAAAGCAAAATACTGCCCACATACCATGCATCCAAACAGGTACCACTACAACAATGTGAAAGCAGAGAGGGTGAAATTTTAGTCAAGTCGTACCGATTTTGATACAAAACGAAAGTAAAGTTGCACGATGCACAAGGATGTGAAAAATGTATTAAATGGATACAAAACATTTCATATAAATGCTTGCTTTTTGTTCATTAAATTTGATCAAAAGGTCGAAGCGTAAATTGTGTCAAAGTTTGTGTTTCAGCGAACGATTTATTAGGATTCTTATGACGTCATCACTCAACGACAAAACATGGCGGAGGCTGCAGTAGAAGAAAGTAGGACTGAATCAAATAAGTTTTACTGCCATAGCTGCTCCGAAGAAATTGACCCAAAACCTGTAAGTATTAAATCATAACATCATGTACGTGATTAAAGAGTCATTTCTTCCTTCTATGTTTGATAAACTGAGCAAATGACTATTGTCCAAAATGATTACACGACATTTGCCATTTCTGCGATGTTGTGTAAATTTACAATATTCTGTAACATTGAAAGTGTATATCATATTGTTATTATTTTTTAGATAACATTTTTTGCAAAGTATTAATGTCTGTTTAACAAAATATTGCCTACTGTATTAGATATTTGGAGTTTGAAAGGTCAAACAGCTGGTTTGAAAATTATGGAAATTGCCTTGAATAATGAATTTTTGAAACATGTTTATTAATGGTTTCATTGTATAGGTTAATCCTGAAATCGTTGTATAAATCACATTTTATTCTAATAATAATGTTATAAATTTTCGTATGTTTATTTTGGTGAACTTTCAGTTCTTTTAAATTTTTTAAGCTTTTACTTTTAGACGGTAGACCATGTCAGGTTGTGTACAAATAGTCAAATAAAAAATCTGTATCTTTACATCACAGAATCTTCTTGGACTTAAATATGATAGGGGAGGGCATTTTAGTAGTGATGATGTTGTACCGCAGACCAATTTATGCGAAAGTTTTTTTGCATCACATAGGACATGCGGACTCAAGGAACACACAGGACCAAACCAATCTGAGTCACTGTCAGACCAAAAAACCTAATGTAAGAAAGTGATACACATGAAAAATGCAGAACAAAGGAAATCTTGAGGTCTATGTGATTAAAACAAACCTTTTTATGACTCAATGTCTATTGGAAAGACTGGCGCAGACTTGAATCTTTCTAGCTTTGGGGCTCAGATTACTAGGGATATGTATCACCAACAATTTTGTATCTGATATGTCATGATTTTTTCCACAAATATTCACTTATATGCTAATGAAACATGTTTGGATGCTAGGATGCCATCATTTTACCGTTTTTTTTTACAACATTTTTTACAATTCCTGTAATTGTAATTCTAGAGTTAGAACAAAAACATTCATTATTTCTAGAATATATAATTACGTACTAAATACAGGTATTTAAGTCTCTGAATCACGATACCTATTGTGCAATGAAATATCACGATATACCAGTATACTGATAAATTGCACATCCCTGCAGTTTACCTCCTCTTCCAGGTGGTTCTAATCAATTGCAGTGCAGAAAAAAGTAGTTTCTTTATTGTTCATTTTTGTGCTTGGTATTTATTTCCACTGCTTTACTGTTGTTTCTTATTCTGCTATTTATATTTGTTGTCTCATAATCTTTAAAAGTTGTAGCCTGAGTCCATATTTAAACAATTGTTTGTTTTTTTTTTCCTTTTCATTCCTGAATTTTCTTATCCTGTCAACATTTTTTTTTTCATTTTTTAACACATTATTTTAAAGATTGTCTGAATGTTCCCTTTTTGTTTTTGGAATTCGATAAATTGATTGGGTTCAATTGCTTGTGTAATGGTTCTGAAAATTTGTTTTGTCTGGGCTAGTAAAAACAGTGAAGTTTTGGCTAGTGTCTCGGAAAAGATTTCCTGAAGATTGCAATGTGTGTAACATGGCATGTACTGGTATAAAAGAAATCTCTGAAATAACAGAAGGATGTTATTGAGAAAAAAATTGATAAAACATAAGTACATATATTACAGAAAGAAGTATAGCTACAGTTGATTTTATAAAATGAACATTTGACAGTTTGATTCTTTTGTCATTCTCAACCATTGTTTTCAACAGCTGAAAGAGTAGAACAACTCTGATTATGTCAGCAAGATTATTTATCTAGTGTAATACTAAGGATAAACACTTTGCTCTGAAGTATAATGATACATTTAGTAAATGTGATGAAGTGAATTAGTGATACTCTATACCACATGTCATTGAAATGAAAGACTGTCCTAAATATATGGAACTTGAATGCTAATGTGATATATCATGTATTAAATAAATACACGTATATTTGTAGTTGTGTTTTAATAATGGGGTCATTATCAAGTTTGAATGTTATCACTAAGAATTCATACATGTACACACATAATTACTGTTTGAGATGATACTTGTAATATTCAGAATACTGACAAGTTATGATTATTTTTTTTGTTTGTTTGTTATTCAGTCTTTTTAGTGATGATAATAAATATTCTTACTTCAAACAGATAAACAATTCAAATACAATATTTTATTTTCTGATTCCCTGCTATTTATATTTGTGTATCCTCTTTTTATTACATTATTTCATTGATATCTTTACAGGATTTTACTTGTCCCAAGTGTGATAATGGATTTATTGAAGAATTAACAGGGTAAGAAATCAAGGGCTAGACATTGAAATATCTTAAATATTGAGATAAAGAAATTAACATAGTCTTTTGCATATGTTGACCAGATGCATTTGTTTTCAAAAGCTGCGCAATGGTGCGTATACATGTATTTTTCTTTATTTCAGGGAGTTAGCTGAGAGTTCCAGTCCTCAGCCTTCACAAGAACGTGACCCTGCTGCACAATTTACAGAGGTTAGTGAAATCATAACAATACTTATCAAAATTTAAGTTTTAGGTTTAGTTTTTATCAAAAAACCAAAAGATGATAGGCATTTTGAAATACTTAATTACTATAATATCTTCATTATTTCATAAATAAGATGAATCTGATAAATTTATCTTTAAAATACATACTGGATATTTTTTCAGCTGTGGGGAAGAGCTTTCTTAGAAAGTTTCCAAACTCAGTCTGGGGCTGGTTCTTCAAACAATACACAGATTGGTGGAGAGTCTGAATCTGATGAGGAGGAGAGTCGGCCTCAATCTCGATCTCAGAGGCCTCGCCCTGTGACCCGCATTTCAGTAAGGACAGGTGGACCAAGGACCAGACAAATGAGACAACCACAGTATTTACATGGGTAAATATTGTCCAGCAATTCAGACTGTGTTTCTCCTTAGAACTCTTGCTAGCCATTTGGTGATTCTTGCTGGTATATATGTACACAGTACAGAGTATTGATACTTTTGAAGCAGCAGTTATTTGTAACACTATTTACTTTTTATTTAGCTTTGAAAAACTTGAGCATGTTTGTAGTTAGAGGTGGATATTGGTATGAAAATCATTTGCAACATATTGCAATATCTGTTACTGAATTTTGATATTACAATTACAATAAGTTGAATTAAAAACAAAGATACGATTACATATTGACATGTACATACAATGAACAATAAAATCCAGTTAAAGTCTGAACATATTTAACTCCTATGAGAATTAAGTTGTTTAGTTGCATATTAATTTGTTTATTGACCTTTTATTGTTAATCTTCCTTTACCTTATCAGTTAATAATTTTAAACTTACCATTCAATAAATCAAGATATTGAATGCTATAATTCTCTGGTCGTTTGGTAGTTGTTGTTTTTTTAATTTTAGACTATTTATTAGCTATATAATAATTAATAAAGACCTGTTGCACATGTATGTGTATGAAATAATCTGATTTTCTTTCAGGCTTTTACAGTTGTTTGTTGACAGACTAACTGGTGAAATGGGACAACCTATGTAAGTTTTTGTTTTAAACTCTTGCTTGTACATTTTATATGTATATAATGAAATTGATTTAGGATTTAAATTACTTTTAAATTTATATATGAATAAAAGTGCATGCAGAAAAAATGTAAACACTTACCACTGTAAAATTCATCATATTTTTTAATTGTAAAATAATTGTAGGAACTTTATGACACTTCATGGGAATCCGGCTGATTATGCATGGGGTGTCGGGGGTCTAGACAACATCATAACACAGGTATGTGAGTCTGCAAAGGTTAGATGAAAATAATATTCATCGGCTACTGTAATTATTTTAAGATACATGTATATGTTAGGTAAATGTACTTTCTTATTTATCTCAGCTGCTTAATCAACTAGAGGGATCTGGGCCTGCCCCTGCTGAGAAATGTAAAATAGATTCATTACCAACTGTCAAAATCACCCAAGTACAAGTGGGTAAGTACATATATCTAATATTAAACTGAGAAAAAAAATTACAATGATCGCAATGAGAAAATATGCATTGCAAAGTTGGAATTCATACATTTTTAGCATATTAGATTCTCCAAGAAACTATATGAAGTACATTTGAAGAATGTGCACCCTGAATAGATCAGAATTTTTATCTTTGACTTAAGATACATTTTTTGACACAAATTTAAAAAAAAGTAACAGACACTGCATAATTCCTGAGCCTAAAGAAATTTTCGTTTTCAAAATATTTTAGTAATAAAATAATCAAAAGATGAAATTAGAAAATATAGTTGTGATAATTGGATTAGGCATAATCACAGCTATGCAATGTTAATTCATTTGGCTGTCATGATCTCAAATCCAAAAGTTCTTTTTCCATCTACCCAAAGAATTTGCAGCAATCTTACATTATACTGTTACAAAAAAGTTTTATCAAGTCATATTAAGCATCACACTTTTAAAATGATGCATTCTTATGTGCCTGTATGAGTAGTGTAGATTCAAATTTGTTGAAGTCAGGATCTCAAAGCTAGGATGCAGACACAATAGAGGTTCAAAATTTTATATGGGAATATGTTGGAAAATCTTTTTAAAAATCTGCTTTTCAAGAAAAACAGGGGCACATAAGAATCATGTGGGAATGTATTTGAAGCAAAAATGTTTTGTGGAGGTTGTATTCTGAGAGAAATGTCTGACAGTGTCATGACCGGTTGTCAAACGTGTATACAAAATTCTTGTGTCCAAGTTGAAATAAACATGAAAGAAAGGGGGCATATTACCTTCATTTTTAAAACAAAACTTAGAGTAACCAAAGGCTGATCCAGCACTCACTTGCGCACGTCAGTATCCCCTCTTTCTATTTTTTTTTTTCTTTTTAGATTTCATAATTAATGTTTGCTAAACTTGTTTATACACTTTTAATTTATTAAAACGTAACGATCACACACATAGTGTCAGGCCTGATAATGAATCTACCCCATGAAATCCCCTATTTAATTTCCAGTTGGACATTTTTTTCCCCAAAGAAAACCACTGTCCCCACTCCCTCCTTTCTAAAATTTCTGAATCCGCCACTGGTTACCTCTATTCTTAATTCATCTCACATTTTGAATAAATTATTAACAGCGGTATCATGCAATTTGAATGATTCTTATATCTATATCATTTAAGATATGGATTCAGTTTTCTGTCATTGCTAAAAATAAACCGAACTGTATCGTTGATATTTTTTGCAGATAATGTACAGTTTCTGCTCATCTGCATAGTCAACGCCCACAAAAAGTGTTCTGTATGGCAGTTATTGTACGGTTGACTTCAAAGGAAAACTCGCTGGGTCATATCACAATTTATGATAACTGCATGTATTTTTTTTTCTTTTGACAGATAATATCTTACAATGTTCAATATGCATGGAAGATTTTGGTTTAGATGAAGATGCAAAAAAATTACCCTGTGAACACCATTATCACAAAGTGTGCATTGTTACCTGGCTGGAAATGGTAAGTACCGTATACTAGGAGTTTTACTCAATCTGATATACTGGTAACTGATAAACTTTGTAACTGTAAGTGTATGTTCAAGATACATATTATGATTATGTACTTGAACAGTATTCAATTTTTGAAAACAAAATTTAAGTTATGTTTCAATTTTTATGTGCTATCAAGATTATTACACTGTATTTTCAGCATGGGACATGTCCTGTGTGTAGAATTGACTTAAATGGTGAAGATAGTTCCCTGAAGAATGACGACAGTTTATATTCTGAACTACAGAATATTAGGAGTGATCCTTCAGAACCCCCTGAGTGATAGCAGACTGTGTTGTATTGTTTATTATATACTGTGATTTTATTATGTCATTTTAACAAAGACAAAGTTAAAGTGACCATAAAAATTTAAGTACTGTTCTACAGATAATGTGAGAGTTAATTTCTTGCAAGTTTTGCATATATAACATTCATTTGCATTCATATGGTATGACTGTGCATTGACTTGTTCTTTTTATTTAGAGTCACTTAGATGACCTTTTGCTGTCTGTTTTAATATGTGGTTGTCTATTGTGCATAAACTTTTCACATTTTAAATAGAATCTGTAATTGAAAAAATCTGATTCTACATTGCATAAAATACCTGCATTAGCTGCATATAAATTCAATCCTTATGGCCCTGCTGTTGGGAGGGAGAAGGGATCTGTATTATAATCATGTCAATTAAAAGAAAATTCAGGGAAAAAATTCTGATGAAGAACAAGAGTACAATTTTTCAAAACTTATGTGAAAATGTTTGTATGTTCAAATCATTGCCATAGTGCTTTTTGAACCAAGATGGTATATATTAGGGCTCTCAAGTTTTACAAAGGAGTAGATTGCAAAATAAAACATAAGATGTTCTGAAAAATGAATCTTGTAAAACTTGGGTGACCATTGAGGGTCTTGGCATAGAATACGTACATGTACAGTACCTGCATTCATAAGTGATGATTTTTATTTGAAAAATGAAAAATTAAATCTATTGTCATTGTAAGAAGATATTTTCAAAACTTCGAATCATTCATTTTGTTAACTTTAAAAGGCTAGGAGGTGTATTCAATTTAAATGACTAGTGTTTTGTGTCATTATTTTACAGTAAAATAAAAGGTTTAAAAATTATAATTTTTTTGGCATTGTATAGGCAAAAAAGAGTTTTTCTTTAGATTGATTTTGTCCATACAAAGCAGTAGTTATTTTGAGATTTTCCTGTTTTAGGTCATACTCCAGTGCAGGAATTCATGTATACTATTGTAGACTGTTGCTGCTAAAGATTTGATTTGTACATGTAAGAGTATTGAATTGTATTTCTAAAATACATTGAACATGTATTTGCAAAGTGAAATATACATGTTATATTCAGAGGTTAACATTTAAAATCTACAGTGTAAATATATTTATGGTGGAACTGACAGAAGTTAATAAATGACAGCCACTTGTAGCCATTATTTGTCCTTGTTATATGATTTCAGTCATGTTTTCAACTGAAAGATGGCATTTTATATCATGAAATTTGTATAATGCCATATTGAATGTTATAAATATTGTAGGGGGCTTATGCATTTTGCACCATTGAAGATTTAATATGCCAATTGTAATTTTGCTTTCATTACCAAGAGTTTATACTAACAATAATACTTCAGGTTATACATGTACCTTCGTTTTATTTTATACTGTTTGAAATCTGATTACTGTTTAAGCCCCGTGTTATGTGTTACTTTTATCATTATTTAATTATTCTTGGCACTCAAAATGTGTCCTGAGTATAGTAGTGTAGTAGCAACTTTTTACTTTGGTTTAAAAAAATAAATTTGTTTTTAGGTATTTGTGGTCACAGATCCCAGAACATATTATTGTAGATTTTTTTGAGCTAAAGAGAATGAAAATGGCAATATTCTTTTAAGTTTTTTTTTTTTTTACATGTATTTAAAGGACATTTTCAATTGATGTGACCTGTAATATTTGTCCCCCCCCCCCCCAATCCACAAATAACACCAAAGTTTTGTATGGAGAGATTGAAGGGGTTCAACATTAAATATTAAATAAATATTGATATGATTGTGGTTTGGAGTTTGTTAATGTTTCCATCAGAGCCAAACTGTCATACATGAAATTTTGAGATAGTCATCTATACATAGTGTGGTTTTTAAGAGTTTTATTTGTGAATAACCAGAGACATATGTGTCTCTGGAATAACTGATCAGGCCTGTGCAGATCAGTGCGTCTAAGCATCCCCATGTTGGGTGTATGTAAGTTCAGTTAAGTCATGACCCAATGATGACACAATATTGAATTATAATCCTGAAGAAGTGTAGATTCTAAATTGTTCAAATTGTGGACCCCAGGGTAGGGTGGGGCCACAATAGCGAATCAAAGTTTAACATTGAAATATTTATAACTCCTCTTCTCAAGAACAGCAAAGCCATGATGAATCTGATATTAATGTGGAAGCATCCTCTAGTAGTTAGATTCATTTTTGTTGAAATCACAGCTACTGTGTTTAGGGTGGTCCATATATTTAAGTTGATCAAAATTTTACATGGAATACATGGACACTGGGAAAAAATGCAGAACAGAAGGACCAAAGTGACTCAGGTTAGTGTTGTGGCCCATAGGCCTCTTGTTACCCAATTTGACATTTACATGTAGCTTGGTAGCTTCCATATATTGTCAACTAAGTCGTGAAAATGATGAACTTTGATTTGCATTATAGAATTGGACTTAGGTGAGCGACTTATTCTTTGAACGACTTAACTTGTTTTCAAAATGTCGGTTTCGTGGGAGGAAACTTTGATGAGAAGTAGAAAATGTATATCTTTTGGTACCTACGATAAACTCTTCAGTGACAATTATTTCATATTTGATGTTATCAAGGTACATGTATTTTTTATTGCTTTATTTAAATGATTCTATTTCCTTTTTTTCTGGAATGTATTCGATGTATGAAATGGCAAGAAAAGTTCGTCTGCTATTGGAAAGTGCAGTTTCAAACACATGTAACTTTCTTTTTATAGCTTTTATACAGTGAATCAGTTGATGAGAAGATTAAATTGGAATTGTTGGTGTTGATAGAAGAATTCAGTCAGCATGCTGGTGTTCATACTGCGAAGTAAGTGAAATTTTTTTTTAAAATTTGTTCCATAAGACTAATATGTTGACGGTGCGACCGTTGGGGCGAGCGCATTGTTCACTTCATTTTAAGATCCGCCTCTTCAAACCGCACGAGACATTTGGAACGTCTAGACTGTGACGTCACATGACGTCGTATGTTAGCTGCATTTCCATAAACAAAGTTTAAAAAGTGCAAATATTTTAACAAAGAACGTTTAATTAATCTACTATCTGCATGCAATAGCCATTAATTAAGGTGAGTTTATTTTTTGTGAAATTTTAGTTGTTGTCACCGCGTGAACGAAGTTAGCAGCGAGAACAAGAAGCGATGCATTGTGGGTCAGAATTACTGCGGAAAAAAATTCTATTGAATGAATGTGCAGTAGTCCGAATTTTCTCTTCGCCCAGGCGTTGTCGTTAGAGCTCGCAGTGACGAGCGGCGCTTCGCGCCGCTCGCTGCGCTCGCTATAAGATAAGTATTCTTTGCCGTTTGGTGATTGAAATTCCCAACTTTTTCACAGAATTATTTGAAAAACTGTTTCTCCATACGTATTGAAAGTTATTTTTTCTAATCGATACATTCTTGAATATTGATACATATCGATATATTGATACAGCCCTAGACAACCCTGTATATATATCGCAACAATTTGTGCTGGCATGTAGTAACATTAAAACAGATTTGATACTGGTTGTCTAGTAGATAAGGTGCTAAAATACATTTATATGTATCATGTTTGTCCTTTTCAAATGTGACACAGACTTAATAGAAGTATTACATTTACATTACATGAAAATTAAATAATAATAAATACTTGAGGCTTTCAAATTATGAACTTCATTATAGTTTTTACTAGGTTTATGTATTCAGTGGTGTAAATAAATAAAAACGGGAATAGAAGTTGGGAAAATTACTTTTATTTGAATAAATTTTCCTCCAACATGTGTTCCATACTTTTTGCCATCATCACACAAGTCAACAATTGGATGATAGACATTCCATTAACAAAAAGGATTTGTGCTATGTATCCTAATTTTTAGAAAATAATGTGATACAATCGAGACCCCAATATAGTGAGAATTGAGTATATTTAGACATATACTATAAACCAGTGATTGCTAAAATTGTCCCAAGACCCTGTGACGTACTTCAGCTTGCAGCTGGAGGCATTGAAAATATTGAAGAAAAACAATGACTAAAATGTATGCATCAAGTAATTACAATTTATTTTATTTATAAAATATCTTCAGTGTTGACCAGATTGTGCAGTCCCTTTTGGACGTTTGTCATCAGCTGACAAAGAGAGGAAGAGAAATCAATGTTACCAGTCAGATCCTGACTATTCTGACAACCATTCTGATTCTGTATGACCAACTGGTATGACTTAAACAGTTTTCTGTTAGTTGCAGTACAAATTTACATGAAGATTTTTTATGCTTTGTGTTTCTTTGAGAGATGCTATCAACTATAACTTGTACAAGATCAAACGATTTTACAGGATACAGAGGCATGTCATTCTACAGTGCAGACTCTGCTAGCAACAATATCGAATGGTGTCAATGTTACAGAGAGCCGACCCTTACGATCCACTGCATGTCAGTGTCTGATACAGCTAGAAGATAGTAAACCAGTAAGGAAAATGCACTCTCTAAGCAGAACATATTCATGCCTATTTTCATGTCATTGTTTTGATGTTTAAGAAAAAAATTCTTTACTTTTTCTGTTATATTATTTAACTAACTGATTTAAGATTGTTGAAATGTTGTGATAACTGCAAAAATAAATGCACATGTATGCATTTGAATGGGGAGGGTTGTAAATTACATTGAAATCCCATGATTCTTTCATAATACTAATTTCCACTTAAATTTTTGTATTAACATTTGTATGATAATACCCTTAGTGTTAAATGTATTATAACAGGGGCTATTATGGAAGGAAAAAGATTCCCTGATAAAGCTGATGAGACAGGAGAGGACTAGTGTTTATGAGGATTATGTCATGCTTGTCACTCAGATGCTACAACATGGCTTCAGGTATGGCTCCAAGGTGGTTTTTAAAACATTATGAAAAGTTTGGACATTTATATTATAAAATTAGAATTGATTTGATACTTTAAATAGTCTAGTTTATTTTAGTGTTGTCTTTGGAGGTGCTAAGTGTATGACATCCAGTTCAAAATTTAATAATATTGCTGCTCATGTATTTGGTAAGCTCTTGATCATCATTTTATAATTGTCTATTGTAGTTCCACCAATGGTATTGGCACCAAAAGCAGTGTGAGTTAAAATAAAGAGCTAGGTTCACTTTATGCATAAAATGGCCCTGTCCGTATACCAATTAACTGACTATCACTTTCTGTTCCCTTTCTAAAATCAATGTAATGTAGAGACATAATGCTTTCATTTCCTATTACAAAATATTCTTTGAGAGTCCAGGTATTGGAAAACAGGCTTTGTGAAATTGCAACATTCTTGAATTTTTGCAGAAAAAAGGTGCAGTTTAGTACTCTCAGTAATAGCTTATACCTTTGGTCATTTTTGAAGAAATTTTCAGGATATTGGAATAATTACACAGTTCATGAAGTCACATTGAATTGACTAGTTAGAAAATTACATCATTCTCAATAGATATATAGTTTCCAAGAGTTCATGTGATATTTAATTTTAATGCATTGTCATCCAAAACTGAGCAGTTTTGATTTTTCAGAAAATTCACAGGGCCAAAAAAAGCCCTAAGTGAACCTTGCTCTTTCATTTCTATTTATAGAAGTTATGAACAAAATATAACGCATAGTGAACTTGTTTTTGCTTCCTAGCTAGAGAAAAGGCATTATAGATTAATGTAAGCATATCTCTGTCCTGAACATGCTCTTATATTCTTGTCCCTTCCCATTTTTTGTGAGGTTTTCTGATAGCTTTTATGTTATATTGTTTTATGTAGGATGTGGACAGAGTTGTCCCTCTTGACCCAGCTGAGTCGAGAAAGATTGTGTCCCAGATAATGGACAATGCCTCACTATTTACCCAAGGAGGACTCTGGCACACAGTGCTGGATCTTGTCAATATTGTACAGAATTACCATGAAATATCTGCTACAGTAAGTGGTATTCAGGAGTGACTTACTTGTTAAACACTCACTTTACTTTATCAGTAAACATGGTATAGCGTACCAAGCAATGTTTTTTTTTTTTAATTTTCAGATATTTAAGCCCATGATGCTCCATTACATGTCCACATTTGATACAGCATTGCTCCATCTGGTTGTTTTCATACAGGTGGGGATATCAAAATACATGTATTAATTAAAATGTAGTTTTCAATTCATTATATCAATAATATATATGTACATGTAAAAGAATTTTCATCTCTTGTTTTAAAAAAAAAAATGAAGTGCATATAAGTTATAGTAAAATGGATAATTGAAAAATCAATGTTTTTTTAAGATCAAAGAAAAAATGAGAAAATAAAAGGACAGACAGTTTTAATTAGATCTTTAAGATTGTTTGAATTTTTCCTTTAAAATCAGTGAAAATTAAACATTAATTAGCATATATAAATAAAAATAATTTGAACCTATTGTAGAGTGAATTTGAGAAGGAAGTCCTCACTGATATAGAAGAAAGGCAGTTACAGAACAGAATACTGGCAGGACTTAATCATCCCTCATTGACCCCTGCCCAGCGATTATTCTATTGTCACTGGATAGAGTGCTTATCACATGTAAATAAAAACCAGTCAATATGATTTACTATCTCTGTCAGCAAAATTTCAGGTTCAATTTTCTTATTCATATTTTTCATATGATTGGCTTGCGCTTTTATATTAATTTAAATTAACTAATTATGATAAATTTAATAAGAAATCATGGTTAATATCTTTTATTTCATAAAAAAAATAACTCTTAGATTTGGGTAAGTTATACCTGGGATTAAAAGAAATTATTTATACCGGGTATTAAAAAATTAGTGTTGTCAGATTGGATGATTTTTAGTAACCGGTTACACGTTTACTTTTCTGATCATGTAACTGGTTACTCCGATGTTTTTTCCTTAGACCGCTAACATCCTTGCTTATATTCAATATTAACCGTGCATATGTATCATTTATATACTGGTCTGTATAAACACAAATGCATCATATACACATTTTTAGGTCACCTGAGTGAAATTTATTTACTCAGGTGACCTATTGCTATCTGTTTACGTCCGTCGTCGTCTGTCATGCGTTAACATTTAAACATTTTCAGCTTCTTCTCTGAAACTACTGAACCAATTTCAATCAATTTTGGCATATAGTATCTATGGGTGAATGGGAGTAAAATTTTGAAATTCATGGCTCCTGCCCCCCTGGGGCCTGAGGGGTGGGGCTAAAACCATCAAAATAAATGCAATATTTTAAAATCTTCTTCTTTACTCCTAGACATCAAGCAGCCAAACAGTTGGCATGATTGCAATAAGCATTGAGCCTTCTACCAAAATTGTGAAATTCATGGCCCCAGGGTCAGGGGTTCTGGTGCTAGGGTGGGGCACTGTTGAAGATATAATGAAATTGCATTATTTCTTAAAAAATCTTCTCCTCTGCTCCTGGGTATTATACAAACAAACTAAATGCATAGTTATGATGAGGAAGGGTGCCTTCTCCAAAATTGTGAATTTCATGGCCCCTTGGACAGAGGTGCTGGTGTTAGGGCGGGGGTCTATTGATTATATAGTGAAAATGCATTAATTCTTTGAAAATCTCCTCTGTTTCTACATATTAAACCAATGAACTATGTACATACCGGGGTAGTTATGATGAGGAAGAGTGCCTCTTCCAAAATTGTGAATTTCATGGCTCCTGGGTCAGGGGTTCTGGTGTTAGGGTGGGGCTCTGTTGATTATATATTGAAAATGTGTTAAGTCTTTGAAAATCTTCTCCTCTGCTCCTGGGTATTATGCCGATGATATAAGTACATAGCTATGATGAGGAAGGGTGCCTCTTCCAAAATTTTGAATTTCATGGCCCCTTGGACAAGGGTTCTGTTGTTGGGGCAGGGGTCTTGATTATATAGTGAAAATGCATTAATTCTTTGAAAATTTTCTCCTCTGCTCTTAGGTATAGGTTATTATGCCGATGATCTAAGTACAAAGGTTATGATGAGGAAGGGTGCTTCTTCCAGAATTGTGAATTTCAAGGCCCATGGGTCAGGGTTATCGTTGGTCAGTGGGGGTGGGGTGGAGCTCAAATGACTATATGTTGAAAATAAATTCATGCATTGAAATCTGCTCATTGGTATTAATCAAACATTTATGATGAGCAAGGGTGCCTTTTCCAAAATTGTGACATGTTTGGCCCCAGGATCAGGGGTTCTTGTGTGTGTGTGTGGGGGGGGGGGGGGGGGCACTACTGATTATATAGTGGAAATGCATTTTTTTTTCTTCCTTTGCTCTGCCTCTGGGTATTAAGTAATCAAACTAAGCATGCTAAGTGTATAGTTATGATGAGCAATTGTGCCTCTTTCAAAATTGTGAATTTCATGGCCTCTGGTTTAAAATATGAACCAAATTCAATTGTTGGAAAGTTGTTACATGATACTCAGGTGACCTATAAGCCCCGTGGGCCTCTTGTATTTATTTATTATTGGAATTTTTTTTTTTAAATCTAAATAAATTTGTTCTCAAATATTCCTTAAAAGTTGGCTTTTTTGCAGGGTATCCTATGTGCTGGTTTCAGAGTTATGTTTCCATGTATGTTAATTCTATTTAATGTATTTTTACAGTGTAAGGATTTAAATTCCTTTAAAATATTTTGGAATATACTAGTATGTTTTTGATACTGTGGAGGCATCTCCTTTAATCCTGCACTGCGTACTAGAATAGTTTAAGTGAGGTCATTAGAATTAACTCAGATCTTCTAAACTTCTATACCCTTTGCAATTAGAGCCATCAATTTGATAAACTGTGAAAACTGAGTGTAATGAAATCAAATCGGTTGTATTTATGAAAACACTAGATCAAGTTAAATGATAATTAAAATGGGAACATGTGTAAGTATTCGTTTATGAACATAATAAAATTTCTTTTCTGCATTTGTCTCTATATCTGAGTTACGGAATAACAATTTTACTAAATGATATTCGCATCATTCAATGATTAACTGGTTATCTGGATACTCGTTGACAACACTATAAAAAATCCATTGTTTTTGACTAAATAATCATTATTTAGAATGTCAGATATATGATACTTAAATGGCTGTTTCAATATGGGTATTGTAGAACCTTGTATTGTCACACATTCATTTAACTGAAATTGTTGCAGCCCTAGTGCACAGACAAATAACAAGGATGAAAGCATTACCTCCTGATATTTTTGAGGAGTTTATACTGAAATGCCATATTTTTGCAGGAATTAATAAGTTTCTCTATACATTTTGTCATACTCCTTTATACATGTTACATTTTCTGCAGGTAACCCTAGAGAATTCTGAGGAGTGTATAGGAATACAAGATAAACAGCATCTTGTCTTTTTCCCCAGTGTGTTTGACCCTATTGACTGTCAACTAGCCAAACTAGGACTTCTTAATTTCTGCTTTCCATCCCTGATCAAAGAGGACAATGGTAAATTTAAAACAACTGACTGCAAGTGGTTGAATATTTTATTTGCACAGTTGACAAAAGTGTTCAATTCAGAGAGCAGGTGACACTTTATTGATAATGTCATTGGGAAACTAATTGCTCAGTTTAGCTGATATGAAATAACTAAAGTCTGTAGGAACATATTACCATATATACTCGCCTATAAGTCGTTTTTTTTGGGAGTTAAACTTTGGCTCAAAACTCTTTATCCAACTTATACGCGAGTTATAAAAAGATTGGTATTTTAGCAGGTCAATCCCTCTAATTTAAGCTTAAAAAATACAACCAACTTATAGGCGGACCGACTTGTAGGCGAGTATATACGGTAATCATTCACATGTACTTACAGTGGTTATTCTCATGATGTAAATGTACATACATGTTTGATTTTGATCATCTTGTTGCATAATAATCAGATAAAAGAGATTGTTTTGCTATACAATATGAGTTATATGGATTTGTTTGTAGGCCAGGCTGCAGCCATGCTGCTAGCTGGAGTAGGATATCTACATAAAATGGTGTGGCATACAGGAAGTCAGCGAGCTGCTAAAGCACTGTTCCGAGCTCTGTTTTCTATGTATCGACGTCACTGTAGCAAGTCTTTCTCTCAAGATATAAACAGGTCATTTCCATGTAAATGGAAGAAATTTCAGATTGATGTGTACCTAATAGATTTATTAAGACAAGAGTTGATATTGAACCCAGAAAGAGGTTATTTATTTTAGATGAATTATGAAAAATAAAGAGAATTCAAAAATTCATACTTAATATAATGTACCGGTGTCATATAATATATTGAACCCCGCGATATTTTGAACCCGGGTTCAAAATATCGCTGCGAAATATTGAACCCCCCTATAAAATATTGATCCCGGGGTTCAAAATATTATGGTCATAATATTTTGAACCCGGGGTTCAATATATTATAGTCTTAGGGCCATAATATTTTGAACCCGGGGTTCAATATATTATAGCCTTAGGGCCATAATATTTTGAACCCCGGGTTCAATATATTATGGCCTTGTGGTCATAATATTTTGAACCCCGGGTTCATTATATTATAGCATTATGGCCATAATATTTTGAACCCCATTACATTCTCTGTTTCAAGCATAGGGGTTTCTGAGATTATGGCGTTGAAGTGTTGTACGTACCTCCTAATTTTAATTTTTTTTTTTTTGGTAGGTTGGGGTGGAGGTTTAAGCTAGGATTTATGGATGTAAAATGTTGTACCCCCTATTAGACATATATGTGTATAGGAGGGTGTTTAAAAATTATTGACCTAAAATAATTTTTGAATGGTAAGAGGGGGTTCAAGATTTTATGGTAGTGAAATGTTCCAACACCCACAACATTTTATAAGGGGTTGAAAATATTGTGACTGTGAAGTATTGAACCTCCATTTAAATACTACTATGGAAAAGGAAGTGAAAGTATTTAACACCCGTCTCCCACACACTCACTTTGATTTATTTGTTAGATCTCAAGGGTTGGGTATCTCTATATTAATTTTTTTTTTTAATAATGTGCAATACCTAAAGAAGTGAGAGTAAAATAATATAACCAAAATACTGAAGTCTGAAATTGTCACCAGGAATTTAAAAATAATTGTCTTTTACCATCAAACCTCAAATAACTAAAATAACTTGATATGTCTGATGGAAAAACAATTATGAGATATTTATTTCTTTGTCTTTTATTCCATCCCATAAGGTATTTATTTACTTTCTTTGATTTAATTTTTTTTTTTTTGTATAATTTACAATTTGAAAAAAGAAAATTCAAGGAGCAATGTAGTATCTCTCCCTTGAGGAGGTAACAGGGATATAGCACCTGTGTATTGTGTGTACACAAGGAGGTGTCATTGGAGGTCAACAATACCCACTGTCTATTGTTTCCCCTTGATGGTTTCTGTATTATCACTATACAAGTGTTTAGAGAGTGTACAAATTGAGTAGTCCAGTTTGAGGGGTGTAATATAATATCTTGAACCCCCCTCCTAAATTAAAAGGGTAGGGGGACTCGATATTTTATGGTCATAATATCTTGAACCCCCTCCCTCTTAAAATAAAAGGGTAAGGGACTCAATATTTTATGGTCATAATATCTTGAACCCCCCTCCCTCTTAAATTAAAAGGGAATGGGACTCAATATTTTATGGCCATAATATCTTGAACCCCATCCCTCTTAAATTAAAAGGGTAGGGGGACTCAACATTTTATGGTCATAATATCTTGCATCCCCTCCCTCTTAAATTAAAAGGGTAGGGGGACTCGATATTTTATGGTCATAATATCTTGAACCCCCCTCCCTCTTAAATTAAAAGGGTAGGGGACTCAATATTTTTTGGCAATAATATCTTGACCCCCCCCCCCTCTTAAATTAAAAAGGAAGGGGACTCAATATTTTATGGCCATAATATCTTGAACCCCCTCCCTCTTGAAATAAAAGGGTAGAGGACTCGATATCTTATGGCCATAATATCTTAAACCCCCTCCCTCTTAAATAAAAAGGGTAGGGGGACTCGATATTTTATGGTCATAATATCTTGAACCCCTCTCCCTCTTAAATTATTAGGATAGGGGGACTCGATATTTTATGGCCATAATATCTTGAACCCCTCCCTCTTAAATTAAAAGGGTAGGGGGACTCAATATTTTATGGTCATAATATCTTGAACCCCCTCCCTTTTAAATTAAAAGGGTAGGGGGACTCAATATTTTATGGCCATAATATCTTGAACCCCCTCCTAAATTAAAAGGGTAGGGGGACTCGATATTTTATGGTCATAATATAATGAACCCCCTCCCTCTTAAAATAAAAGGGTAAGGGACTCAATATTTTATGGTCATAATATCTTGAACCCCCCTCCCTCTTAAATTAAAAGGGAATGGGACTCAATATATTTTATGGCCATAATATCTTGAACCCCCCTCCCTCTTAAAATAAAAGGGTAGGGGACTCAATATTTTATGGTCATAATATCTTGAACCCCCTCCAACTTAAATTAAAATGGTAGGGGGACTTGATATTTTATGGTCATAATATCTTGAACCCCCTCCCTCTTCAATTAAAAGGGTAGGGGGACTTGATATTTTATGGCCATAATATCTTGAACCCCCCTCCCTCTTAAATTAAAACGGTAGGGGACTCAATATTTTATGGCCATAATATCTTGAACCCCCTCCCTCTTCAATTAAAAGGGTAGGGGAACTCGATATTTTATGGCCATAATATCTTGAACCCCCCTCCCTCTTAAATTAAAACGGTAGGGGACTCAATAGTTTATGGCCATAATATCTTGAACCCCCTCCCTCTTCAATTAAAATGGTAGGGGGACTCGATATTTTATGGCCATAATATCTTGAACCCCCCTCCCTCTTAAATTAAAACGGTAGGGGACTCAATATTTTATGGTCATAATATCTTGAACCCCCCTCCCTCTTAAATTAAAAGGGTAGGGGGACTCAATATTTTATGGTCATAATATCTTGAACCCCATCCCTCTTAAATTAAAAGGGTAGGGGGACTCAATATTTTATGGTCATAATATCTTGAACCTCCCTCCCTCTTAAAATAAAAGGGTAGGGGACTCAATATATTATGGTCATAATATCTTGAACCCACTGGGTTCAATATTTTATAAGGGGGTTCATTATATCGCAGCGAAAATATGAACCCGGGTTCAAATTTTATGCGATATATTGAACCCGGGTTCAATATATCGCGGTATCAAAATATTATGCTACACCGGTAGTTTTCAGTTGTAAAATATGTGTTTGCTTTAATCAATTACAATGTATAAGTAGACTCTGGTAATTACAGGTTTTTGAGAGGTTTGATATCTGGATTTCCCTTCTTCATTCCCCAAGCCCTGGATTTTATAGAGAGTCTAAGGGAGATGACTCCTGACAGGTATTGAATCAGAGTTTGTGAGTACTAAAGCAATTTCAATGTTTTCACAACTTAATTAATTGGTTCAGAAATTTTGAGCTCCTTCTGTTGTGTTAGGGAGACTCAAGGTCAAAGACTTGGGACAGTGTCTAAAATTTTGCAATGTACGAAATATAAAGATAACGAAAAGTATGAGACTCAGAAGTCTATTAAAACAAGTGAGCAGAGCAAACACAGAATTCTAAAAACATCAGAGGTGGGATCAGGTGCCATAGAGGAGTAATCCCTGTTGACCGGTCACACCCACAGTGTGTTCCATGTCCTGATCAGTTAAACAGAAAAATCTGTGGAGAATTCAGTGTGAAAATAATGGCCAAACAATTTGTATGAAAAGTGTGAGTCAACGTTTGACTTAGCAATAGATTTTACTTGCCAACAAGGTCATTACATCGACCATAGAATTTGTGAAATGTTGACTTTAAATGAGACTGCTGATATCCTTATATCATGAACTTATTTGTCAATAGCTTGCCTCATTCTAGAAATTGTTAATATGTAGATAATGCTCTTGCATATAGAATCAACTGGGAAACTTGGAGTCAGTATGCAGATGATAATGGTATGTTGCTGCATGAATAAGGGAAGTTGGCGATAGAAATGTTGAAATCATTAAATGTATCATAAAGTTTAGTTGTAAGTTTGCCATCAATCTTTCTCTAGTAAAATATCCAAATATGAAACAGATGTGTTAGCCTCTGTGGTGTCTTTATTTCAAGTTAAAAAGGATACATTGAATCAATATAGGGATGAAAATGAATATTGTTTATTGAAAAAATGTTGTCGATATATCTGAATGTCAAATTGAAAGCCACAGCAAGATACTTTTCCTTTCCATGTAGAAGTCTTTTGAATAAATTGTGCTTTAAATGAATACAAAAACAGGTCTGCTAATAAAGGACACAATTATATGTAGCACCCATTTGAATTCCAACAGATTGTCTCAAAAACCACATAGAAATTGTCAATCAAAATTTCAAGCATCTTTTTAATAAACTTGGGGTACTGTTGTGTAGAATCAGAGTGCTTTTTAACAAAATAAGTTTGCAGATGACTAATGACAAGGTATGAAATTTACGTGTTCCATTTTTTTAGCTCGTCAGTCCATCTATCCGTCTGTAAACTTCACATTTTTGACTTCTTCTCAAGAACCACTGGGCCAAAGTTCAAAGTTTTGTATGGAACTATAAAGAAAAAAAAAATTCAAAAATCTTTTAAAGAAACTCAATAAAACCATTACTTTGCAAAAATGTCAAAGTTTTGTAGATTTAATTTTTTTTCTTCAAATTATGGACCCCAGGTTAGAGTTGGCTAAAATCAAGATCCAATTTAACATAATGCATGTATGCAGGAAAAGAATTTTCTTCTCTATAACTTGCAAGGCAAGAGTTAGGGTAATGCCATAATATGGGGTCTCAATTTTTCATGGGAATATAAAAACAGCAGATGCTCAGGTGAGCATTTTGGCCCATGGGCCTCTTGTATTGAAGAAACAGTTGTCTATGATGTCAAAAAGCCTGGTCTTTAATTTATTATGAATGGTTGTACAAACTGTTGAAAAGTCATACATTTTGATGCTATTGATTATGGTAAAATTTTATGATTTCAAATTTTCTAAAAGTTCCTTGGAGTTTTTAAGTATCCACATCTGATTAACACCACTTTTCGAATATGTTGTACAGTAATCCTGAAGTTTCTTCTTCACTGCTATTAGTGTTAATATTTTTGTGAGGAGTAAAGAAAGAGGCTTGGTAGAACATTTGTTAGAACCTCTATCTCTGTAAGGATTTTTACATGTACGTATCTGTAGGTCAGGAATCCGGTATAGGTATAGTAATTCAAATTCAATTTGTTGTTGGAAATATTAAAAAAATATTTTTAAATCTGACATATGATTTTGAAAAAGAACAAGGTACGGTTTCAATACAAATCTGGCCCTGTATTTTTCTAAAATTTAGAAGTGATGTAAGAAATCAAAATTAATCCTTTCTGAATTATTGAAATTCCATGCAGTAAAAACGTACAAATAGTTTTTCCAATATGACCTCCTAAATGCTAATTGTGACGTCATGAACTTGTGCATTTTCCCGTATTTTCTTTTAAAGTTGCAGAAGACATTAATTTTCAGTGGAATTTTCTTTCAGAAAACATACAGCCCATGCATCGCCCACAAAGATTTTGAGATATGTGATTTTTCAAAGCATTTTACACAATATATCTAAAACTTGAAGTGGGCGAGGGCTGCGGACACCATTTTCTGAAGGAATATAAGCACAGAAATGAGTCATTTTGAGGCTTTTCTGCATAAAATCTAGAAATGTACCAAATTAATGACATCATATTTCTAGAATGGTCTTCCTTCATGCTGTATTCTTTAATGATTTATCATATTCATCTACTCAACTCATGTTATAGCCAATTTCATAACTTTTTTAGAACATTAAATTTTTAGGGCACAATAAAGCCCAAACCGTACCTTCTTCTTTCCTCCATAGAATTGGGACTTTGAGTAAAAGTTGAATTAATTTACCATCTGTAGATTATTGTAAAGTTTTCCTTATAAACTTGCTACAGTGTACCAATAATTTAATTTATGCATTTTCATAATTTATTGCTGTTGTTGGTGAATTTAAACTTTAAATTTGTCCCTTGATTCGAAAGTCCTAAAGGTTGTTTTATTAGGTCACCTGAGTCACTCAGGTGATCTATTGCTATCGGTTTTCGTCCGTCGTCATGCGTTAACTTTTGAACATTTTTAACTTCTTCTCCAGAACCGCTCAACCAATTTCAACCAAACTTTGGTATATAGCATCTATGGGTGAAGGGGAACAAAAATTATGAATTTCATGGTCCCTGCCCCCTGGGGCCTGAGGGGTGGGGCTAAAACCACCAAAATTAATGCAATCTTTAAAATTCTTTTTCTTTACTCCTGGACATCAAGCAGTCAAACTGTTGGCATGATTGTAATAAGCATTGAGCCCTCTACCAAAATTGTGAAATTCATGGCCCCAGGGTCAGGGGTTCTGGTGCTAGGGCAGGGCTATATAGATCATGTAGTGATAGTGCATTATTTCTTTGAAAATCTTCTTCTCTGCTGCTGGGTATCAAATAAACTAACTAAGTACATAGTTATGAAGAGCAAGAGTGCCTCTTCCAAAATTGTGAATTTCATGGCTCCAGGGTCAGGGGTTCTGGTTTTAGGGCAGGGCTCTATTGATTATATAGTGAAAATGCATTAATTCTTTGAAAATCTTCTTCTCTGTTCCTGGGTATTAAATAAACTAACCAAGTATATAGTTATGATGAGCAAGAGTGCCTCTTTCAAAATTATGAATTTCATGGCCCCAGGGTCAGGGGTTCTGATGTTAGGACGGGGCTCTATTAATTATATAGTGAAAATGCATTAATTCTTTGAAAATCTTCTGCTCTGCTCCTGGGTATTAAATAAAGTAACTAAGTACATAGTTATAATGAGCAAGAGTGCCTCTTCCAAAATTGTGAATTACATAGCCCCAGGGTCAGGGGTTCTGGTGTTAGGGCGGGGCTCTATTGATTATATAGTAAAAATGCATTAATTCTTTTAAAATCTTCTTCTCTGCTCCTTGGTATTAAATAAAGTAATTAATTACATAGTTATGATGAGCAAGAGTGCCTCTTCCAAAATTGTGAATTTCATGGCCCCAGGGTCAGGGGTTCTGGTGTTAGGGCAGGGCTCTATTGATTATATAGTAAAAATGCATTAATTCTTTAAAAATCTTCTTCTCTGCTCCTGGATAATAAATAAACTAACTAAGAACATAGATATGATGAGCATGGCTGCCTTTTCAGAAATTGTGAATTTCATGGCCCCTGGGTCAGGGGTTCAGGTGTTAGGGTGGGGCTCTATTGATTATTTGCATTAATTCTTTGAAAATCTTCTTCTCTGCTCCTGGGTATTAAATAAACAAACTTAATGCATAGTTATGATGAGCATGGTTGCCTCTTCCAAAATTGTGAATTAATTTCATGGCCCCTGGGTCAGGGGTGTTAGTGTCAGGGTGGGGCTCAATTGATATATATAATGAAAATGCATTATTTCTTTGAAAATCTTCTCTCTCCTGGATATTAAATAAACTAAGTATATAGTTATGATGAGCATGGCTGCCTCCTCAGAAATTGTGAATTTCTTGGCCCATGGGTGAAGGGTTCTGGTGTTAGGGCGGGGCTCTATTGATTATATAGGGAAAATGCATAAATTCTTTCAAAATCTTCTTCTCTGCTCCAGGGTAATATTCTAACAAAGAAAGTGCATGGTTATGATAAGGAAGAATGCCTCTTCCAAAATTTTGAAATTCATGGCCCCTGGGTCAGGGGTTCTGGTGAAGGGGGGGGGGGGCTCTATTGATTTTATAGTGAAAATGCATAATTTCTTTCAAAATATTTTTTCTATTACCGGTAATAAAGCAAAGAAACAGTGTATAGTTATGATGAGTAAAGTGCTTCTTCCAGAATTGTGAGTTCATGGCCCCTGGGTAAGATGTTCTGGTGTAAGGGGGGGGGGGCTTTATTTATTTAATAATATAGTGAACATGCATTTCTTTGAAAATCTTCTATGCTTCTGGGCATATTCAAGGCAAACAGAGTAAAAGTTTTAATATGCAAGGGTATTTTTACCAGAATTTTGAACACCTGGATTATTTAGTCAAGTGTTCTGGTCCTGGCCAGGGCTCTATGAACTTGTATTCTGCTGAGCAAAGTTATTCCCCTTTTCCATTCACCTTTGATAATTAATCACTGTAAATAATGTATTTGAAAGGTTGATAGAATAAGAGAATTATGCAAGAATATATATAGTATAATACAAAAAGTACTTTCATAGTTTTAATGATCAGGTAGACTTAGAAATAATAGATGAATAAAAGTGAGGCAAAAATAACTTATCTTTTTTAATCTTCTTCAAAGGCCAAGAGAGACCAATATGAGAAGTAGTAATTTGGGATTAAAAATAGACATTTTTTTAATAGACTGTGTGGTAATAGTGATAAATGGGGAACAGGTAGATTCTATACCAATTATTTTGTTGATGCGTATCATACTATTTTTCTTGCTTTTGGCCAACATAGCTTCATTTGTCAGTTTATGGATCCTCTAAATTGTTGTGTTGTACTCAGGTGACCATTAAGGCCATTGAGCCTCTTGTTTTATGCACAACTTTGATTTTATATTTTTTATTTTCTTAGCCCTGTGTACTTGGAAATCCTACGTCTCCTGCATCATCAGGTGATCAGTACTCCACAACAGCAGGCTGCTCAGTACTGCTATTTCTACCTCCAAGTTCTGAAGAGGGCATCACTACAACCAGAAATTTCACCGCAGGTAAAAATAACTAGAATGTTCTTAGGGTTCACAGTCATGTGCCCATGTGATGTTAATTGTCTTCACTTTTACTTAATGGCTAATAAGTACGACTTTCAGACCTAAGTCATTGTGAACTAATTACTGTATACTGGGTTATTTTCGCGCCATTTTATTTTCGCCCTTTTGCACTTGCAAACATTTTTGCCCCGTTTTAAATTTGCCCAGTCACCGTTCTGTTTAAGAAATTATACTGTGTACTCTGAATTCGCCCCGTTTTAAATTCGACCACTTGTGATTAGGGCGAAAGGGGCGAAAATAAAACGGGGGCGACAATTTCCCTGTATACAGTATACAGTCAAACCTGTATTAAGGATGTACAACACACCTACCCCAAAAATTTCCTGTCGTTTAATTTTTGCTATTTTTGTATATCTTATACATGACAATATCTGCTATGTGTATGTACATTTTGGTCAAAATCGTTCGAGCCGAATTTGGACAGGAAGTTCCTAAAGTTACCACCCTTTGGCTGATCAAGAGTACAACAAAATTTCAACCAACTTACAATAAAATCCCTTATTTTAAAATAATTAAGCTTAGCCTAGCTGTCAAAATTTGCTGAATAGTTCGTTTAACTATTAAACACACAAACAATGTGATTTTGTAGAGGTACCCTTTGATAAAAACGATTTTGAAGAATTTAAACTGAAAAACTATGGTTCATTTTTGCATTGAAAAATGCGGGATTTTCAAATGAAATATTTTTTTATGAAAAAATCTGTCGTTTAATTTTGAAAAAAAATAATCACTTCTTGTAACTGGTGATCAAAATGTTCTTAATAATTTTTTGAAATTTTTTTAAATGACGCGTTTTGAATTTATAACGGAAAATCTCCCCTCCCCCTCTCTCCATAAGTTACGTTTCTCACAGCGTCTTTCAGACTTGGGACGAAAGCAATGCTATGATTCTACAAATACAAATAAAAATTCCAAGCTGGAGAATATCTTTTACTTAAAAAATGTAATGTACATTATATTTATCACAAATATAAAAATTTACATCTTCATTTAAATGAAGATGAATAAGCAATTTCTGAAATTTTAAGACCCTCCCCCCTCAATTCTTCTCTGCAATGCAGGGCATTGGGGAAAAAAAAACAAACATCGGTTACGTCTGCATAATATATATAATTGGCATATTGAACTCCTAAAGTAATGTCCTTCATTCGTGTATACAGATTAAATATTGACTATTAATATTTTTTGTTATTCTAAATATTATTTTTTTATATTTATATTTAGTAAAACTATTTTTCTAAGAATTTTATGACCACTTGTCCAGTTTGGAGTTCATGCACACAGGTGCAGTTTCAAACCTTTATATGACTTCTACTTGCATTGAATATTATTTTTTAAGTGAACAAATAATGGTGTATGTACAACTCTCTTGTGATGAAAATGGACAATGTAAATGTATCTGTGTATTTGTGAGGAAAAATTTATAAACATAATTCTTCGGAAAACAGGAGGAATAACTCAGCTAAGGGGAGGAAAGACATACACCTGCTACATTTTTAGAGTTGTTTCTCTGTGATCAGTGACCTTCTGAAAACGGTTACTCTTTTTATTTTTTTTTTTTTTCAAAGAAAAGAAAAGCATGAAAATGTTTATTATCATAATATGATAAAATTTAAACATACCGGTAATATTTATTCTCAATGTTATGCGGCTGATTGTAACAGGTAAAAGCAATTTAGAGTAGCATTAACATTTTTAGATTAAAAAAATGCCTTTGTGTATATCATAAATACAATGTTAAAGAATTTTATAAAATTAACTAAATTTAAATTAAAGAAGTTTAAGGAACCTGTCTTTTTTCTTCTTTTTTAAGGAGGGAGGATTTATTGTAATTGCGCAAATGATCAAGGAAAGGATTTGGTATTCCTAAAGAAATCACAATAAAATCCTTTTTTTACATTAATTACATCAGGATCGTATCGCTCGTCATTTTGACGCTTCGTAATTAACGTCAAATTTAACGTTATGTTAAACGTTTTATTGAAATCGCAAGAGTTATCTCCCCCAGTGTGTTGTACGTCTTTAAGTGACCTAAGAAAAGCTAAAATGGTCACACAGCAGGAAAACATATTCTAGTTTTCTCGTCCATCATCATAGTTTGAATTATTTTTGCTTTTCTTAATAACTATAATTTATAAAATAAATATTTGTCAATACAAATTGTTTTTATTTATTTACTCAGGAGACCTATTGTTATCTTGTTTGCATCAAACATTTTCAGCTTCTTCACTGGAACCAATGAACCAATTTCAACTAATTTTGGCTTGTAGCATCTTTGAGTGAAGGGGAACAAAAATTGTGATTTCTTCTCCCCATCCCCCTGAGGTCTAAGAATTGGAACTAAAACCTTCAATCAAAATTAATGCAATCTTAAAAAAAATCTTCTTCACTCCTGGACATCAAACAGTTAGACTGTTGTCATGATTATAATAAACATTGAGCCCTCTACCAAAATTGTAAAATTTCATGGCCCAGGGTCAAAAATTCTAGAGTAAGGGTGGGGCTCTAATGGTCATATAGTGAAAATTCATACATTCTTTAAAAATTTTCTCTCCCCTTATATACCGTATAAGTTGAATTTTTAGCGAGAGGAAGATTAAGTGATTTGTCCCCAAAAATTGGTATATATTTTTAGAGAGAAGTAATTTTAGCAATTTTTAATGTCAAGAAAGATAGCTAACACAACCGATACAGAATAAATTGTCAGTGATATTCAATTTTAGCAATCTCAAAACCCTTGCTAATAATGCCAAAATAGAATCCTTGCTAAAAATTCTGCTCATACGGTATTTACAAGATAAACTAGGTGCATGGTTATGATGAGCAAGGGTGTCTCTTCCAAAAGTGTAAAATTTGTAGCTCAGGATCAGGGGCTCTGGTGTTTTTTTGGGGGGGGGGGGGGGGGGTGGCAAGATCTGTTGATTATTTAGTGAAAATGCATTATTTCTTTGAAGATCTTCTCTGCTTCTTGAGTATTAAGCAAACAAACTAGGTTTACTAGTTCTCAAGCACTGTTTTGTTTAGTTAACATGATGAGTGTACCTAATGGAGGCAAAGAAATAGATCTACTTCAAGATTTGTTACGGATATAAGACTACTGTAAATCACTATTTATTTGCAATAACTTTATTTTCACGTAATTACACGAGACAGTGTCCTTGCGAAAATTTCATTCTCACAGTTATTAGTATTCCTGAAGATTATACTGAGGAATGTAATCCACAATTTGTGAAAAATTTATCTTCAAGTTGTTAAAGAGTCGATGACTATCTCTCAAAAATAAGGTTTTGCAAAAATTAAATCATATACAGTAATTATTTTGTTGATCTCTGATCATCCTATTTCTCTTGCTTTTGGGCAACATAGCTTCATGTATCAGTTTATTTTGTTTTATTTTATACTTCTGTGGATCCCTTACAGTGTTATTTTATACTCAGGTGAACGTTAAGGCCCTAGGACCTCTTTAAAAAAGAAATGTTTGGTGGAAGGACATGTAAAAGAACATATACATAAGTTTATGTAAAGAAAAAATTGCAAACACTGTACATATTCTACAGATTTGATGTTTACACTTACATGTGCTATTCTTTACATGAATTGCTATGTACAGGTTTAAGGAGCCTCTTTTCAGAAATATTTTACATTAATGACAACAGATTTTGTGCTTGTATGATTAAATATTATGCATTGCATTGTATGTTGTAGGGCACTGTCCGGTTTTTGTCATATTTAGCAGAGAATTCTTTAAGTATTGATGAAGGAAGTTGGAGATTAGGAATTGCCATCCTTTCAGTCTGTCAGAATATCTTAGTTTGTCATGGAACCAGGGACTTGTATGTTGGTAAGTAATTACTCTCTTTCTGTGTATTTTATAGAAGGTGTGCTCTCTTCACAATGTCACCCAGTTGATTCACTGGAGTAAGAAGAGTTTAAATTTTATACCAGACATGGAAGTAAGGAAATGCTTATTAAGTAATATGCTCAATGTGCAATTTGCTGGATGTTAAAATTGTCTTGGTCAACATCCTGTACATGTATTAATTAAAAATAATTCCTTCCTTTCCAAAAGTCATCTGTACAGATTTAAGCATGCTTAATTTTGACTTTCTATCCCATACTCTAACAAACATATTGCCTAATTTTTCATCCTTTTATGTTAGACTTATGAATGTTTATTAAGAAGAAATCATTTCAGTAATGGAGAGATGTTTGACTGTTTTAGACATAGGTGACTTGCTGTTTTACCTGATGACTAACTACAGAGACACTGACATCAAAGATAAAGCCAGATTTTATTATATGTTGATCACCTCATGTACAGATGAAAAGGCAAGTGTATACTTGTGCATCATAATTTCTCTTTTAACAAAACCATGAAACAGTATCTTCAATTTTATTTCAAATTGTTATTTTATTTATTCTGACATGTTTATTTTAGCAGTTAGATAATTTAAAAAATGATCTGAATGTTGAATCTTAAAAAATGCACTTTATAAAAAATGTTTTTAGATATGCATGATTATACAACCTACTACAGACTCTCAGTTTTTTCATCATGAAGCCATTTCTAATTTACTGCCAAATAACAAAGCTAGGGGTCACAGTGATGTGAAAGAGCTTGAAAAGTCTATTTTTTGTCTAGAAAAGTAAGTCTTTAACTGCTGTTAAATAATATTAAAAGTTTAGTAATTTTTTTTGTTGGGTTTATACAGCTAGATGGAACATGATTTAACTAATTCATAAATTGTCAGTTGTTCATCATTTTAAAACAACTGAGAAGCTAATCATAAACCATATGTAAATATGTGTTTGTTTGCAGATTAAAGGTTCAGGCAGAAACTTTTCCAGATAATGATTATAAAGATTCAGATAATGAAAGTACTTGTAAGTACATGTACCTATTTTTTGACATTTCCTTTACAGTATGAGAAACAGAAAGTATTTCTTATGTCTGTTCCATAAATAGCCAGTCTTATACTGTAATGTTTCTTGGGTTCAAAGATTTAGTTCCTCTGTCTGAGCTATTAAAGGAATAAATCAAATAGTCATTAAAGTAGCTAAGTAAACAACTTTCACCAACAGAGCAATAAAACAATAAAGTCTTGAAAACTTTATAAAGGCAGGTAAGACTTGTTAATCAAGTTTTATTAGAGAGGTTAAGCAAATGACCGTGTACGTCTACGTGTACGTGTAGCTAGGGAAATCCCCATATTTACTGCGATTTACGTCATTAGTTTTGCATACCGCGTAATTCTACAAGCTGTGCACAACACGTGAATTCACAAGTACACGGAGGTAAGAACTTGTAGCTTCTTAAACTCTAATAATGGAATTTTTTTTTCATGTGGTGTTTGTTGTGATGTTGAGAATTTATTACGTACATCTGTGTACCTTTTTTGATCAAAGTAATAGAAATATTTGACAAAATTGGATTGTAAAGTGACATGTTGAAATGACGTCATTTCGAATGATATGAGAAAAATTCCAACGTGTCAGTTGAAGAATCAATATGATATATGTTACTACATTCATTACTTTAAGAACTAATTATTATTGTATTTTTTATTGTTGGTACCCGTCTTGTTGAATTATGTCGATTCACGCATATTTAAGGGGCGCGGGGGGGGGGGGGGGGGGGGGGGGGGATTGAGACACATTATCTACTTTTATTTATTTTCATGTTTTCCCAAATGCTCAGAAGTATATTATTTATTTTAATCCATGTGAAATTGAAAAAGCGAAAAAAGGGGTTTCGCCCTCCAATATTCTTTTAAAGGGGGGGGGGGGGGTTACAGGGCTTAATTACCCCTGCATTCAGGTCCTGTAAAAAGGACCCTTTCCCAATTCAAAATTTCCCAAATACCATGCAGATTGCATTAATTAGTGCTTTTTATATTAAATAAAACGTGGAATTTTGAGACTTTGATGATGATGATAAGAAAATAGAAATAAAGATTTGAATACATGTATTGATTAAGGCATAAAACTTAAAAGATGCTCTTTAATCAACATTTTAACTTGATATCAGACATCAGTATTTCCAAGGTTTGCCACTTTTTCGATTAAAAATTCCCAACTGAAAGGGTACAGAACCCTGTACAAAAAAGGTCTATTAAACCCTGGGTTAGCACCAGTTGAGTTGATGGCCTAAATTCCAAACTTTATTTCCGGAAAATGGGGGTGAAGGTCCAGAATATTTATTTACAGAATATGCCCCCACCCCCCTCTGTAGAACCCAAATCCTCAATCACTAATACAATTTCTATGTTTATTTTAATACCTGTATTTCTTTCAATCTTCTTTGAAAATTAGGGGGAAATGAATATCGAGAGGAAAAAACAAATTCGGTTTAAAAGTGAGGATGACATCCGGCTTTTGAGGGAAATTGTCGCCAGTAATCCCATGAAAATCAAGAGCAAATGGGCAGAAATCGCTGCAACCCTGTCATCACCTGATTTTATTCTAGATGCTAGGAGAGTGAGAGAGCAGACACATCTACTCATTGATCAGCATAAGAGAGAAAACCGAGAGAATCTCAAAAGGTACACATCTCTCTATTTCTCTCTCTGAATAAATACTACACATATATTTTAGTTGGATCCGCTCTTTGTTTATGTTTTTAGTTACACAATATTGCGGGTGGACCAAAAATCTGATTTTATAATAAATTCAGACAGTTTGAAAACTCATTATTAAGTACTATTTTTAAGATCTGGTGTTGATGAAGAAATAACAGAAAAAACCACTTTACTTGATGAAGTACTGGAGTTGAAAGAAGAGGAAGAAAGGGGAAAGAAAGAAGAAAAAGAAAAGAAAGAAAAATCCGGGAACATGGGGAAAGAAATAAGAAAGAGAGCCTTAGAGTGTCTGACACCAAAGAAAGGTATGCACATGTAGTACACTACATACATTTACAACATACTTAGTAATAAAAATAGCTTTTTTGCATATGCGATTTACCTGATTGCAGAATTGCAGGGCTGATACAGATTTATATCTCCTTGTAGATTAAACCTTAAAAAACAGTACATATGGTAATACATCTATTTATAAAAAAAAATTGTTCGTATTCTCTTAATTTTAAATTACTGTTTTTGATACAATAGGCTACATGTCATTTGTCAGTGCATGACAGGCCCGTAGGAAGCAATTTTAGTTTGGGGGACACAGCCATACATTTTCAGTTTTTTTTGGGGGGATGGGGCACTATGAACTACCAAAAATTCCTTGACAAGCAAAAAATCATCAGACCTTTTAATTGAAGGGGCACAAGCAGAGCCATGTTTTCTATAGTATTCTATATATCGGCAAAATTATTCAATTGGGGGGGGGGGAGGGGGCACGCATGATTATTTATTTGTATTTTTCTCAAGTTCATGTGTGCTGTGTTTTATTACAAGCATGTAATAAACATACTAAAACATACCCTCAACCAATGTCAGCCCTCGGCCCTTCGGCCCACTAGCTGCGTCTCGAGCTGATACAAGATGTGATATGGAAATTAAAGGGTATATATTATTCTCTATGTATATCACGGTGTACATGATATTTTTGAAAATATTTTTACCATCATTATCTTGTAGTATATTTAATGTATGCATTCTCTAATAAATTCCGGTAATTTATTTGCAATTACAAGTAAATTACATGCTATAGATACAATCTACGTGTATTTAACCCCCCCCCCCCCCCCCCCCCCCCCCCGGTCTGTGTTGTAGAATATATTTGCTTCTTTCGAAATTTATTAATTTCAGATGATGAGTGTGGGGCACCAAAAAGGAAAAATTCCCAAACTTACCTCGTCGACTATTTAAAGGAAAAGACCGAGATGGAAATGAGAACAAAAAGCGAAGAAATGGAGTTCAAAAAGGAACAACTAAAATTGGAAAAGGCCAAATTTGATTTGGATAGACAAGAGAGGATGCAAAGGATGGAAATTGAAAAGCAAGAAAAACTTGCTTTTATTGATTTGTTAAAGAAATTAACAAAAGATAAATAACAAATAAACAAGTACATGTATTGTGATAATTCACATATGTTATAACTGAATAAATTATAAATGAATAAATTAAGACACATTTAAAATCTGTTCTGTTTAGTACCTTTGCACATAACCGCCTATTATCATGCATTCATACATGTATTTAGTAGTTGATGCACGTTTTAGGCCAAATACTCTTGTAGGGATGGCGGAGGTATACCAAAGAATGACCCGGTCTCGCTCCCATAGAGAATAGTGTGACAGTTAGTTAGGATTGATGCTACTCTGTAATACTTTCCAACAGGTTGTAAATACAGTTTTTGATTCTTCTTAAAATCAAGAAAAGCAAAGAGAGTTAAAATTTTGCTGAAAGTCCATTCTACACACACTCTCACTGCCGACATTCTTTTGTTAAAGCGCATCTGATTAGCTGAGATCACACCTCCCCGAAATGGGGGTATTAGGTAGGGTGATAATGGGTATGCGGGGTCACCGTAGAGGGAGTAGACATCATTATTTGCCTTTGTCATATATTGTTGCAGTTGATGCTCAACGTCGCTTTCTCGTAACATACCGGCATCATGACGTCGACCTTCAATTGGACCAAAGAGGTGCGCTATCATTCCATCAGGTGTCGTAATACACTGAAACTTAAGACCATGGACTCTCTTATGGCCATTAAACACCAACTGCTGATGAGATTGGGGTCTGCATATTGGCCTCACCGTTCCGTCTATAAAACCCCAGCAATTTAACAGCGGGGCTCCGCAGTTACTTATGGCTGTGGCCATTTCATCCAACTTTGCGTGCGACAACCAAGGCTGATTTAAACTCTCGAGTCTGTGTCTGTGGCTTGTATCAATGAAATTAAGGACTGTGTTAAAAATGTATGATAATTCAGCAGTTGATCTCCCAAATATATGCGAAAGGTCTTGTAATCTACTTGGGTACGCTAATCGGCGAATAAGAATACACAAACCTTCTATTCCAGAACATACAGTCCTGTTTTGGCGCACAATCTTTCTTGGTAAATCTAACGCTTCACACAAACCATTCACATCTTCTCTTTTAAATCTAAATAAATTACGGAACTGTTAATTGCTTAGTTCATCAAACTTTAACTGCCGATAAACTGATGAATCTTTTTCATCGCCCACACTCGCCAACAGTAAAAGGTCAGCATCATCCTCCAAAGATGCAAGTAACATCAAATTTTGCGCCATTTTAATTTACAATCACAGAGATGGAAAACTTATTTTGATTTGTTTATTTTGATTTTTTTATCCAATGAAATATTTTATTACAAAATGTTTTACACGTACCCGTACACGTGCTGTTTGTTAAACAGAACACGATGTTAGTTACGCGTACTTGTAAAAACACTTCTAGGTTTACACGTACACGTAGACGCACACGGTCAAATGCTTAACCTCTTTATTGTCTCACCTAAGCAGCCAGCAGGACTGGTTCTTGTCAACTTCAGTCTGGAACTGACTAAGAGCTCCAATTTCGCTGCTTATATCCTAAACTATCAAGTGATCCTCGAGGATCAAAAGGGTGAAATAAACAGGAAGTTCTTATTAAGGTCTCAATAGACAGAGTGGGATGAAATGATTTCAATTCCAACTTTCGTTTCAGTAGTGTTGCCTGTCATTCCATCATTCTGTTACAGTGGTTTTCTGGACTTTTTTTGCCTATGTATGTTAATACCTTCAGTCAACTCTGGACCAAGGACTAACAGCCTTTTAATTTTGTGTCAATATAATGCTTACTTTAAACATTATTATTTTCAGTTTTGTTAATTTATTTTTGGTGGGGGGGGGGGGGGGGGGGGGGGGGCAATGCTTACTGAGCTGATGTTTATTATGTAGCTTTAATTTGATTTCTTACCCAACTAGTTTGAGTTTTGTGTCCGATGGCCCACTTAACACAATCATTGCCCTTGGAGTTTGAAACCTTCACACTAAAGCTGTTCAAGGACTTCTGATTGTCGAAATTAAAAATAAAAATTGGGCAGAATGTCACTGTATTTTTAGTTCTGAAAAGTTTCTTTTTCCAAATGAAAGCTTTGTAAAATGACCATTCCAATGTGTAAATCGTAAACTTTGACCTATTACAGGTGATCTTAAGGCTTACTACAATAGCCTAAGGAAGAATAAAACTGTATTGAAAACTGTCCACAGAATATCACTGGTATGCAAAACTGAAAATTACTTATTTTAAAGGATTTAAATACAGTACTTCTAAGAAAATCTGTATGCATTATCATGAAAATTTGAATTATTTGTACTGAAATTATTTTGTCAGATTGAAGGACCTACAGAAGTCCTTGCTATGTGCATATACTTTAAAGATGATTCCAGCTGTCAGCCTTTGAAAGGTTAGATTTGATGTAATGATTCATAGTCTTACTTAAAGTCAAGAATTAGTAACATAAAAATAACCATTTTCTACTGTAAAATCAAAGACCTAAAGTCCCTTCCCAAACGTTAAAAATACCTATTTCGTGGTGATGGTAGTGAGGTCCACGTTTTCTATGGGGGTCCAAAGTCATTTTTAGGTCACCTGAGTCACTCAGGTGACCTATTGCTATCCGTTTTTGTCTGTTGTCGTGCGTCGTGCGTTAACATTTAAACATTTTCAGCTTCTTCTCTGAAACCGCTCAACCAATTTCAACCAATTTTGGCATATAGCATCTGTGGGTGAAGGGGGACAAAAATTGTGAATTTCATGGTCCCTGCCCCCCTGGGGCCTGAGGGGTGGGGCTAAAACCACCAAAATTAATGCAATCTTTAAAAATCTTCTTCTTTACTCCTGGACATCAAGCAGTCAAACTGCTGGCATGATTGTAATAAGCATTGGGCCCTCTACCAAAATTGTGAAATTCATGTCCCCAGGGTCAGGGGTTCTGGTGCTAGGGTGGGGCTATATAGATCATATAGTGAAAGTGCATTATTTCTTTGAAAATCTTCTTCTCTGCTCCTGAGTATTAAATAACCTAACTAAGTACATAGTTATGATAAGCAAGAGTGCCTCTTCCAAAATTATGAATTTCATGGCCCCTGGGTCAGGGGTTCTAGTATTAGGGTGGGGCTCTATTGATTATATAGTGAAAATGCATTAATTCTTTGAATATCTTCTTCTCTGCTTCTGGGTATTAAATAAAGTAACTAAGTACATAGTTATGATAAGCAAGAGTGCCTCTTCCAAAATTGTGAATTTCATGGCCCCTGGGTCAGGGGTTCTGGTGTTAGGGTGGGGCTCTATTGATTGTATAGTGAAAATGCATTAAATATTTGAAAATCTTCTCTTCTGCTCCTGGGTATGAAATAAAGTAACTAAGTACATAGTTATGATAAGCAAGAGTGCCTCTTCCAAAATTGTGAATTTCATGGCCCCTGGGTCAGGGGTTCTGGTATTAGGGTGGGGCTCTATTGTTTATATAGTGAAAATGCATGATATCTTTGAAAATCTTCTTCTCTACTCCTGGGTATGAAATAAAGTAACTAAGTACATAGTAATAATGAGCATGGCTGCCTCTTCCAAAATTGTGAATTTTATGGCCCCTGGGTCAGGGGTTCTAGTGTTAGAGCGGGGCTCTATTGATTATATGGTGAAAATGCATTATATCTTTGAAAATCTTCTTCTCTGCTCATGAGTAATAGATAAATTAACTAAGTACATTGTTATAATCAACATAGCTGCTTCTTCCAAAATTGTGAATTTCATGGCCCCTGGGTCAGGGGTTCTGGTGAAGGGGGGGGGGGGGACTCTATTGATTATATAGTGAAAATTCATAATTTCTTTCAAAATATTTATTTCTACTCCTGGTTATAAAACAAAGTGTATAGTTATGATGAGCAAGGATGCTTTTACAAAATTTTTAAAACTTGTGGTCCCAGGGGTTCTGTTGTTTCTCTGAAGGGGGGGGGGGGGGGCTCTTTTTGATAATATAGTGAAAATGTGTGAATTCTTCAACTAATTGCATAGTTATGATGATGAGGGTACCTCTTCCAAATTTGTAAATTTTCAACATCTTGACCATTTAGTCAAGTGTTCTGGTCCTGGCCAGGGCTCTATTAATTTGTATTCTATTGAGTGAAGTTATTCCCCTTTGCTATTCACTTTTGATAATTAATCACTGTAGATAATGTATTTGAAAGGTTAACAGAATAAGAGAATTATGCAAGAACATTTATTGTATAATATAAAAAGTACTTTTATAGTTTTTAATAATCAGGTAGACTTGGAAATAATAGATAAATAAAAATGAAACAAAAATAACTTATCTTCTTAAGTGTTCTTCAAAGGCCAAGTGAGGCCAATTTGAGGGGTAATAATATAGACATTTTGTTAAAAGTCTGCGTGGTAATAGTGATAAATGGGGGACAGATAGAAAGATATCAGACCAATTATTTTGTTGATCTTAATCATACTAATTTTCTTGCTATTGGGCAACAATTAAAGCTTCATTTCAATCTCTCACCAGAGGGCGTATTACACTTCGCTACAACACCTCTGTTAAGGTCTAAATGCCAAGATTCTTGGCAAAACTTACCCTGACCTATTGCATAACAAATTATAAATTTTAAAGTTAAATATTTTAGCTTTAAAATTTAAAGAAAAGTTTATGTATGAAAATTAGAAAGAGATATATCTGTATCCCCGTATCTTACAAGGGATTATTTCTCGGCGGGATATTGCATCACTCATGTAGACAGAATATGAAGAACGTGGAAAATTTAAAACGCATTGCCGACAAATATCAACATGGTTTAGTTTTTAAAGACAAACAACTTGCAGCATTGACACATATACAGAAAAGTGAAGGTTATACGCTTGTTAATCTTCCTGTGATAGAGGCCACGCGTCTCCGCCTTCTGTACTACCTTTTAGACGTTGACAGAGGTATAAGTGGAGCGTAGCGGGAACGATAACTCTGGATAGAGATTGGCTTCATTTATCAGTTTATGGATCCTCTAAATTGTTGTACTCAGGTGACCGTTAAGGCCCTTGGGCCTCTTGTTTATACTTTTAATGACTGTGCAAATTCCAGGGGGTTTATCTTCAGAGTCCTATCATAATTTCAGTATTTAGTGATTATCTATGAACTTATTATCATTTTTTTCTTACAGAAGTTAGATTTCCCAGAATGACAAAACAAGGTATGTTAGTTACACATCCATAATAAAAACTGAGAAATCTACAAAGATTGATTTCAGTAACCAAACCGGATATGTTTTTATTTTCTTTCAGTAGAATATGAATTTGATCTTGACATCGTTCCCATAATTCCACTGTCAACAAAGATAATCACAAGGTGAAATATATTATTTATTGCTATATGTACATGTATTTGTCCTAGATTTCATGAGCTCTCCGTAAGTATTTAAATTTATATCACATCAAAAAGAAGACAGCATGAATTAATCTCTCATTAAAAAAATTTAAGGTAATAATTATACATACAGGTCATGATGTGTACATATTTTATATATATATATCTATATATCTTTTTTTATCACCATCCTATCATAGATGTGAGTTTGTTGATGGAGACCAGACATTCTGTTGTCGGTTGACAGACACTGTTGTAGCTATAGAAGACTTTTTTATTCCTCTACCATTAGAGATTACCTCCCCTACAGATAAAGACAGTGATTTCCAAACTCTTTGGGATTGGCTGGCAGAGGACAGCAGACAAGATGGGTATGTGTTGTAATAACAAAGCAATGAGCCATTCTTTAGGAAGTATAGAATAATTGTATAAGTACAGTCGCACCTGTTATGGCCACCCTTAATCAGCGGCCACTCCCCATGAGCGGCCAGTTTCAATCCCGCCTGTTCATTTTTTCACTTTATTTTAAGTCATTTAAGCAGCCACCTGTCTAACGTGGCCAGTGGCCAGGCCAGTGTTTTTAGGTCCCATGCTCTCAACATGCCTGTTTTCAACGGCCATTTTGTCTGTTTTGTCACATGACTTCCGTCTGACATGTGACCTCGTAGCGCCATTAATTATGCCAGAATTTAATGAGATAATTTTTTTATTTTTTAACAACTGTTTTGTGTTGTTCTTCATATACAAAAGTAAGGTGTAGAATATGTTCATGATATAAACTCAATACATAAATTATGATTTCGCCCAAGGTTATTAAGTGGTCAGTCTTGCGCTTTAGCCCTAGAATGTTTACATGTACACTAAGATCTGCTTTTATGACGTATTCTGAGTAAAAATCAAGCATTGTATTAAAAATTAAATGAAATGGAAGGCAGTAAGAGGTCAGTCCTCTCCTTTAAAGATAAGGCCAAATCTATTGAGCTTAGTAAACAAGGCTTGTCTTCACGAGAGATATCATAAAGATTTTAAAGTGTGAAATACTGTAAACTCTATGGCTGTTACCAACACAAAACAAAAAAAACAATAGCAGATTTTTTTCAGAAATCATGTAAAATGAAATGTAATATAAAAAGGATTTCATGTGACTTACAACTTCCAAATTTTTTAAATGTGTTGAAATTGTGGAGTTGGATATGTTTGAAAATGAATATACAACTGTACTCACAAAATTTTGTTCATTGGTTTGAAACCTGGAATAAAAGGCTACCTGTCTTAAGTGGCCAATTTGTCATTCTCCCACAAGTGGCCTCTTAAAACAGGTTTGACTCTATGTAAATCTTGTACTCAAAGTTTCCTATCTAAGGAGGAAAATCTTCAAAATCATGTCAGTTTTAAATACAGTAAACTTCTTTTATAACGTATCTCAGGGGACTGTTATAAATCCTACGTTATAACCGGTGTACGTTATAAACGGAGACCGGAAGTACTCAGTACACCTTTACCGTAATCACCTTCCAAACCGCTAAAGTGTGTTATTAATATTTTTAAAAGTATGTATACTATGTAAAAAATTGATTTACAGGCATATGAGTGATTTACAGGTATATTTGGTTTCATTTCTTATATTTTCTTATAATTAAAAAAGATAAATATTCAGTAACATTTTATTTTCACAAACTACATGTATAAATTATTTCAAAATCGCTTATTTAGTGCTGTACAATCTTAATTGATCTCAGATCATTTAAAAAAGTCCGTAATGTTTTTCTGTTTGGCTTGGCTGCATTTATTAACAAAAGTCTCCAGAGTTGCAAGCGCGGAGAAAACATTGTCGTCAACCCCTTCGAACGAGTTTACAAAAATTGTGATTTCTGACAAATGCCCTTTGATCGTTTTGGAAGATCGTACACATGTGTCAGGCACTGGATCGTCGTCCTCGCTGTCGTCGCGGTCTGTTGATTTTGAATCGCTGTATTTTTCTTTGACTTGGTCAATTATGTCATTTTCGGTCATATTACTTGCAACAATTAATTTTTCGTCTGCAGCGATGTAATCATTTAGAGTACATTCAATTTCAGGCTGTGTTTTTCGCACTGTCTCCCATTTTTCTGCCAAAGTTGAAAGTGGGATATCATCATCACATCTACCTGATGAACTTTATTCAAACAATTTATTATAAATACATGTACCTGAAACAGCAAAGAGACCTCGTTACAAAAACACCGATTACGGAGCAGCTTTGAAGTTAACAAACCGTGACTAATCCGGTCAGCGAGTTCGGGGAACACACCGATAGACAAGAATAGATATGGGTTACCCCATATCCAAGATATTCGACTTTTAATTTATTCGAATTTTCATTGTGCTCAGATGATTTCTAATAAAAAAACAAGTATTTACTGACAAAACATCAGAGATACTCAAGCTGTAGAAAGTCATAATAAAAGTGCCATAAATATCCTAAAACGACAAAATATTTAGGCTACTGAGTTTCAACATCTTTTGTTGAATAAAATATGCATGTACTAGGAAACAAACTGCATGTTCATATATAACGTTAGATGTAGATGCATGTAGTGACTATCACAAAGTCGCTAAAAATAGTTTTAATTTCACATAGAACATAGACTAAATATAATTAATCGTATAATTTTAAAAATGTATTTAACACCTCGTTCATTTTCAGGAATATTTAAACCAAATAGCATGTTACAGGCCTGTAGCAACGTTTTCAAAGTGAAGGGGGGGGGGAGCTCCGAAAAAAATCCCGCGTACTATATGGGCCTGTGCTACATGTGTACCATCTAACTTTCCAATGATATAATCTTCTGTAAAAAAAAAAAAAAAAAAATTCAAATCAAGTTCAAGCCGTTATGGATTATCAAAGATAGCCCATTTTTTTTAAATAGCAAAACTATAGATCTATCAAGGATAGATTTTAATTTATTTTTTAATTTTGTGCTATTAAATTACTATCACCCATAGTATAGGCAGATGTTAAAGATGGTCAACATGTCACCTTTTAGAACGAATGAACTTGTAATCAATGAACTTGTCCAGAGATGCATTGACGGCCGTTGTTAAACGCAAAGGAAAGCGCGAGATCGGTTGCGGCTATGGAGCATCACTGAATATTCCTTCGTCATAGGATAGAATCCGACATTTAACACTTAATATAGATTTTGAATATACAGATGTTTTGAAGATAAACTTAGTATATTTTCGTGTTTTTAAACTGAGTAGATCGATGACCTAGTCTCGTTTTAGATAACTCAGCCCCTCTAGCCCAATTTAGGGCTTGAGTAAAAAACCTGCACTTCTTATGAAACTGGTGTATAGTTCTAAACTTCTTCATTTCCGTAGCAAATACTGATACCCAGTCTACGTGATCTAAGCGTCTCTAGCAAACGGTGCACACACCTGTGCTTGCAAGACCAAATAGCCTAGGTCTACACACGTGCGAAGATCCTTTCAGACGAGCTCGGAACATTACCTTGCTTTGCCGAGAGGTTACGATTGCAGGTGTTTAACCATAATAACCATTCCGTTATTCTTTGAAAGAGAGAAAAAAAAACCCACACAATTAATGATTAACATATATCCATTCAAAAGAAATTATAAGGCAATGAACGAACAATAATAATGACAGTAATATAACTGGTGAAAAGATTTATCATTATCAATCGAAGTATGACCTATATATTTTCGGGAAAAAGACTGAGGAGGCAGCGAGCGTAGGAATATGAAAACTTTTTATTTGCTTTTCCGGGGAAAAGATGATTTTCTTAAAATCTTTTTACGTTAATTTTGTTTTCTTTAACGTATTAAATATACATCATTATTCTTAACATTTGTTGTAATCTTGTATCTACTGATCATGAATGGGAGCAATTGTGTGAAGAGTACCTGACTTTAGTAATATATCTTGAATAGATAATATGCACTGATCGAATATATTAAAAAGGTGTGAAACCATGTGTCAGAATACGTTATAAGAGGTGTAATTATGTAACGGGACCAAATTTCTAATACTTTATAAGCGATACTACATTATAAACAAATACGTTGTAAGCGGTGTTTTTTTCCAATGAAATATATAGTCACTTTGCCGGGACTACGGAATGGCTACTTTATATCCGGAGATACTTCATAACCGAGTACGTTATAAAAGAAGTTTACTGTATGTTTAAGGTAGAGATTGATAGGTTGTCAACAAAAAAACTAACCATTGAAATTTTCTGAATTTTATATATGTTTGTGTTGAGTCTTTGTTCTGAATCATATTAAAAATTCAAGGTAAGTCATCGGGCTAGTTTACGAGAAATTTGATAATTTTAATATAGCCTTCATCACCCACCGAAGAGCTGAAAAAGCAGGGTAAAATAATATAAGAAGACGATATGAAAAGGGCTATAAAATTTTTATTGATATATCAATTATCATTTGTCTTATATGAGTTCAAACATCTGTCTATATGAATTAATATTTGACATCAATCTTAAAATTATCAAGCACTGTAAGCGAAAAACAGAATTACATTCACCAAGGTGCATGGTCAAATTACGTTAAAATATTGCCTATTCATTACTCAAAGACTCACACTTCTGCTTCCACTGTGAAAATATTACCCATCAAATTTCTTTTTTTATTGCATATTATAGTTAGTCAATAAGTATCTTAACTTTCAGAAAAAAATCATACTACATAATGGGGTTTAATTTCAACCTGGCGCAAGTTTATTATCTTACACCCTACCCTACCCCCTTCCTTTACAAAGGATGCACTTTTGAAGAATATGGTGACTAAGAGAGATTATCAAAGAATTCATCAAAATATTTCACAGAAAATGAGTAAATTCTTTGTAATATTCTTCTAAATTACATTTTATACATGTATCACAAAAGCAAATATTTATAATGTTCATCCTAGACACATGTTGCCCTGTTTGACCTATTTGCACTTACATTCAAAAAGATATGAACTTTCCTTTATATCGTTAAAATTGACTTTGATAGATTTATTATACATATGATTCTTGGATGAATTATCAATGACAATATCTTTTGACCAATTCTGTGCAGTAAAATGACAGATATACTTGATATAGCTATAACTTTCATATCCTTTGATGAAATGCTTTGATACTCAGGATATCAGGATATATTAAAAGTGTAGACAAGATGACATGGTCAGAATGCACATGCATGCACGTGTGTGCATGCGCATTGATTGAAATATCCAATACAAATGATATAGACTTAACTTGTACATTTTTTGATGAATTGCATTGAAACTCAGAATATAAATATATATTAGAAGTGTACACAAGAAGACTTGATCAGCGCACACATGCATGCACGTGCATGCACGTGCGCGCGCGTGCAATGAGTAAAATGACAGATATACTTGATATAGCTATAACTTTCATATCCTTTGATGAAATGCTTTGATACTCAGGATATCAGGATATATTAAAAGTGTAGACAAGATGACATGGTCAGAATGCACATGCATGCACGTGTGCGCATGCGCATTGATTGAAATATCCAATACAAATGATATAGACTTAACTTGTACATTTTTTGATGAATTGCATTGAAACTCAGAATATAAATATATATTAGAAGTTTGCACAAGAAGACTTGATCAGCGCACACATGCATGCACGTGCGTGCACGTGCGCGCGCGTGCAATGAGTAAAATGACAGATATACTTGATAAAACCAAAACTTTCATATCTTTTGATGAAATAAGTTAATACTCAGAATATAAGGATATATTAATAGTGTAGACAAGATGACATGGTCAGCATGCACGTGCGTACGCGTGCAATGAGTAAAATTACCAATATACTTGATATAACCATAACTTTTACATTTTTTGATGTAATGCTTTGATACTCAGAATATATAAACATATCATAAATGTAGACAAGATGACATTGTCAACATGCACATGCATGCACGTGCGCGCGCATGCAATGCTAAAATGACCAATATACTTGATATAGCTGTAACTTTTATACTTTTTGATGAAATGCTTTGATACTCAAAATATATAGATATATTAATAGTGTTGACAAGATGACACGGTCATCATGGACATGCATGCACGTGCGCGCGCGAGCAATGCGTAAAATGACAGATATACTTAATATAGCCGAATTTTTTTTTAATCTTTTGATGAAATTTGAATATAAAGATGTATTAAAAGTATAGACAAGTTGACATGGTCATTTTATACGTGAATGCCCATGTGCGAGCGTGTAATGCGTAAAAAAAACCCAACATACTTGATTGGCTTCTTTAATAAAGCTTACAGGGAATAAGACACCAAAAGGAAGTTGGGAAGCGTTTGGGGAACATCTGTAACGGTCCCCGTTACAATTAATACTAGTTTCAATTGGAATGTCATTTGATACAATATTATGACCTACAACAAGAAAAGGATGGTTTGATTTTAAAAAAAATCTGAGAAATATAACAAAGCTTTGATGAATGTTGATGCTACATGTACATGGATTACCATTAAGATTCATTTGGAAAAGTAAGATAAACTTGTTATTTTGCTAGCTGTAGATCAATGTACATATGTATGAATCTTTAATTGCCATCATATGCATCCAGTTGTGTCATGTTCAAGGAACTGGACAATTCTGTTGATTCTATGTCAATACAACAAAGGTGTTCTTTTCAGAAGGAGCTGCAATGAGCGGCATTCATTCTGTATATTCAGATTTTGAAGCACATATCTAATGGGTGGGATATGTCTGTTCCTCTTTACTGTATCCTTCTGGTAGTTCTTTTTCTGAAATGAACAAATTATTTTAATATTTAAAGAACTAAAATACATGTATTACTTCTTTCTTACACTGCAAACATGGTATGACTATGTCTATATTATGAATATAAGACATTTCTGTCAGATTATACTGTAGCAATACATTTTTTATATATGTATTCATCAAATTGTCATGAATCTTTTAATCAAATGCATATATAGTCGGCCTCATTAACCTGGACACTTTTGCTCCCAAGGAAATTGTTTGGATTAATGAAGTGTCTAAATTTTAAAAAAAAATTGGTATATATACATGTAGATAAAGATTAGATATTTTAGTTTCTCAGTGTAGGTCACACTCTAAGGCCAAGATCATGGGGATAAAAAAAAGAAATAAACATGTGAAATACAAAGACCCAGCAATAATTGTCCAAGAGTTAAGGCCAAAGGATAAAGTTTTTGTGGAAAAAACACTATATGTACCTGTCAATGACACATCCTCAATGTGAAACAATACATATAGCAACTAGCAACATGCTGTAAGTGTACTTAAAAAAGCGGGCTTCATGTTTTAGCGGCTTTGGCGCAGACAACGATGCGCTAATTCAAGAATACCACTAAGAAATCATTTATAAATACAATATACAGCAGGGACATATATAGCTCGAATTCATGATTTTGCCAATTCCACATCCAGTAATTGCGCTAAGTTTTAAATACGCCAATTTATGTACACGTACAGTAACTATTATATGTGGAATTAAAATATGTTTTTTACATCATTCTTATTCCATGGTTTTTAATCCAGTCTTGTCCTAATTACCTTATTGACATAATTCCAATATTCTTTTGTAACACTGCATATGACCCTTGATTATATAGCCAAGGATCATGTATGTCCATAAGATCTGTAACATGAAGAAAAGACAATAAAAATTAAAGTAGATAGCTTGATCTATTTAAAAGATATTGTAGAATTTATTAACAATTCTGATTTAATTTGTAAATTTAATTTTTTGTAAATTTAGGTATGATAATGTGAAGAAGTCAGTATGTACATGTATTGTTAAAAAACCATATCTCAAAAGTTTTTTAACAATACTGACTTCTTCAGATTATCATACCAATTCTTTGGTGTTTTAGTTGAAACAATCTCATTCAAGTTAGAAGACATCTTTACATTTTATAATTTTTGGTTACATGTATTCAGTTTTTAATTCAATTTACAATGTGTTTTTTTTTGTATGTCTATACACAAGCATTTACCGGTACATGTATTTAAGTCAATAGAGCACCTGACTAGTGATGCAGGGGTCCCAGGTTAGATTCTCGGTCCAGCCATACATTTTCCTCCTTTCCTGTCACACATGTATGCTACTTTATGTACAGTTACTGTAGCAGATCTGTCTTGAATTTTCCTGAAATATGTATATGAACTTTGAAAAATTATTGACTTGAGAAAATGCTTCTATATGTATACAATAGTTTGTACATTATGGTGTGTAACTTAAAAATATAAGGACTAAAAATTTGAAATTTTAATAAATTTATAATAATATAAAACACATCCTTTTTACCCCCCCCCCCCCCCCTTATTGGAAAAATTTCTGGATTTTCCCTGATACATGTGAAAGTGTAAATTGAAAGGAAAAAATAAAAGAGGAAACAAATTAAGCTTTAAATACAAACCAATGGCTACTTTGAAGTTAATGTAAAAAGCACCCTTGATATTCCTCTTTCCAGCTGACACTTGATTTGAATGGCCACATTATTTCCACAGAGAATGCTGAATACACTGCCTTAGCCTAGTCCATATTTTGCTTCACCTGTAGTATTTAATATTTCTTTTAGTATTCATGATATCCGTTTATAATCAGGGCCCTTTTGAGCATACATCAACTACATGCATAAATTTATTACATGTGCATAATTATTACATTATAACATAAACTTGCATAATTATTTAAAAATCTTTTGAATACAGCCCCATTTAAACTGTAATTCATCATCTATGTCTATGGATCATAAGTTAGCATGTAAAATACATGTACTTAAATAATATACAATGTTAAGTATTAAACAGGTCCAGTACAATCAGTACATTTATCTGCATAGGTAGAATTACCTACAGACGGCTACTATAACTTTATTTAGCTACTTTCGGTAGTTTTATTTAGCTATTTCAATGCAACTTTCTATTGTTTGAGTAACTATACACAACCTCGTGTGCTTTAGGCACAGAAAAGTATGATTACCTCACATTGTGCTAAATAATTACCAATCCGGCCTTTATCATGTTCACCAGAAATGTCTGGTCTTGTTATTTCATTCAAGAAGTAAGAGTCTGGTCATAAAATAAGTTTGACTTTGTAGCTAAATAAAACTACTTTAGGTAGGTAAATAAACCTATGTAGGTTATTCAAGCTACGTAGCTAAATCTAGTGATTGTACCAGACCTGTACGTTAAACAAACATGCACCATAGTCGTAAATATTCACCTGATGTATCTGAAACGGACACTGCAAACAAAACATTTCTTCTGCAAAATTTTTACTTCTTCCATCATACCAATTAACATCTGCAGGGTCATGGCCTTTAATCAGTTAATGTCTACGTTCAAAACCACATCAGACACAGATACCGGCACCCACGTACGTGGTGCTGCAGTGGACAAGGAGTAGTTTCACCAAAATTATGTTCATGGTCGGTTTCAGTCTCATTTTCATTTCGATTCTTATTAAGGTGCTTCAATTTCGAGGACCGTCAAGATTAAAATATGTATGGAAACTTTGTCTTTTAAACGAGGAAATTTTCTCGACTGCTTCGTCGGCCATCTTGTAGCATAGACAATAATGTGTAAATGAAGATTATTACTTGGCGGCGTTGCGGAATCCGGAAAAACAGCACGTGCTAATATGCGGATTCTATCTATCACGTGATTGCTATCCGTCTCTACCTTAATATTCCCAACAATCAAAATGAATATGAATTACCATACCTGTTCTGGATTTGTAAACTAAATAAAAATCCTTAAAACTGAGATACATAGCAGCTAGATTCAAGTTAATGTTCTACCAAGCCTCTTTCTTTACTTCTCACTAAAATATTAACATCAGTGAAGGAGAAACTTCAAGAGTACTGTAGAACAGGATATTTGAGAAGTGGTGTAAATCAGATGTGGATACTTAAAAACTCCCAGAAACTCTCAGAAAATTTGAAATCACAAAAATTTATGAAAATCAATAACATCAAAATGTACGACTTTTAAACACTTTATATAACCATTCCCAAAGATAAATTAAAGTCCAGGCTTTTTGAGATCATAGACAGCTGCATTTTCAATAAAATTTTAACTTGTAAATTTACTTACCTTTTTCATTAGTCATTTGCAAAATTATTTTTAAGAAAAACATTCACAAGTACTCTGAAGTTGATATTAAAAAGATGCTGAAGTTTCTGATTGACAATATCTATGTAGTTTTTGGAGATCAAGTCTTCCAACTATCTGTTGGAATTTCCATGGATAAAAATTGCATCCCCTTATTAGCAGACCTATTTTTGTATTCATATAAAGCAGAATTTATTCAAAAATTTCTTTACGAAAAAAAGAAATTTTTTTGCTGTGGCGTTCAATTCAATATTTAGATATATCGATGCTTTATAAATTTTCATTCCTACCTTGATTCGATATATCCCTTTGAATTTGAAATATGATACCAAAGAGTCTGACACATCTCTTTCATCTTGGGATACTTTACTAGAAAAAGATGTTAATGGTAACCTAACAACAAAACTTTATGATAACTTCATGATGACTTCAATTTTTCTATTATCAACTACCCATATTTATGTAACAATATTCCGTTATCACATGCTTATGAAGATTATGTCTCCCAGTTATTTGATACTCAAGAGCATGCTTTATATACGAACAATTTCTGAAATGAGGCAAGCTGTTGACAAATAACAAGGATATCAACAGTCTCATTTTAAAGTCAACATTTCTCAAATTCTATGGTCGATACAATGATCTTGTTAGCAAATAAAATCTATCATCACATGGACATGCTGAATATTTTGTTTTCATACAAAATATTATTAGACCATTATTTTCTCACTGAATTGTCTATGGATTTTTCTGTTTACCCAATCATGACAAGAAGCTCATTCCAGGTGTGACCTGTCAACAGGGGATGCTTACTCCTCCATGACACCTGATCCCTCCTCTGATGTTTTTAGAGGTCCATGTTTGCTCTACTCCAAATTTGTGTTGTTTTAATCGATTTTTGAGCTTGATTATTATTTGTTATCTTTATATTTCGTTACTGACTATATATCAAAGTTTATTATGTACATATAAGTTTATTATGTACATGTAAGTTTTGTTTTTCAAGCTATCCATTTTAGGAAATTGTTGATGATAAATTTAACATATTGCTATTTATTTTGTGCCTAGCTCTGCCTGTTTAGAGTCTGTGATCACAGTGCAGAAATCCCTGTTATGTTTTATGTCCTCTTTAAAACCTTGTCTGAGGGCCTGTCAAATCTCAGCTGGTAAGACAACTTCTTGTATACTGTTGAAAACACCGATAAGCATGTACAGTGAGGTTCACATTAATATGTGATATTTTGTGCAATTCAGGTGCTGACATTGTAAAGTATGGAGTGTTTCTACCTCCCACCTATCATCTTCTGATGAGAGTGACACCCCAGCGTGATTATGTTGTTTTGAGGTTAATCACAGACTTTTACCAGAGTTTGCTATATATCAAAGAACTACTTTGATTTGAAAGTGGCACTGTATCATTTATGTTAATAACGCAAAATTACACAAATAAAATGACTGTAGAAGACTTTCAAGGTGAATGAAACAGACTTTGCTGTTAAAATTCATGTTTTCTTTTTCAAAATTGATTGAAAATTATCATAGATTATGACTGAATTAGATGTTTCATTGAATTTCTCCAAAAGCATGTTTATCTGGATATTGGACATCATGAAGGAAAAAAGTCTCTTGGCCAAAATTGTTCTATGGTTAAAAAAAAAGAGAAGAGAAGAAAAACTTAGATTCTGTCATTATATCATTATTGCTGTTTTTTAGGACAAAGCAAAAAAAAAAAAAAAATGGGGGGGGGGGGGAATAATGTTGTATTCACCTAGAAGGTTGGATGCAGGTGAAGAAGATTTTCATAACTAATTTATCAGTTTGGAAGTTCTTGGATCGATTTTTGTTTCAGTTTGGAAAAAAATTATCCGCTCACTCTGAAGGTCTCTTGCAGGTGAATATAACTTGACGTTGATTTCTATAATGTTGGATCTCAGCCAACCGGAGAGCTAGGAATTATTCAATCATGTAATAAATATTAGTAAATTAAAGCTGTACTAGTGCTTGCCTCAAAAATTACTTTCTTTTGTACCTGGGTAACTAGTGAAGAATAGTAGTTATTCCATAATTTAAAGAAATGTATACACGTATCAAATTGAGAATTAAAACTTTCAGGTGAGCATGTGACCCCTAGATCTCTTATGTAGGTATTTCATAAATGAATTCACTACCAGACTGGAACCAAAGAATTTGATAAAACATTATTTCTGATAAAAGGGAGTTTTGAAAGAAAGATTTTGTGATAAAGTTTCAGACTGCTGGATAGAAATGAAAATATGGAAACGTTGCATATCTAGAAGCCAACATCACAGTGTAAAAGCTGATTTGGATACTGCTCTGGTTTTGGTAGAATAATTTAATTTTTTGGTCACCCCTATAAAAATTATGAATCCTTATTGTATACCTACAGAATATCAACACTTGTGTTTTAAAAGATTGTGACATATAAAAGATATAAGAGGATTGAGGGGAACAAGAATTTTTAAATATAGAAAAACATCGTTTTCCGATCCCAAATCGGCCCCTAAGGATGAAATGAAAATTCCGAAACCTTATTGCACATCTGTAGGACATCGCCATTTATATATATATATATATATATATATATATATATATATATATATATATATATATATATATATATATAATCATTTTTGTATGGCCCAAGACGAAAATATTGCTTTACTTCTTCCTCCTTATTGCAAGCATGCGCAGAAAAGTTGAAGAAGTTACCATGGTCTCAAATACCAAAAAATGAATGTCGGTAGACCAAGAATTTTGATACAATCTTCAAAAAAGATTATTAGAACATATTTCTCACCTTTGCATGCTCCATTTGAATGTTTTTACAAGTTTACGCTAAAGATAAAAGTGTTGTGACCTTGACATGTACGATAACAACGAAACGGTAGATACAATCTTTGTTTTTCCGGCACGTATATTGTGCAGTCTTTTCTTGCTTTACATTGCAGTTTTAGTTGTCTTATCTTTGCGATACTCATAATTTTCATAAATCTTTCGCTTTATGATACAGATATCTTAAAGAAACACAGGATTTTGATTCATCATGTAACTTTTAAGGATTTTTTTGGCTTCATTAATTTTGTCCATGTTAGATTTCATTCATCACAAAATAATTTCTGTTGCAATTAGTTTGACGTTGGGCATAGATCCTGGCTAGATTGTCAGGACTACCTCGCCTTGTCCCCCCTTTAGATTTATCCTAATAGGTTTTAGAATTTGTAATTTTTGTAGATTTTTAAAACATATTTTTCCAGAAAATGTTTGTTGCACATCCTGATATAAATAGACATTCTTTTTTAAGGTTTATGTCTTAAGTGTTTCATTTAAAAGGAACGTTACTATTCCCCCCTTTAGATTCATCCTAATAGTTTTTAGAATTTCTATTTTTTGTAGAATTTTAAAACATATTTTTCAAGAAAATGTTTGTTACACATCAAGATATAAATAAACATTCACTTTTAAGGTTTATGTCTCAAGTGTTTTATTTAAAAGGAAAGTTAGAATTCCATGTTAAATCATGTTAAATTATGTATTTCCCTAATTGTGACTATATCTTTTCACACTCTCAGCTATATTCTACCGTGTGTCTTCCTATCTCTGACTAATGAATTATGATTTATCTATGTCATGTAGATGATTATGATATTATCATATATCTTGAACCCTCACTGACCCCAAGGGCATTGCATTTAAAACAGTTAATATTTCATTTATGATAGGTGTTTGTTACATTTACGCAGCCTAATTTACGACTCAATTAAGTAAAGATAAATCAAATTGAAAGCTAATTAAAATCAAATATAAGTATAATCCTGTCCAATGTGTCGCTCTTTATTACGAACTTGTCAAACTGTCAGTTTGACACTATAAATGGATGCATACAATGATTGGTCATTATTACTTTCTACTACCGCTATTGAACAATAATATTCTTTAAGGAACAGCTTTTTATATATATATATATATATATATAGTAAAGAAATTTGTATGCATATTAAAGAGAAAAAGTTTCTTTAAAAAAGATGTGAAGATTATAAGACACCAGTTAGTAAAATAAAATAACGAATCCATTGTTCAAATCAATGACGTTAAAAATCAAGGCACGACAGAGAAGCACTCGGAGAGTAAGTGCAGTTGCATAACCAATACTAGTCCCCTACCGACAAGTTTTTTTTTTTCTGGTTCCACTAAAAATTGAAAAGGCCTTTATTCCATCAAAAATCATTGAAGCACAAGGGTTTCTTGCCCCTATGATTGGAGCGGACTTGATCTTTAACTCATCAATGTACAATCACAAACCAAAAAATCAGCTCAATATCTTCAAGCGTTTAGAAAAAAAGTGTAGAATACCAAAGGGACAGACAGAGGAACAGCTAGACGAACAGACGCGGAGGAAAACTATAGTCCCCTCCGGTTTCACCGACAGGGGACTATAATAACGTCTTAAATAGTCTTAAGAGCTGCGGACTTTAAAATATTTCGCAGAGTAAAACTTTTTAATACAAATTGCTTGAAATCAAAAATAAAACTAATCTTACTTGATTAATTGATACATATCCACATAGAATTCAGACGTTCAAAATAAATATGGAGTGTACAAAGATGAACTAACTTACGAAAAATATTTAGATATTCTTTCCATAAAATTTGTGAATTTCGTACCTGTAATCACCTCTTACCAATTGAAAGTAACGCTGGTTACACGAACAAAGAGAAACCAGAATAGAGATTACATGTGTATAAAACGTGTAATTCATACGCAATATGCGATGAATTTCACCACATATACCCTGAATAGTCTCTGATAGACTCAAAAAACAAAACAACAACAAAAAGAAAGGGGGGGGGGGGCGTACAAGGAGAGGACAATCCCCCGCTCTAGGACAATATATTTCAATTTTCAAAAGTTCACGAAAAAGTTATATTTTTCTAAAAAGATGTTTTCAGTAATGTCATCTTCAACACATTTGATTCAGTTATTTTGTTGAATGACTTTTTAATTGATAATTTGTCGTTAAAGATGACAGTAAAGCATATTTAGTGGAAAATGGGTTTATTAGAGCCATAATAAATTAAATCTGAATATGAATGGGTCAAGACTCCATTCTTATTAACGTTTAAATGATCGAAAAGTAAATGTGATTGTAAATTCTATTTCATGTTTTAAAAAAAATGGAGTCTGAACCCATTCTTTATGAAAATCGAACATTTCTGAGAAAAATTTACGCTTCAACAAACTTGTTTATTAAAATCACGCTGATACACAAGAGGACAGACAGACTTCGTAGCGTAGTTGTTGATGCGTTCATTCTTACGCCAAACCGTAAGCTTTGGAGAGAGTTCGAATCATGCGTGAAGCTCTTTTTCTTTTTCACATACCTTAAAAACATTTGTGAAAAATAAATTATTTTTCAATAATTTATTCAACAAAATATATGAAGCAAATGTGTAAAAGATTGTTTTGAAAATAAAATGTTTGAAAAATATAACTTCTCATGAACTTTTAGAATTTAAAAATGGCTTCTCTCAGAGTGGGGAATCGTCCGCGCCTTGCACACATTCATTCAAAATCACCAAAGCAAATACGGTTTAGAAATTAAGAAAACTATATTCATTTATTAGAAATATTACTAAAACTATTATTCCCGATGAAGACCCGTAGCAACGTTTTCAAAGGGGGACCCCCCCCCCAAAAAAAAAAATCTGAGAAGCAACCAAAAATAACAAACATACCCAAAAAAAAATTTTTTTAATTAAAATTAAAATTAACTGGAAATCTTGGAACTTACCACTGCTCAACCTTACAACAACAAAAGGGATGGGGAAGGGGTGGGGTGTGAGGGGTTCTACGGGTTTGCGAACTAAATAATACAATATTATTTATATTATTATTAAATATTATTTATAAAATATAAATATAATGTATATATAATTGTAGTATTTGTAAATTTCCATACTCACGCATTCTATTAATAAAGAATGTAAAAGTACGTACATATGCCAATCTGATGATTTTTTTTACCAATTTTCGACAAAGAAAAGAAATGGGAAAAAAATTAAAAATGGGACGATTTATAGGGGACATGAAGGGGATTTTTCATTTGTTGTAAAACTTTTATTCATTACTGTAGATGGAGAGAGGGCTGTTCGTTATGTTACTTCCGTCAGAGAATGTCACTTTTCGTTTATTTTAAAAACGAGAACGAATGCATCAACCCTAATTGCTTATTAACTTACTTCAATTGATGTTATAAGTAGAGTTAATTAGATGCATACACTCAAAAATGAAAATAGATTTCTATTAATAATATTTTAGCTGGAATGAGGTGTTAGATAGTTATAAAAACAGGCACCATTATTACATTCAAGATTTTCATAATGAAATGTGACTTCCGAGATTTTCATAATGAAATGCTCGGAAGTCCAATGAAACAATACAAATTGTTAGCAGAGAAAATAGTCTGGTCCTGATTTTTAGAAAGAAGGCTAGAAATGAGTTTTAACGGCAAATAATTATTATTTGGTCCAACATGGTTTCTTAACCTATTTCGAGTATGCTGAATCCGAAAGAATATGCTGGCCTTCATGAAAATGGCGTTAGAAAGGTCAAAATGGCGGACATCCAATTTTTCTAATTTTCTCTTAATGTCTTTCAAATAGGAGAAAGAATGTGTGAATATCTCACTGAGTCTAATGCAACTATAAAAATGATAAAAGAATGCTAACATTATTACATTAATTATTACATTAATTCAGAAAATTTAGTCGTTTCTACACTTAATTCGAATTTTCTCTGGTTTATTTGTCTATTGTTTCTATATTCTGCTTTGTTCAGAATTTTACATTTGCAAATATCCATACACTGCAGATTGATATTTTTTCTCCGCATTTCATACTATTCTACCACTGAATTATGGTGCAGCTGTAATTTATAAGTCAAAATGGCGATTCAAAATGACGGATATCCATTTTTTTCTAATTATTTCTTAATGTCGTTCAAATAGGAGAATGGATGTGTCAATATCTTATTGAGCGTATGCAATTATAAAAATGATAATAGAACACTAATATTATCACTTTAATTCGGAAAATTTAGTCGTTTAAATTTGAAAGTTGTTTTAATTAGCTCAAAATGGCGAACGCTAGAATTACATAAAATACTCAAACTGCTTAATTCTGAGTCATTTTGCAGAAAATAAAAGGAAATTAATTAATTACAGTTTGCATTTTAAATTAATAAAATAATGTTTAAATATTCAATAAAACTTTGAGGATATTGTTGTTAATGACTTTTAATTTCTATGGCACTGATCTTTGTTTTAATACTTCTATTATTAAGATAAGCTTTTGACTACCTCTACGAAGAACTTTTACCTATTACCTATCTAACCATGCTTCTTAATATAAAAAGTTAATAACATCACACAATAATTGCTGTTTGGAGGACGATATGACAATTAAGCTACCCAACAGCAGTATTCCCCGAGCCCAAAGGCGAGTGAACATTGTAGTTTGAGGGTTGCTAAATTATCTCAGTTGTTGGAAATTTTTGATCTACTTTTAGTCCATGCAGTGTAGAAAAAAAATAAATCTTTATGTTCATGTGGAAGGTCTAGTGGAACATAACTTAGTATATGATTTCTAAAATGATGGACCACAACCAATCAGAGAGCTAGGAATTGTTAAATCATATAAATTTGAATGTAATATACTAAATATCAACATATTTATCAAGAATTATCAAAACCAGTAAAATATACGTAAAATATAAATATTCTTGATTGTCTAGCTCTGATTCTGCGTCCCTGCATTTGCATTTTGTTATTCATAGCCAGCAAAAATCAACTGTATTCACAAATATTTAATGTTGTGAACGGATAATCTTGTATCGTTAGATTTATATTTAAGCGACTGCAAAATTCCTTTTTTTTAAAGAGTATTGTATATGTTCAAAATCAAAATCGATAATCCAAACATACTTTTTTGTCATACTCGGATGGAATTCGGTGCCTATTGTTTTGAAATTTACAAAATCGGAAAGAGGAAAATGTTCGTGTTTAATCCCCCCTCGATTCTTGATAAAACCATACACTATCCTAACAAAGTAGTGTGGATCAAGTTGCCTTGTAAAATTCTTGGAGTGTTAAAGAAATTTTTGATGTCAAGAGAAGTGTTGACTAGATCAAAGTCAAGAATGGCTTCGGCCTATTGGTACGAAAGCTTGTACGTGATAGAAATCACAAGGAATCTGCAGGTGCTCTTAGATCGCACAATTATACAACTTTTCTCACCAAAAAATGCACACAGTGAGATTCCAGATGATAAAGTTTGAGAATTTTTTTGCTAATGGAATGACCTTTCTACCCAAAAAGACAACAAATCTATATGGTCACAAAAGAGAAAGCTACATGTCTTATCAGAGATTTTTTTCCCCATTATGCATGAGGTTTTAGAAAACAAAATAGTCTTTTTAACATTTGAACATAAATGTATTGTTCCTTGAGCTGTTGAGAAGACCAAAATTCCGAAGACTGACTGAACATATAGCATTTAAAGCTGGAATAGTGGATGTTGGGGGAAAATACTGAGCTCTTACAAGTGCTAATTTCAAAAGCTAGTACAAAGGGTTCAATGAAGTCGGGCAAGAATTTCTTCAGTTATATTTGAGGGTGTGCTGAGGGATTTTGAAGTGGAAGTGCGAGATGATAATGACAGCGATTCAGCGGTGATTTTAGATGGACAGGGGTTCAGAGCTTTGGAACACGGTCAAACATAAGGAAAACAAGTTGTGTTTGTTTTAACTATTTCGAGAAAAAAATGAACCTTTTCTAGTATTATTTTTTGTTTGGTCATTAAATGGACTAATCATCATAATCAGCAACACTCAAAACAAAAAGACACCAAGGGAAATTCCTCTTCCTATTAACTTTGCTATACCTTGGGAAAAAAACATATTACCCTGTCTCCTCCCACCACCCATTATGAAAGACATTGTTACTGCTCGCTATGTATGTGGGAGGGAAGGAGGGGGAAGGGGTGAGTGGATGGTTGGAGTTTTAGTGAAATGCGAGAATGATATTGGTTAAAGCATTCTGCGCTAAGTGAAGAAGCAGTCTGTAGTTCTTCAAGCAGTGCTCTAATACTGTTCTTGAGTGCCCTCTTGCACCTTTAGCTGTTCTCATACTAGCATATCATATATGGACGTGTCATTGTTCATTCTTTCCAGAAATAGACACCTATAGAATGCGAGTGGAACCTTTCGAAAGCCTACAATTATTCCTTTTAAATTGTTTCGGCGATAAATCTGTCTTTTCCAGAGCTTCCGAAAAATATATTTAATACAATTCACTCATTGTAGTACATATCAATAGAAGGTTGAGGAGAAGGAAAATTAACTGATCCCCCCCCCCCCCAAAAAAAAAATCGTCTTTGAAGTTGCGTAACAAATACACAGTGTCCACTAACTTGCATCGAAAATAATTTAGGAATTATGCTTTCCATTCTTTTTATATGCATGTAAAGCGAGCACAATGCCAGGCAGTACGTGATATAAAGATAGGCAGATGTAGTGGTAACCTCACATTACTAAGTCCAATGACATGGAATGGATGTTCTTGGTTGTTTGCTGCAGACTTGGTCCATTGCAAAGATTTCTCCGAAATTTAAATTATAACTTACAGCTGTACCATCATTCAATTGTAGAATAGTGAGATGCAGAGAAAAAAAACAATCTGCAGTGTATGTTAAATCATGAACAAAGCAGAATATAGAAACAAAAGACAAAAAAATCAGAGAAAATTCAAATTAAGTGTAGAAACGACAAAATTTTCTGAATTAAAGTAATAAAGTTAGCATTCTTTTATCATTTTTATAGTTGCATTAGACTCAGTGAGATATTCACACACGCTTTCTCCTATTTGAAAGACATTAAGAGAAAATTAGAAAAATTGGATGTCCGCCATTTTGAATCGCCATTTTGACCTTTCTAACGCCATTTTCATGAAGGCCAGCATATTTTTTCGGATTCAGCATACTCGAAATAAGTCAAAAAACTATGCTGGACCAAATAATAATTATTTGCCGTTAGAAGTATTTTTTTTTCTATAAATCGGACCAGATTATAGAACATAGATCTCTGAAGACATCAAGGGAAGGTTCAGTTGCCATGGAGGAGTAAGCATCCCCTGTCAATCGGTCACACCCGCTGTGTTTCTTTTGTGATGATGAGGTAAACGGAGAAATCCGTAGTCAGTGTGAAAACAAGTATTCCCTGACAAAACGTCAGAGTTACTCAAGCTGTAGAAACTGGAGTTCTATAACTTTGAGCTTTATATCTACCATACATGGCATCATTTATTAAAAGTGGTTTATTAAAAATTAAATTAAAGACATTTTGAATGATGAAGGTAATTCTTTTAAGCACAATAGAAATACAAGATGTGGAGTAAAACTCGAAATATTTACTGCGTCATTTCCTTTGGCAAATTTGAGTTTAAGGAACAAACGGGTTACTTGAGCAAAATATTCTCTTCCGTAAAACTTTACGGTTTAAAAAGCATAATAGATAATTTGCAATATCCAGCCTGTATTCTAGTGTCGAAGAATTTAATCCATGTATGAAATTTTCCTGGCCTTTTCAAATACTGTAAAATCACATATTTTCATGGGTCAAATTTTCTTGGTTTGAGGAAAAACCATGGGTTTTGCTTTCTTAGATAAAGAATCGCTTAGTAATAATGTGTATGAATTTTGCATTTCGTGGTTGACATGGATTCTACGGTCTCTCCTTACCTCGAAAACAACGAAAATTACCCCCTCCCCCATGAAAATCAGTGATTTCACAGTAGACAATTTAACACTTTCAACGGGACGGAGTAAAGTTTGGTGCAGATGTGATGAAGACCTTACAGTTTATTTACAAAAGGTATAGTAGTGAGTCAAAAGAGACATCATGTACAATGTTTACTGTAAGACTGATGGACATGACTACGCCTTTGTCTATACGTCTATGTGTATTGTTAAAAGGTCCTATCACATTCACAATGCGACACTATGGACTTAATTAAATGATTCCCAACAATATCAACATGTACATTGTATATCTGTATTATGATAGGATGTTCCCTAATAAATAATGAAAATAAAACTCCCGCGTACCAATGTAGGAGAAATACAACGTAATTTGTATTATGATATAGTCATGTGAGGGTTGGCCGGTACCATTTTGTAGAAAGACATTGGAATGACATCTTATGTTCAATATACCTGCAGTCAATACACATAATTACACACTATGCTGCATTAGAGCTCAGAAAGGACGGAAAACTAGACCAAAGTGCTTGGACCAAACTAAGCTCAATTATTAAATAAAAAGCCTTTCTGTGACAATGATAATTTTTTTTTAAAGTAGATAATTAAAAAATAACACAATATTTAAAATGCTAAATTAACAATTTATTCATAAAAATACTGTTTGCGGTTCCAATCAATTTGAGACAGTTGAGAGTCCTTAATATACCGGTACCTTCAAAGAAAAAAACATGCAGTTAAAACCTTGAATCCGTAAATCGATATTTAAAAAAACAATGATAAATGTATTTAATATTTACCATGATTATATAATTATGAAGACAGTCACGAGTTTACCTTTTTCTTGTTACCAAATGGTTTTCGGGGACGACGTGGTGGGAATGGAATTGGACCAAGTGCGGGTACTCTAGGAAAGGGAACACCTACTGGATATCTGGAAACTGTCCTAGTGGGGAACCCTGGTAGGAGTGTGGGTAGTCTTGGTTGGAGTGCAGGGTATACCCCCTGAGGTGGAAGGTAACTTCCTGGGAATCCTAATAGAAATCTATCATCTCTACCTGCTGCAGCAGCGCTAGAAGCAGCTGCCCCTGCACCATTTGCTGTGGCTGCAGCAGCAGCAGCCGATCCATCGTCACCAGAAGCTGCAGCTCCAGCAGCAGTACTGCCGCCAAATCCAAACTGTTGGAAACGTTGAAATCCTTGGAAGCCAGTGCCAACAAAACTGGGATCCAACTGATATTGGAAACGAGGCTGGGAAGCAGATCCTGCTGCAGCAGCAGAAGAGGCTGCAGATCCACCAAAAGGTCCACCAGAAGCAGCAGCACTAGATGCAGCAGCGCCTCCTAATCCAGATGCAGCTGCCCCAGATGCAGCAGACGAAGGTCCAAATCCAAATGGGGGAAAATTAGGAAAGCCATGACCAAAGTTGAGTGAACCAGAACCTCCAGTGGAAACCACTGTACTACCTACACCTCCGGGTCCCTGGTGTGTCTTTCCGTAAGTACATCCATATCCATTGCAGCCTCCATACTCATAATCAGCCAGAGCATGAGCCAGAAAAGCAAAAAGGAATGCTGCACGGAACATGGCTATAAAAAATAATTTGAAAAAATACTGTGAAATCACTATAATTTATCTGTGGGGGTTAATTTTTTTTCTTTTTGGTTCGAGGAATGATGAGACCCACGAATTGAAGGGCCCTGAGCACAGATTTCTAAAATTTTCAGTAATGAAATGACTTCATATTGCTAGAGCATTTCAAACAAAAATATTATAAAAGCGCGTATAGAATTTCTTTTTTTATCTGAAAATTGTTAAAACTACGAATTTCGGGATGCGTTTGATTGACAGACATCCTTGCACTTGCACGAAGTAAATTTTATCCTTATTTTTTTTTTTTTTTTTTTTTTAAAGTGAGAAACTTCTTGTGTATTAATGAAAAATATTAAAAATATAATCCAAGAAATTCAGGGTAGAAGGATGAGAAAGCAAAACCAATATACGTACTCAGTGATGTGTGCAAATCGAGTAAAACGTAAACATCAACAAAAACAGAACTCGTTCACGTGCTTACAATCACGGTTGTTTAATATAATGTTATGAAAAATGTATTCTTTCAATTTAAAAAAATTCCATGCAAATTGAATTCATTAAATTGAGGTTATTTTTTTTAATAAAGATAGAAATTTAAAACTGTAAACAAGAACGGCAATGCAACTGTGTCCAGGCCCATTTAATGTCCTTTGGGCATTTATTGCCAATTCACATGTCGAAAAACTCAAAACATTCTTTTTTAATTCAGTAATTTTTTTCAGGATGTATAGAATTATGAACAAAAGAAAAAAAAAATTAATTCTCCCTACAGAAATTTAACAAAAAATCAGGTTTTGATTGCCTAAGTAGTGAGTTAGGGATAAATTTACATAATGCATCTTATCTAGGTGAATCAATCCGTTACATTTATAGATTTTGTAGGCTTTATAAAGTAATAAGAGTATACAACGATATTGTTTTCTAATTTCTCTAAAAGTTAAACCCAATAAAAATAAACTTTCATTTCATACCTTTTCTACGATAAACACTTAAAATTGTTCCATGTTTCTGCTACATTTTCAGTCTAATTAACAGTGAATACTAATTTTTTTCTCCTAAAGTACCAATTACAAATTCTCAAGATAACATTGCTTAAGGACAAGGCTTACAAATTTGCTTATTTTTTAAAAACAATTTTCCTAGAATAATCGTCATTTTTTGCCACTTGGATCATGCTATCCTATTTAAAAATTAAATTAAACATAATTTCATATACATGTACTAGTATTGAAATACTCAATTTTTTTTCAACATACTTTAAAATCGAAATAAGTATTGAAATTGACACAATCCGTTTGATTTGCTTTTACAACTTTACAAAATATATCCTTGATAATCAAAAAAATTAGTGATAATACTGAAACTGCTGGTAACATAATCTACATTATTTTATTTTTCACCAGGATATTCAGAATAATTATACAAGCCAATTCACAAAAATTGATTTCAAAAGCCGCAAAATTAAGAAAAAGGTTTTATTTCAAAGTAAATGAATCACGACTAATGTGATATTATATCTTACAGTTAATATTTTTTAATACTTTATATACTCTATCTTCCGCTCTAGAGAGAGAAAAATTATATCAGAGAACAAAGAAACTACTTGTTTTAACGAATTATAGTCACCCTACCTGTTGATTTTGGATCTTCGTTGGAACCTGCTTTTTCAGCGTTCAAGTGCCATATTTATACTCTGTGAAGACGTCATGAAAATAGTCACAATTAGCAAATATAGATTCAAAGTTTGAAAATAACTTTAAAAAACGTGCGTGCAATCTGAAAAAGCGAGACTAGTTTTCACTGGTGACCTTTTACCTGTATAACTTGTATCATTTGCGTGATTTTTGTCCTGATGAGAAATATGTTAATATATTGAAAGATATATAATTATATGCTCTATTAAAAGTTGACCTTGATGCAGACTTCAAACCACATAATTAAGATGTTTCCTTATGAAACATTAAACTTCAAATAGAAAGCTGCATTTCCTAATTTAAAACATAAATTCATATATTTGTTTCATATGATTAACAGTTGGAGAGAATGATTGCTTAAGTATGCGAAAAAGTTGCATTATATTCCCTTTCTTCCTCTTTTCCTTACATGCTAAATACACATTATATTTTAGTGACAGTAACTGAAAAGAAGAGTTTTTAAAAATGTTTGTTTCTTTGTCGAAATCTCACGTTTTTAAACTTTCTGCAACAATTACCCAGTAATTTTATTACCAGCATCTAGATATACCCAATATGTCCCCATGTTCCAAAGACAGAGGAGTGTGGCAACAAACTCCATTTAGTGGGGAATATACAAGTTCAAAATATAATACTCCTAGGACCATAACTCTTTACACGTTATATTAATATACTTATTACGATAGAGAACTTCTTGGTCAATTATTATAACATTGCATAACTTTGTCTGATACATATATGTATGATTAGTAGCAAATATGATCTTAAAAATTATGATAGATTCCCATTAAAAAACCAATACATACAGTCCGACCCTATAGAGACTGAGCCCTGGACCAAAAGGACATGTATTTTGCAATTTTGTTAAGGGGATCGTATTTCATTGCATTATCAATGCAATTTAATTGTTACGCGAGTTGTCTGGTAAAATCGTGGACAAAGCGTTTTTCTCGAAAAATAATGGTCGCACTAAGCTGAAATTTTTAGTAAATGTTTATTCATTATATTTTAGTGCATCTTAATTTTGGGGTAAAATATTGACTAAATAAAGATTTTATTATGCTTGAATGTGCACAGGGTACGGCCCTACGGCGCACGATAAAAAAACCCTCAAGGGTTTCATTAGCAAATACACGAGTTTTATTTCGAAATAAAAGTATTAAATAGATAATATTGGGGTAAAATTATCCTATTTTAATTTACTATCTAATATTTACATTTCCAATACATTTTCCTAAATATTCTTTGCAAATTTGAAGACTGTTCATTTTCTCATGAACTACCATGGATGAGCATAAATATCTCTATTGTTACGTCATAATACCGTACTTGACGTCCAAACTATAGTGCAAACTGTTTTGTTTTAAAAATGACAGTTGAATTGTGGCAACTCATCAGAAAAATAATGTAAATATAAGAAATGAATTTAATTTTTGAAGATTCATGAGGTACATAAACTACAACGCTTCACGCCGGCATATTTATCATGAAGTGCTAACGCGCTTCATGAAATATGCCGGCGTGAAGCGTCGTAGTTTCATGTCCTCTGAATCTTCAAAAATTAAACTCATTTCTTAATTATTTCGTCTTTTGTAAAATATCAAAGCATTTGCTTAATTTTTGGCAGTTTCCCTAGCGTTTGAAATGGGAAAGTGGTAAACGCAACACAGGAAAAATGGCGACGTTTGGTGACGTTACAGGGCACCGGAGATCAGTTCAGTTTAATTTAGATGTAGTAATGACGCCCTAATAAACTTTAAATGGCTACAGAAAAAAAATAAAAATATCGCTAGATCTTTAGTAAACAAGTGAAATGGGAGTTTTCTAAGCGGAAGCTTTTTGATCGGGTCACCGGGTAGAAAAAAACATACGGACAAAGAGCTACTGGCAATAGCAAAAGACGCTGTCACTGTAGACCGTCGATATAAGATAGCCTATTTAGTTGAATGATAGTGAGAGTACTGCCCATTACTTACTAAGAAATCTTCAGAAGGTTCCATGTGTGCGCGAGATTGGTTTCTCGACTGTTTATGGAGGAATAAAGGGAAACTCAAGTATGTGCATCAACGAAATCCTCGAATTTAAGTGGGGCTTATCCAACTTTCTTTTAGCAAAGAGGAAACGTGACACTGCTTTAGATACTTTGACGTTATCATCCGTGCGCCGTAAGGCTATTCCACACATAACATAAAATCTCATAATTTCTTTTTTTATGCATATATCTATTTGAAATTTGCTTTTTATATTGATGAAAAATGTCTTAAAGAGTAGTGAAAATTTCAGAATGCAATGATGATTATTTTTCATTCTAGACAACTTGTCCACGATTTTACCGGACAACCCTCGTATTTAATTGATGTCCAGGGATTTTTTTTTAAGTCAAAGAAATTTATCATTTTCAATATATGACAAGCACTCATAAATCTGAACTTAGCATCCACGGGTCATAAATTTCACAATTTTGGAAGAGGCCTCATAATAATCGCGTGAACAATATACTTCTTAGATTTAGGGGCAGCAAAGAAAAAAAAAATAATTTCCAATAAATGACAGCCATATTTAAAACCTTCGGTCTTTTAAGCCTTCATCATGAATTTCAAAGTTACATTGTATAAGATTTTGAAAGGTTTAGTGCATATTCAAGGCTATGTATCTACATGTGCAGAAAATCGTCAGGCAAGCCTCTTGTCGTCATGCAGCCTTCCATGTCTTATTTATTTGATGGAGTAATATCGAATTAATATAAAGAAACGTATTGACGGAAGAAATTTTAAAAATGCATAGGAGTGCAAAATATATTTTTATCAGTAATGTATTTTTTTTTAATTTCATTTATTGAATGCACGGTGAATAAAGTTATATATTTTTCTGAAATCTACAATTTAAAAAAAAAAATATGATGACTGTACTAGTATCACCGCGACCAAAAGCATAGGCCTAATTCTTGCTGTCTTAAATAAAACATTTGCATTTTACATTTATTTTTTTCTCTTACTCAAATGATATTTTTGCTGCTTTTTAAAACATTTTTAAAGTTATTTTTCTTGAATAGATGTTCAAATACTGAATACGACCCACAATACTTCAAAGTTTACTCTTATTAAATCTCAAGTTCACTGAAAACATTTTTTTAATTTCATAAAGTTATAGGTATGTTTATAAATCTATCTTAACCTTACAAATAATATTTGCAGAAAGTATTAAAATTTGTGGAAAGACATTGCGGGGATAATCAAGATAGCATGTTGCTGACAACTTTGATCAAACTTTCAATCCGAACAATTGGTAACCGTACTCTGATGTTGACATTAACAGATGTAGGAGTTCTCACTGACAATATATCTGTAAACTTTGGAGACAAGGTCTTCCCAAAATCTATAGGTAGAATTTCGATAAGCCGACTTGTTCTTACATTCGTATTCAAAATTTAATCAAAACTTCTACATGAGAAGAAGAAAACACTTCTGATCTTTACAATGTAATTCGTTATTTAGAAATATCTACGACGTTTTAAAAATGTACAATATTCATAAGGCTTTCAACGGTATCTTCTAAAGTCAGCATTCTGCAAATCTATTGTCCTTATAAGGAGTTATTTCAAATGAAAAATAATAGTTATGTATCTTACTATAGTGTTGTGTATTGTTGACCTCATAAGCAGATTTAATAGATCAGTCGATTAACACATTGCTGTAATTTGAAAAACTGAACATTAGTGATTTATGCAAAGGCTATTATGTAGTATTCAGATAAATGGAGACTTTTTTCGTGCATAATTCTACCAAGTTCTTATGAGGGTTTATTGGTTTATTATTTACCTTCCTCTGTAAAGTAAAAAAAAAAACCGTTTTCTTTTATAATTCTTCGGTGCATTGGAAATTTATGCACATGGAAGACGTGATCGAGAGTATAAAACAATTATTTCATCTAATTAAGATTAACAAAATCTGTCTCCATGATTTAATGAACTTAAATATAGCCGTCGCTGTCAAAGTTCATGTCACCGTAAACACCCATTGATACTTCATATAGTCTATTTTAAGCTTAAACCTTTCCGGAACATTTTAAATCATATTATAACCCCACGTGCAATGAAAGAAAATAATTTTATCTGTTATTTCCTTATGAAGATAATATTTATGACAACAATTAAAGTTGATTGGTTTACTCGGTTATTTTACTTCTTTGTCCCTCCTTTTTTTCTGAATATTCATCGGCTACTTTGTGACGTTTCAGCTTGTATCTCTGGTTTATATTAAGGAGGGGTTCTTGTCTGGTTTCTGACTAGATGAAATATTCAAAGTATATTTGCTTATATGTTTTATATATTTAGATGTAAGAGATTTAGAAGATCATATTTTTCTTTCCTCATCACAATTGTACAACTTTAAATAGAAATGGTAAACTGAGTTTGAAATCTAGCAGAGACTATATTTTTGGCGGAATGGCGGCGTATGAAAATATCTTCTTTTCTGCCTCTCAAAATAATTATAGAACAATGAATTTAGTTATAATTTTTACACAATCAAAGACTTTGAGAAAATTTTTGAATGTAAGTTAAATTAATAAGGAACTGAAGTTTTAAAATATATCAAATAAATATGATTTTCAAACAAACTACAAATATGTTAGCTTTTAAAAGCTTCCAATCTAAGTTGAGATTTAAGCCAAAGATTCGTAAAAAGTGTTTTTTCTCTCTTAGTAAATGGTCAAAACTTTTTTTTATATCATTTTGTATCTTTATGTGACAACTTTACCATATGTGAAAATAAGACAAATTTAAATATAGGAAGCATATAAAAATAACTAAAATATCTTAAAATTTTAAGAAAAGTAGAGAAAATTCGGATTAGCCAATATCCATTTTAGTTAAATTATTTATGTCAATTTGGTAATATCATCTTATAGATCCAATATGGTAATATCTCTATATGCAAAAAGAAAAAAAACATTTAATTTATTGAAATAGAAGTTGGCATCGCATGATTGGCAACAGTATTTTTTTATTCTTAATGTCCAAGGCAAAGGTACTGACCTTGACCAGACCTTGCCTCTAATATAAAACGGTCAAATTTAATCTAACTGATACTATCACTTAGTGATATTGTCTTCTTGATTCTGTGAAAATTTCATTGATTTTTTAAATATAAGAAATAAGTGTTCTTATGAGAAGAATCCCTCCTTAACCAAATGCAATTTCGACCAACCTATTTTGAGATCTCTGACGTTTTGCATTGTTCAATGTTGGTTTGACACTGTGTTAGATATAAAGGTATGGATCCTGCATTTCGGGAGTGGGAACAACGTTAAAAAGGAGAATATGCCCATGGGTCACAATGCTCACTTGAGTAACTGTGTCCATTATTTTTTTTTTCATCAGCAGATTCCCTTTTCTTTATATTCCTGTGTTAATCATTGATCATCAATTGAATGATTTTTAAAGATATTTTCTATGTGTTCCTATGTAGATCCCTATTATGGCCCCATTCTACGCTGGGGATTATGATTTGAATAAATTTGAATATTCACTAATAAGTATTGATGTATCCATATAGATATGAATGAACATGGCTTTGGAGTTCTTGAGAAAAAGAGTGTTCCTATATTTACCAATGTAAAACTTTGATTGCCCCTATGGACCCTAATACCGGGGGTAATGATTTGAACAAACTTGAATAGACACTACCTGTGTATACTTCCATATAAATATGACTGATCATTATTTTGCTGTTTTTGAAAAGATTTTTCCCTATTTATTCCTTTGTAAACCTTTTCTTGGTCATTTTAGCCCCACCCTACTCCTTGGGGGGGGGGGGGGGGTCATCATTTGAACAAATTAGAATCTACACTACCTGTGTATGCTTCCATATGAATATGGCTGATCATTTCTTTGCTGTTCTTGAGAAGATTTTTGAAAATTTTTTCTATTTATTTCTTTCTAAACCTTTGCTTGCTCATTTTAGCCTCCCTACCCCTGGGGTCATAATTTGAACAAACTTGAATCTACACTACCTGTGTATGCTTCCGTATAAATATGACATATCATGGTTTTGCTGTTCTTGAGAATAAGATTTTTAAAGATTTTTCCAATTATATACTCATGTAAAACTTTGATTGCAAATAGCAGCCCCAATCTATCCCCGGGGGATCATGATTTGAACAAATTTGAATTTACATTATGTCAAGAAACTTTTACATAAGTTTCATTTCTGGCCCACTGGTTCTGAAGAAAAAGATTTTTTTTAAATGACCCACCCAATTTTTAATTGTTTTTGAATTACTGAGTATTTCCCCTTGGAAGAGGATGTGGCCCTTCATTGAACAAACTTGAATCCCCTTTTCCAAAGGATACTCTTGGTCAAGTTTGGTTGAATTTGGCCCATTGGCTCTGGAGAATACATGTAGGTTGAAATTGTAAAAAGTTAAGGACGCCGACAACAACAATAACAAAGACGACAGCCAAGGGACAAATTTTGATCAGAAAAGCTCACTTGAGCCTTTGGCTAAGGTGAACTAAAAATGAATAAGAATAGAAATGCTGTCATATTGCTCATGGTCTATGACGGTTAAAAGAGACTCAAAAGGCTTTTTTTTTAACAAAGGCAGAAAGCAATTTGTCTCTAATGATTAGATGGAGGATAATTATTTGGTCCCATCAAATTGTGACAGTGTTCCATATTATTTCCTACCAACGCTTTTAACACAGAAGATAATCGCGATTCATGCTTACTTTGTAGTAGTCTATCAACTTTAATATTTTACATACATGTATTGTAAATTATTTACACACTCGATGTGTTCACGGTTGTTTTATTATTTCAGTGTCATTATGCGTATCTTCTCATGAAGAGCCTAACACACACCCTCACACACATACACCCTTACAGAGAGAGAGAGAGAGGGAGAAAGAGAGAGAGAGGAGACGCAACTAAAAAACTGAAGCATAAAATATTGTCTAAATGACTGCTATAGTTGTTTCAAGGGCTTTTGGAATCGATCACGTTGTTTACCACAAGATGAAAAAGCCATTTGAAGAGCATTTCTCCATGAAGTCTCTAAAGGTGTGGTCTTTTGTGATTGTGTGAATTTTTTTTAATTCATTCATTTATTTATAAGCGACAAACAAAAGTGATATTAATAATAAATATCCAATGTCAGTGAACTACACTTATTTATCCTTTAAGGACCCTGAGAAAAAACATCGCATTTAATTGGATTAATCTGTTTATTCATTATCATTCAGCACTGCAAGTGATTGAGCACCCTTCACTGCGCTCAATTAGGTTTTAGTGTTAATAGTTTGTTCTCTTAAAATATGTTTAAACTAGTTTGAGGCTCCTATTTGAAACGTGCAGGAGTAAAATTGAAATTCGATTGATGACATACAAGATGTTTCCTACCTCGTTAATTACAAAATCACATAAAATAGAACACACAAAATTCACATATAAATAGGTTCATTTCAGATTGCATGAAACAATTATGTTTCTTACAGTATTGGTGAGATTTTTAATTTTTGTAGCGTTTGTTTTACTTGTTGCAAAAGCAAATTTAACGTATTTTCGTAAACTAGATACTAATTGTTTATTCACAAAAGAAGTGTATTATCCGAGTCGAAGTCGTCTGCACTGTGCAACCATATGCGTGAGCAATAATTCTGACATCTTTAGCCACAGAAAAGGGGAATGCTATTGTGTCGATAGCATTGATGAATACAGTGTTATTAAAATATCTGTCATCTATCCCGTCTATGTGAGAAAAAGTGAAATACTGGTAAGTGAATACTTTTAAAAGCTTCTATTTATGTTTCGTTTTGTTCTGTGTCTTTTTATAATCAGAGAAACACATTTTAATATAGGCAAAATTTAATAACATTAGCAAGTATATATTCTATCCAAAAAACACAATCTTTTTCATAATCATACGTTTTACCTTGTTGATGTATAACTACGAAATTAGGATCAGAATACACGATTTTAAGCCGATTGTTTTAAATGGCAATATTCTTTTAAATTCGGGATGTTTTTTTTTTTTTTTTTTTTTACCTTCAATCACAATTTATATCGAGTAATTTATCAGGTAAATATTATTCATGTGATCCAAAAGAGTATTCTTAGTGTAAGTGTGCATTTAATTTTGATCTACAGATAAAGTATCTTAGTATTACTTGTAATGTTAGTGAATTTATATATAATCATTCATAAAATATTTCTCACGGACATAATCAGAATGACATCTCAATCTCCGACTGAAATTCAATGAAAAATAATTTTGCATCCTGGTTGGTCGATCTACCTCGTTTGAAATAAAATAATTTGATTTTAATTAGTTGTTACTACATTGAGAAGGTATAAATTTTAAGTTTATTTCTATAGAAACGGAATCCGATAATAACATGCATGTTAGTGTGTTCATCCCACTTTTAAAGAGAGACATTTCAGGGTGCTACGAGTCTGGATTATTGCCTTTTTAGCATAAACAATTAACACAGAATTGTGTTTTCGATCGCTCATGTTTGGTGAACGCAAAGTAATTTTTTAATGACCGTTTTAATGCATTACTCATTGGTGAGGTTATTTTTATAAATTCAGCCAGTTAGTACTGACAAACAAATGTGTTTATTTGCATTTACACAATTGTGTCATTTAAAGAATAATCCAATGTCTTGTCTTTCGAAATATTTGTTATATTAAAAGTTTAAATCTTAATTTAAACTTGGTTATGAAGCTTAGAATTAAAATTTTAAACTTTTTACAAATATTATTTTACGGGATAAAATATATATCTAATTACCTTTATAAATTGAATACCGGGGTAATCTTAACTGAGTCACACTGGTTTTGGATAGATTTAATGAATAAAGTAGATGATTGGTTTTTATTTGATAATTGTTTTATTAATGTAACTCTTCTCATTCCAACCTTACCTAAAGACTTCCTGCTATACGGTAGAGGTGGTTAAGTGAAACAATAAAATCTTTGGTTGTTAGAATGGGAATTATTATTACAGCAGCTACTGTTGCAGAAAAATACATAACTCGACTGAGCGGCGCGGGTTACGTAAATTCTTTCTGCAATAGCTGCATTGTTGATTCCCTTACTAACAAAAAGATAAAGAAACAAGGTGTGTTTGTGAAACACTGATGCCCCCGTATGGCAACTTATAGCAAAGGTTAAACATTCTCAAATGCAAATCAAATATGTTGGTACCCAATGTAAGGTCTTGTCTCGAGGAATATACCTGTTAAATTTGAGAGCCCTTGCAGCAACCATTGAATAGATATGGAAAAGGTTAAAGTTTTTCAAAAGTAAGTCAAACATCAAGGTCAAGGTCAAATGGTAAAAAATAATGGTGCCTAAGGAAAGGCCTTCTCACAAGAAATATACTGGTGAAATATGAAAGCTGAAGCACCAATCGTTCAAAAGTTATGACCAAGGTTTAAATTTTCCAAAAGTAGCTCAAACTCCAAGGTCAAGGTTAATGGATTACAATTGTTGGTATCCAAAGGAAGGTCTTATCACTAGGATTACATATGTGAAGTATGAAATCCCTATCACCAACGGTTCACAAGTTATGACCAAGGTTTAAAGTTTTTTTCAAAAGTAGGTCAAACTCCAAGGTCAAAGGGTCAAAGTTGTTGGTATCCAAAGGAAGGACTTGCCACAAGGATTATATATGTGAAGTATGAAAGCCCTAGCACCAGTTATTCAAAAGTTATGGCCAAGGTTAAAGTTTTTCAAAAGTAGGTCAAATTCCAAGGTCAAGGTCAAAGGGTCAAAGTTATTCGTATCCAAAGGAAGGACTTTTCACAAGGATTATATATGTGAAGTATGAAAGCCTTAGCACCAATTGTTCAAAAGTTATGGCCAAGGGTAAAGGTTTTTAAAAGTAGGTCAAACTCCAAGGTCAAGGTCAAAGGGTCAAAGTTGTTGGTATCCAAAGGAAGGTCTTGTCAAAAGGATTACACATGTGTAATCATGTGAAGTATGAAAGCCCTAGCTCCAACTGTTCAAAAGTTATGGCCAAGGTTAAAGTTGGGTAAAATTTTGTGAAACTAGGTCAAACTCCAAGGACAAAAGGTCAAATATGGTGGTACCCAAAGAAAGGTCTTGTCACAAGGAATACAAGGAATACACATGTGAAATATGAAAGCCATAACTCCAACCAATCAAAAGTTATGGGCAATGTTAAAGTTTTTGCGGACAAACAGACAAACAGATAAAGAGACAAATAGACAGACAGACAGATAGACAGACGGACGGACAGGGCAAAAACTATATACCCCCAAATCTTCGATACGGGGGCATAAAAAGAAAGACAATTTATTATTTATATTTATGTCTATATGAATAACTAGGTTTCAGCACGTGAAATATTGTACTACTCATATGTACGTCACTGTATGTTTCATTGATGGAAGAAACACTGCTCAAGAAAAATATTCAGGTGGCTTGCTTAGTGGAGTTAAAATTATCCAAATGATCATTGCTTTAGTTTATTGATTTAGAGGAAATATTTCCTACTTGTCGCTGGCCATCTGCAGACTTACTTAAGTACTTTGTTTAAAAACCACCTTCACACAATTACTCTAAAGTTGATATTTAAAGGATGCTTGAGTTTCTTATTGACAATATCTTTGCAGTCCTTTGAGACCTGATTTTCCATCAGACGTTTTTATTTTATTGTGAATCGATTCAGAATTTATTCAAAAACTTCTAAATGAAAAGAGGAAATCTCTTCTTGTGGCTTTCAATCAGACATTGAGATACATTTTTATCGATAACGTTTTAAAATTATCCATTGACAATAAATATATTCATCCATACGTATATCCCAATAAACTCTAAATAATAGACAATATGGAGTCTGACACAACTGCTTCAAATCGAATGTTTTACTGAAAAAAAATGAAAGGCAAACGACTAAACTTTATGATAAATGTGATGACTTCAACTTTTCTATCGCCAACTTGATGTAGAATATACCTTTATCGCCTCCATATGGGGGCTTCGTCTCATAATTGTTTCGATACTCAAGAGCATGTTCTTCGTACTGACAGTTTATTGAAACGAGGCAGGCTACTAACAAACAAGCTGATGATATAAAGGGTATCTACAATCTTCCTTGATCAAAAAATCGCAAATTTTATGGTCGATACTATAGATTTATTTATAAATACAATCTACCATTAGGTCTAATGTTGACTGAGGTCTTTCATACAAATTGTTAGACTATTATTTTTATACCGAATTGACAACGGATTTTTTCCGTGTAACAAATTATGACAAAGAGCTGGCACAAGGCGGGTTCGATCGGTCGAAAAGGGATACTTACTCCTCCATGACACCTGATCCCACCTCTGAGTTTTAGAGGTCTATGTGTGCTCTGATCAAAATTTATATTGTTTCAATGGACTTTTGAGCTGATTACTGTTCGTTAATTACACATTTCAATCCTTAAGATAATCCAAAATGCACCCTTAATGCAGGATTCACACATATTTCCTTGCAATGAATCTAATATCTCCTTAACATGAGGTGTACATATTTATTTCAGACAGTGAATTTCACGCGCCTGTGTGTTCCAGTTTCAAATGCATCATCAAGCTCCACACTAATGCCCCTGCTGTCCACATGTAGAGTGAATGCTTCTATCATTCTTTACAACAAGAAACTGGTTCTCTTCTCAAGTAACACGGTATTTTTGTATGATGACTATGAAAGACTAGACTCTGGACCATCAAGAACTTGTCCAATTAGTGACTTATTTGCTGGAATAACTGGAACGCTGGATGCTGCTTATGATGACAATGACACCATATCATTGATCCAAGGTAAATTCTAATGAATATTCCAAAAATATAGTGGATATTTTCGTTGTGCAATTTTATATTTGATACCAAAGATCGAAATTCTTTTCTGGATAACTACTAAATAAATATGTTTCTTGATTCTAAAATACTATAAAACCAATGTCCAACTTTACAAATACAAGTTCCTCGAAACCGAATGTAACAGAATTGCACTTTATCCATATAATCTCAATAATTTATGTTTACTATTTATTGATAATATTAAATCTGCTTTTTTTTACTTTACAATTAAACAAGAAATATTCATGAAAATTAATCTATGTTGTTTACCGATTTTCTAAATCGTAAAGCTGAGTAATTATTGAATTTACCGCTTTTTAATTGATTGATTGATTGTATGTTGTTTTACGTCCCATTTGAGAATTTTTTACTCCTATAGAGACGTCACTGTATACTGGTGAAGGGCCTTAAATTTATTCATATACTTGGCCCTCAGGGCCATTGAGCAGTAAGGATTCTTTATCGTGCCAACACCTAGCATGACATGGAACTTCAGTTTTTAAGGTCTCATTCGAAAGGAACGTGACTTTCACTTTTATTACCGGGCGCTTGGCGAAGGAACAAACATTATGTTTACGTCTTAATTAGGTTTGACGTGGCGCGGCGAACGAGAATCGAAACCCGTGCCTCCCAATCACAAAGCGAACCCGCATTTTAATTTAGCATTTGCAGAACAAAGCAACACAAAAATTGAATTTTTGTTTTTAAAAAACCAGTTTCTTGTAGCTGTAGGGAGCTAAAGAACAACAAAAATAGAAATCTCTAATTTTCTTTCATTCATATTCGTGCTACATTTTATTTATTTGTCATCTGTTTCAGTTAGTATCCTTATCTTTTCCCCAGGTTCCGAAGTTTATACATATGCGATCTCAACAATACTAGAGGAAAAACAAGCAACATTAAAGAGAAAAGAAAAGACAAATGTTACATTTAAACTTGGACTTGCTAACCAATCCTCAACTACCATTGACTGTGTCATTAAGGATACCAATATGTTTTATGTATTTGCTGGAGACTACGTGTATGATGTGAGCAAAAATCCACCAACGATCATAAACTGGAAATCAAACAGTGCAAAGAACCCATTTAAATCCACCAATCACAGCTCCCGCCCTCATTACGTGGACGCATGCGCAAACTCTAATTCGCAAAAACTTCTCTTCTTTTCGGGATCTGAGCACTTCTACTATGACTTCTCTACAAAGCATGGTTTTTGGACTGAACGAAATCAAACCAAGTGTTGATTTGAAATGAAATGCGTAATAAGAATACAGTACAATGCATATAATTATATAAAGAAGTAAATAAAAATTCATTTTGTTCAGATTCTCATGTAGAATTTAAAAGTCTGACATTTTTTTAAAAAAACACACGTCGAAATATTTAAAAAGCCTTGGAGAGATTTACAGCTTAGTAGTTCGTTATAATAGATTGAAACTTGTAAATTATGCTTTAAAAAGAAATACATGTACATGTAATTTCATATTTTTCTTTATCTTTTTTTTAAATAAAAGACCTTCAGGATTACAGTTGTGGCAAAATGAGACCCTTTTAATGAAATTATGCAAAATTGTATTAAACTGATTATAGGGATCATAAATTAACACTTAAAGGAATTTAATTGGTAATATGACACATGTTTCCTGTTAATCAGAAAATGCGATTCGTTGACATATGACTCAAATGAAAATTCTCCACCAATCGGAGACTTTCTTTTGATATTTTGCATTTTCAAAGATAGTTCAAATTAGCATAGCATTGTTTGATGTTTTAACCAATTTAACTTTTGGGAAGTCAACAGATGCATGATTAATAATTGTTTTATATATTTCTAAATGTCTGTGTAATTTTTCAGATTGATCTACTACGACTGCATGTCCTTGATACAATTGAAAAAAAAACTTATCTGATAAATTGGACAGTAATGCTGATATATGGGGGTGCTTGAAAGATGATAATTAATCAAAATAAAAATATTTCAAATCAATCCAAACAATGGACAAATTATGTATAAATGAAAAGAAAAAATACTGATGTGAGTATACATGTCACAATTTTATAAAATACAGAAAAAATGTCAATGCCTATGATTCAGGACTTATCTTACAATTGAATATCTTCATAAAAAAATTTGAAAACAACAGTCCGTCGAAGAAAGGTACTCGTGCAATGAGATTTAACCCTTGATGATCCTCACACGCCTTTCAGCTTATCGCATAAATTTTCGTATCCATAAATAAAGCTTGAAGTGAAGTATTAGCTTCAGGGAACACGTTTCTCTACAAACGGGGGATGAGTGACGTATATATACCTAAGATGTACGAATCTGTATGCACATAGGCCAATTATAGGTAATGGTTTGTTTAAACTACTAACCAAAGAAAAGAATCATTAACGTTCATTTGGTATTCAAAATACACGTTTAAAAATTAGAATGTAAACACGAAATTTTGTCTTGACAATAATTCAAAAACAAAATTTGTTGGAGAAAGGCATTCTTGTCAATAATGTTAAACTTATTATCAAAAACCCAGGCACTTCGGGACAGCCTTTTATAATTAATTATTACAATTAAGACTAACCCTAGAAGCACATTTATAATGAATACTTCAATCCGCTGTTTTGTAAGGGCGAGCGTTTACAACATTGTTACAATATGACAAACAAGTAACCTGTTGATTAAAGGATTTTAAACATTGAACCTACTAATGTGTTTTAGTCTTCAAATTAACAAATAGAAATAATCCTGATGGCTGGTGATGCTATTCCTATTAAGCGAAAGCTCGGATACAGTGTTGGACACGCGTTTAATGATCTTACAGCTTCTATGTGGTACACCTACCTTATAGCTTACTTTCATGAAGTAAAAAATTTTGATGACACATTGGCCGGAGCGTTGATGATGATTGGGCAATCAGTGGACGCAGTGTTAACCCCACTGGTTGGTTTAGCCTCGGACAACAGCAAATCAGGTTGCTGCAAAATTGGCAGAAGAAAATCCTGGCACTTAATAGGTAAGCAAAAATTTATAGTTTCATTTCTTATACAGCAAGTAGTGAATCTTTTTTTTACAAAATGGCTTTTTATTCAAATCGTTTATAAAGAATATTTCTGAGTGTTACAAAATTTCAAGCCTCTAACCTAATTTTAGTTTTTTGTTTTTTTTTCAGGGACCATATGTAGTTGTCTGGGGTTTCCTTTCATTTTCATACCTTGTTGGTTCTGTGTCGGTGTTCCTGATTGGGCACAATTTATTTACTATGTACCACTTGTCGTTATTTTTTCATTTGGATGGGCTTGTGCTCAAATTGGACATTTAGCTCTCATCCCTGAAATGACGCTTTCTACTGTAGAAAAGGTGCAGCTAAATGGATGGAGGTTATAAGAATATTTTCATTTAATTTACTTATTAAGTGTTTCCAAGCTTTAACTATTACATATCCCAATAAACATACTGGTTCAGCAAAATCTAAATTAAAAACATTTAATGTGTAAAATCGATCTGTTTCAGATATGCTATAACCGTCCTTTCCCACATGTTTGTATACCTACTGGCCTGGCTGTTTTTTGACGCACACAGATCGGAGGAAGCAAGCACGTATCTAAATAAAGAGGATGGATACATATTCAGGGTAACATGGCCCAACTGTCATATACACTCTAGTTAACATTTCCAGTCTTTAGTATCCATGATTCAAGTCTTTAACAAAGCTGAAAGTCAACTCTCCAATGTACTATATAGACGTGTTTGTACACTTGCTTCTTACTACAACTAGAATTTTAAGATTTCCTTCATAATTTGTATTAAATTGACTGTGATAATCTAGAAGTTACTTATATAAATCAACAACGATATTCTATCGAACAACAAACAAGATCCAAATGATTCAGTGGCATTCAAAATAAGTGATAAATATGTATGTGTAGTTGTATTTTTTTTTCTAGACTATATATAGTATATAGTTGTGACTACTCCTGGAAAAATTCGGAATGAAATAAAGATATTTCAAAATCGGAAATCCTAATATGAGTTGCAGAGTATGCATCTTTTATTGCAGGATCTGGCAATATGCGTCGTTGTTCTAGGAGTGATTTGCAGTTGTATATTCTACTGGCTTGTGCATGAAAAGGACAACCCATTACCTGGAACAGGCTATGAAAAGAAATTAAAGTGTGAGAAGGGGCCAAAAACTGACAAAGGAAAAGATTTAAAAGAAACCACTAAAGAAAAAAATGAAACAAGTAAAAGTCAAGAGACTAATTTTAGTGAAAGTAAAAAACAAACTCCTTTATTTAAATTAAAAGGTCTAGTAAAATCACATTCTTCTCAAAGTATTTGCAGGACTCACAGCATGCTAGAGAGAAACTTATCTTCAATGTCATGTCCCGAACGTGACGTTATAGCTACAATCTCTTCAATATCATGTCCTGAAAATGATATAGAAATGTCCTCACTAAAGAATTGTCAAAATACTGGTATTCCTGGAATTTTGAAGGATACATCGAAGACATGCAAACCAAATATTGCAAAGAAAAGAATATCTTTTGTATCCAGTCATAGCATTATAGAAGACGGTATAAATGAACAGCAAAAAGTTGGTTTAGCAAAACAAAAAGAGATACTTCACAAACATTGGAAGGATTGGTTTAAAGAGCCCAGTTTTTATCAGGCAAGACCTCTTAAATATTTTTTGTTCCAATCTTTTTATTCTATCAGTTATAATCGTTCGATGCATTATAATGGATTTATCGAATTACAACCAATTGAAGCATTGAGGGCACATCGTCAGCAAATAAAATCATATATTCATGTACCTTTCAGATGGCGTTGATATATATGTGCACTCGTTTAACCGTCAATATATCTCAGATTTATATGCCCATGTACATAACGGAGACGTTGCATATGCACAAGGTAAGAGAAGATGATGATCGCAAAAAAATAAAAATGCATAGTCTCTTTTCCCTTTTGCACCATATGTTAAAGATTATCGCAGCTTTGCTAGAAGTATAGAGTAACTGATGATGTTTGTATAGAGTAACTGATCATGTTTAGACAGAGTAACCGAAGATTTTATATACAGTAATTTAAGAAGTTTATATTGATGTTTATACAGAGTAATGGTTATAAAGAGTAACAATTGATGTTTGTACAGAGTAATTGATGAAGACTGAACAGGGTAATGATGAAGTTTGTATAAGGTGACTGATGATGTTTGTACGGAGTAACTGATGATGTTTGTACAGAGTAATTGATGAAGTTTGTATAGAGTAAATGATGATCTTTGATTAGAGTAGCTGATGATGATGATGATATATATATATATATATATATATATATATATATATATATATATATATATATATATATATATATATATATATATATATATATATATATATATATATATATAAAGAGAGAGAGAGTAACTGATGATGTATTTATAGAGTAATTGATGATGTGTGAATAGAGTAAGTGATGATGTTTGTACAGAGTAATTTATAAAGTTTGTATAGAGTAACTGATGATGTTTGTACAGAGTAACTGATGATGTATTATAGAGTAACTGATGATGTTTGTATAGAGTAACTGATGATGTTTGTACAGAGTAATTGATGGTGTTTTGTACAGAGTAATTGATGAAGTTTGTATAGAGTAACTGATGATGTATGTATAGTGTAACTGATGATGTTTGTATATTTCAGGATTCTGTAGCAATCGTTCCTCTGGTTGGCTATATTGCAGGATTCTGTACATCGCTTTTTATGAACAATACAAATAAGTTACTAGGTCGTAAGGTTTGTTTTTTTTTCTTCCATTTTTAAAACCCTTAATAAATATATCTTTACTTACCCAAATTCTTTTTTTACATCGTTTTCTTGGAAATGAGATAAAGCTATAAAGGTTCATTTTACAATTACAGAGAACTTACATAGTCGGTATATCTTGTACACTTGGGGCATGCGTGTGGATCTTTTTCATCGATGAGGCGACATCTAGTCGTGTTTATGGAGTCGCTGCTCTTAGTGGTGTTGGTGGATCAACTGCTCTTGTGACGTCACTCGCCATGACCTCTGATCTCATCGACCAATATTCTGTACGATAACAAAAACTATAACAGCAAACATTAAGTATTTAAATTCGTTAATAAAAAGTCAATTTTTCACGATAAAGAACTCCATCCTGACAGTAAACAATATTTTTTATGAATAAGTTGCAATCAAGCAATGCCAATAACACTTTAAAAGTTCAACAGGTATATACCTCTTTTTTTAAATACATATTTAGATATGATGAATATGATTTAAAAGGGTAATTAAAGGGGGGAAAATCAAGATAGATTTTATCTCAAAATTTGGCTATCAAAATCTTTGTAGAACAGTGCAGCATTTGTGTACGGTGCGATGAGTTTTACAGAGAAACTTGCCAACGGAATCGCTGTTGTTCTCATTCAAAGATACAATCCATGGTAAGAAATTGTTTCCACCCCTGTCTGTATGTCAGTCTGATCATCTTACATTCCAAAGATATTTCAAAAGATAAGTAAGTAAAAGAAACACATTGGGATGAAGATGAATCGAGATTTGAGGTGGATTATGTTAAATCTCCAACGATTTTTTTAAAATGCATACTTTTTTCTTAATAGCAGCTAGAGCTGCAGGAGTTATGTTTTGTTATCCCCCGCTTTCACTGAAAGTGGGGGATATTAATTTGGGTCTGTCTGTCCGTCCGTCCGTCTGTATTTCTGTCTGTCTGTAACACTTTCGTTTCCGCGCGATATCTCCAGAACCCTTTAAGCTTTCGCAATGAAATTTTACATAACAACTTCCGGTGGCCTAAGAAAGACCCCTATTGATTTTGAGGTCAAAAGGTCGAAGTCCAAGGTCGTAAATTCATAAATTCCTTCTGTGTGAAACACTTTCGTTTCCGGGCGATATCTCAAGGAGCTTTTGAGCTTTTGCAATGAAATTTTATACTGTAACTCCCTATGGCCTCTCTCAGCCCTCTCAAAGTGTCCCGCCCCGTTTTTTTAATTATTGTATTAAAAGTCGCTTGGCACTATTTTTAGCACAGGGGCATGTGGAGAGATATTACGTATAATACAGGTTGTTGGCGGACTTCATATTCTAATTACATCTATTAGAAGTGTTTTGTAAAGGCTAAATTAGACACTATGTATTGTGTAAAATTTTGACAATATCGAACGTGAATATAAACATTATATGTTACCTAATATTTGCATTTAATTTGCTGTACAATCAAGTGCCTACGTGGTCTAGAGGTATGATTCTTGCTTAGCAAGTGAGAGGACCCGGTTTCAAATTCCGGACGATCCTTTTTTTTTTTTTTTTAATTTTTTTTTTATTTACTAAATGATATTATTCAACATGTGAAATAATAAAGATATGACTTCTGGCGTGTACAAACTCATAAAATCATTATTACAGTGTGATAAATATTCTATATAAAAAGAATCTTCTATACACATATTAAAGAATAAGCAATCAAATCTTTATATCCATATTGGCAATTTTTTATTTGCTTCAATATAAATGTATACATTTAATAATTCTACAAATCCAGGGGGGATATCATGTTGTAAGTTTTGAATTTGCTAGGGGGAGGTAAATGCAAAATTTACAGTATGATAACTCTCCCCCTAGTAAATTCAAAATTTACAACATGATAGCGAACTGCGCATGCTCTTCTTTTTTCCCTAAGCGGGGGACACAAATTCTCTGAATTAGCTTGTTTATACTTTATGCAGTTTTCATGAATAACTTACCGTTTTCTTTGTATACTTCCGGTGGATTGCTAATGTTCAGAATGAATGCTTTTGAAAAAAGAAATCCTTTCGTAGGTGTTTATTATCAAAATATTGCAAAACTAGCTATACTTCTGAAACATTGAGTATCCCACTATCAGCTATTGATTCACGTGGGACAAAATATTGAAAAATGGAAATGAACTCGGCAGAGAGAAAGAGCTAGTAGGGTTAGGAATGAAACCCCACTTTTCTACACCTGTTTTTCTTAATTACTGAGCAAAATATCAAAGCCTTCTTTGTCTATGAATGTTAGTATACTAGGCCTACAAACTCTTTTCCTTAACTGAATTCCTCTTTTTTACTATTTTGTACCACACAATACAAAGTAGACTGTGAAATACTCGGTGTTTCATAAATATCACCAGATTTAACGACCCCTTACTTATACATTACTTAAACAAGCCTTCTATTTTCTAAAGCAGTAATTTTAACATCAGCAGACAGCAAGAAGTATACTAAATAAATGGAAGGCTATCCATGTAAACTGCATTATCATTAGAAAGAACGGGAATTTGTCACAAAATAAAATAGTAACATTAACTTATATTTTATGAAATCAATCCAACATTTTAGATAAATGTATCATAAAAATTCTCAATAATTTCTGGAAACACAATATATACTCAGCACTAGTTTGATTCAGATTCGTTGTCTTCATATTTCATATGTCGACAAGTAACACAGCTGAAAAGGTAATCATAATTTAATTTAATATTTATGGTGTAACCATATTCAGTGAACAAAATATCGATGTTGTCACTTGATTTGAGAATAAATTATGCAAAATACATAAAAAGCTGCATGTCAACATTATCAGTAAGCTACACCATTGATAAGTTGCATCTCACATATTGGATGTTACAAGTGAGCTAGATGTTTTTTCTAATTCTTTTCTTGCATATCAACGTAGGTAAGCTAGTTGGAATAGTTATATTGCAAATCAATATAACTATGTTGCATATCGACGTATTCTTTATAAATAATAATTCCTATTTTTGAGTTCATATTTAGATACATCGATGACGTTTTATCAATTCTCAATAGTTATTTTCATTCATGTGTCAACTCGATATATTCAAGTGAACTGAAAATAAAGACACCACACAGTCTGCAACATTTGTTTCAGATTTAAGTGTTTTACTGACTATATATAGACGTTAATGACCAACTAACAACAACCAAAGTAAACGGCAAACGTAATGACTGGAACTTCCCCATTCTATACAGTAATATTCCAATATCATATGTATATGGTGTTTTCCCAACTGATTCGGTACGCAAGAGCATGCTCTAAGTACGATTAATTTTTAAACCAAGGCAGGCTACTGACTAAAAAGTTGATAATACAGTCTTTTGAAGTAAGCATTTCGCAAATAATGACCTTATTTGCAAATACAGTCAATTGTTGGTTCGTATTTTGACTGACATGTTTAATACTAATTATTATGCCATTGCTTTCATACTAATTTTGACTACTACGGAATACTCCGTTAACCTAATCAAGAAGGACCACGGCAGGTGTGTCTCAGTCAACAAGGGATGCTTACTTCTCTTGAGCACCTCTATACCACCGCTGGTGTTTCCAGGGATCCCTGTTTTTGTCCTGTTCTTAACCTTTTTCATGTATCATGGAACAGAAATATGACACTATTTAATGTTTGTCTATCATATGATTTGCCGGTTGAGATTGTTACTTGTCTCCATATAACTTGTAGTGAGAATGGTTCAGCTGCCCATATGACTCACCACTGCACGGTGTACTATCGTGATGTCCTCGTAACAGTCCCAGGGGGTGTGACCTTCATCTCCCTCCTCGTTCTTCTCAGCACAATATCCTCCATAGGCGGTGGAAGCGGCTGGAAAGGTCAGAAATCTATCAATCAAACCTAAAAAGCTATCATTATTTTTGACATACTAGAAAACTTGGCATTTTCTCTGCGTTCTTTTTCTTTTAGAATGAAATACATGTAATGCATAATTTTGTTAAAATATTAAGGCAAAGAAAATGTCCTTTTAGACTTTATGAAAACTAGACTCTTATCGCATAGAGCAGTGGATAGATACTGGTATATCTTTTATTTTCAGTGACTTAACCACTGGTTTGAAGTATCAAAGGTATCTATGATTTTTTTCGAAAATTTTCTTTCAGAACACAGAATACCACGACATTCTCCATGAGAACAAGATAAGGACTGGAAACATTGAAATAAAAATGAAATCAAACTACTGGGGATGGATGGAAGCAGAGGATGATGATTTGCTATCAACCCAGCAAAGAGATAAAAGACTAAAATTCTGTAGGCCTATAGTAAGGGAATGTTAATCCAACGGATGAATGTAAACAACCATGATGTAACTTAAGAATTTGATGTGTTTTACTTATCAATATCTTGATTTAAAAATTGAAGAATATGAAAAGAACTAGTCTTTCATTTTCAATACTTGATTATTGATTAAAGGAATTATTACGTATACGCTAGCAAAAAGATTAAAATTTGAAACATTCGATAAGAAATGGATATGCAGTCTAGTATTCTGTGTATACAGAGTGCGACTTTGAATGAAGACGCCCTCGGCAAAAGAGTGTGCTTTATTTCAAAACCTTCTTCTTAGGGATGGCAATTTGGATAATCGGTTACTCGGTCGGAATGATGGTAATCGGTTAGAAAATCTTTAAGCGGGTATTGGGGAAAAAAATAAAATGTGTGATTTGAACGCAATATCCCGAAAAGACAATTTAGTTTTTTTTTTTTAAATTACACACATTTCTGAGTGTTATCATTTTCACGAATCTATATTAAAAGCTGATTTGGAGATAATTCAGATTCTCCGAATTGACATTGTGGGGTAACTGATCAGTTTTAGAGGTTATAATTGCTGTTTAAACAATATGTCGTTACCCGCAGTTTCACTTTTCCGCGATTTGACATTGATTTTTGGCGAAAAAAATCCTGCTTTTCCGAGGCTAATCATGCTGCTATTCCGCGATTTTATTTTTTTGCTTTTCCGCGATCGACCTTTTTAATATGTACCTCTTCCTTTAGCCTGGGAGAAATCTTATACAACAACTTTTGCGTCAGTTTTTTTTTTTTTAATTTGTTTGAATGTTTTTAAAGTCCCTCGAAAAATTTTCACATATATGCCGGTGGAGGGCTGCGAATTTATCCCTATACTCGGCACTCAGGGCCATTGAGAAGTGAGGGATCTTTTTCGCACCAACATCTACTGCAACAGGGGGCCTCGGTTTATACGGTCTCATCCGAAGGACTGGTCTCCATGTCCCGCAGCAGATTAGAACTCGCGAAGTAAGGATCAGCTCCTTACTCCGCGACTCTAAAGCAGACGCTCTAACCACTGCGCCACGCGGGCGACTTTGCGCCCGTTGTAATTGTGGTTTTGCATACTTTTGCTTCATCGGTAAGAAACATCATCATTATTTGAAATATTGACTATTTTATAGGTGCATCCATCGAATATTATTAACAATATATTTTTTATAATGAATAATTTCCATAACTTCAGAAGCTATCACCGAGCAATGTAAACTGCGAAATTCATGGAATTTTTATCGCTACGATCCCTGAGTTCATACTAAAAACTACTAGCTAGACCTCTGTTAGGAAATACAAGTAAATATCAACAACCGTTTGATGCCATGCACTACCTATGTCCGTTTAACAAATCGCAGAAAGGAGACCTGTATCAGTCAAACATGAATAATAGTTTTTAAAAAATCGCGGAAAAGCAGTGTGAAGAAAAAGTAGACAGGGGGCTGAAATATAATCGACGGCTTGTTACCAAGTCTTACCTGTATTTCATTAATGATTTTAAATTAAATGATCTTCGAGTACTGCGTATCGATTATAATTTGTACCTTGACTCCTCTATCCTATCAAATCATATTAATCAAACATTGTAAATTAAAGCTGAACACGACTCGTAAATAGGCATACGCCGTATTCGATTATGCTATCTACGATATTAGCACCGGTTAACACACTCTGAGAATCCAAGGTGCATCAACTGACAAAGTCTGATGATTCTAAGCCCTTGTTATTTTAAATAATTATTCAGATATAGCCATGAAGTTCTGAAAGTAGATCACGCTGATCTACTTTTTGGTAAATATAATCCGCGACCCTAAGATGCATCAAATGACAAGGTTTGATGATTCTAAGTTCCTATTAATCGAACACCTGTAGAACATGTTTTCCATAAATACAATAGCCAATCAGATTGACATTCTATATATTAATATAAACATCGGATAAACACGTGTCGACACTTGCGTTGTGATTTCAATAGACATGACAACTACATGAAATTATGTACATATTCGTTGCAATACTTGAGTTCTATAAAAAGGAAGCCTCTCACTCCCACCCACCCACACATCCCCAACTTAGCAAGTAAGAATATTGTCTTTTTTTGTAAGGCTCATTATTTTAGAGGAACAGGGATTTAATTCTACAAATGGTAATCCAACTTATACCCATAGCTCCCTTTCTAAGGAGGAAATTCTTCAAAATCATACGTCAGTTTCGAATATTCTTAATATTACCAACAACCAAAATGAATCTGAATTACCATATTTATATTCCATAAAAATTCTTACAAAGATACATAGCAGGCTCCAGTAAATGTTCTATCAAACCTCTTTCTTTACTCCTCACTAAAATATCAACAGCAGTGAAGAAGAAACTTCAGGAGTACTGTGCAACAATATATTCTAGAAGTGGTGTAAATCAGATGTGGATATTTAAAAATTTCTAGGAACTTTTGGAAAATTTGAAATCATAAAATTTTTACAAAAATCAATAACATAAAAACTCATGACTTTTCAACTCTATAAACAACCATTCCCCATGATAATTTAAAGTCTAGGCTTTTTCAATAAAAATGGAACTCATAAATTGACTTACCTTGTCATTGGTCATTTGCAGAATTATTTTGTTAAAAAACATTCGGATTGTACACACAAGTACTCTGAAGTTGATATTAAAAATGATGCTCGAGTTTCTGATTTACAATATCTATGTGGTTTTTGGAGACCAGGTCTTCCAATAATCTGTTTGAATTCCCATGGGCACCATTTGCCCCCGTTATTACCAGATCTATTTTTATATTCATATGAAGCAGAATTTATTTAAAATCTTATACACGAGAAAAAGAAAATTCTGCTGTGGCTTCAACTCGACATTTAGATATATAAACGACGTATCATCAATTAACAATAGTTATTTCCATTCATGTGTCGACATGATATATCCCAGTGAGCTTGAAATAAAAGATACCACAGAGTCTGACACATCTGTTTAATATTAAGATATTTTACTAGAAAAAGCATTTATGGTAATCTAACAAAGCATGATGACGCAAAGTCATATATGGCGAATTTTTATAAGTTCAGACTAACTAAAATTAAAAAGATCTTTATATTTGTTTTATTAATTTATATAAAGATAAGACTTTCCTGTAAATTACACAATTTAAATCAATCACGTTTCAAAGATAACCGATTTATTTACCGACTCCGCATTTAATTAACAGACACAGTTTAAAATCAATTTAACCATGGAAACATGAGGTTATTCAAGTTCAAAATCAGTGAAAATTTTAATTTGAACGTGAATAACATATACATTGTATCATGTTTATCTTCACTCAATCTCGTATTTTCATGTTTTAGCTCAAAAACGCCATATATAGCATTAAACATTTCAATTCGCAAAGATATTTGCATGTAGGAATGCATACTTTTCCAGGATCTAGTGCTATAATTGGCATACAGATAAATGCTAACTTTTTCAGGCACACAAAAAATTGAAATGATGTCACTTTTGTTGATTTCAGAAGAATGAATTGACATATACTTTTTGTGACAAATGATTGCACTTACATAAATCAACAAGTCAATCTCCAAAAAAAAAAGAAAGAAAGAAAATTTCAAAGTGATTCAAAAATGAGTTTTAACAAAATTTGATGAATTAATGTGGTTTTTTTTTTTACATAGATTTCATCTTCTTTGGTTTCTATATGCCTGTTCCTACAATGAAAAAAAGAAAGAAAGTTAAAAATGATCTACTTACAAAATACATGTAGTAATGTTCTAAAATAATCTTGAAATTTAACAGTCTCTGTTACTACTACATTTGAGTAAATTATTTTATAAGACAACTTGCTTTACCATGTATGAAGTCTGAGGTTGCTGTGCACGCTGCTGTTGCTGCCCAGCAACTTCTGGATGTCTTGGCTGATTGAGTCTGTCTGCTGACCTCTGCTTAACAGGTGTTGTGGGTGGCATACTAGTAGGTGCAGGTGGCATACTATTAGGTGAATTCAGTTCTTTAGAAACTTTCTCAAACATGTACTTTGAAAACTTGAGCAAACAAGCCTGAAGAGCATATTGTAAGATCAGGGCACCAAATCCTCTGTACAGGCCAGATATACCCTCCTCCACTAAAATACTACGAAAACAATCAAAGAATCCTTGATAATTTGTGCTGATGGGGATAACATCTACACCTGTGTCTAAATTGTCAATTATTGTTCTGGTGCCTTGCGCATACAAACGGTGAAGAACAGTCTCTAAGGGAAATAACAACACATCAGCCAGCAAATTCCCAGCAAAATTGGCCATCATCTCAGGAAAGTATTTGTTATACAAAGATTCCTCTTGTTCCTTTCCATCCACAGAAGTGGATTTGTCCTATCAAGGAAATGAAACATATTTTAGTTATCAAAAAATTACAAAAAAAAAAAAAAAAATACAACAATACATGTATTTCGTTTTTTTTTTTTTTTTTTTTTTTTTTTTTGCAAATGTAAAATTTGAAATATTCATTTGAAGCAGGCTACTGACAGATAAGTAGATGTTACCAGGATTTCAACAAACTCATTTAAAGTCAGCATTTTGTAAATTATATGGTCATTATTATGACCTTGTTAACAAATAATATCTAAAAGTTTAATCTTGGTCCCAGCCAGTTCGAGATAATGAGGTATAATTAATACTGTATTTTTTTTTTTATAATAAAACATACATAGCAATAGTATCACATTTCAGAATATTCATAATATACTACTATTTAGCAAAATGACTTTCATGGCAACATCTACTTATAGAGGAAATGGTTACACTTTGAGGAAGATCATGTTATTTTTACAATTCCAAAAATTAATATTTTTATTTTGTTGAGACTTAAATTAATCATATTTTCATTTAATGCAAAAGTTAACTGGGTTGTTTTTGGTTGTTTGAGAGGGTAGAAGTACAGTGACCATTTTTTCATGAATTAATATGTTATATAATTTATATGTAGTATATTATCCCCATAAACCTAAACGAAAGGCCCATGGGTGACAATGCTCACCTGATTAACTTTGGTCCTAGTGTTCTTCATCAGCAGATTTTTTTTTAATTTCCCTCTTTTATTTCATAATTTTTTTTTATTCCATATTGTGGACCAAAATCTAGCCCTAAGGGAGCTATGATTTTTAAAATCAAGGTTGAATCCACATAATATTGGGAAACTACCTGAGAATGTTTGCATATCAACATGACTAATAATGACTTTGCTTTTCATTAGAGGTATTTTTTAAGATTTTCAATACATATTCTTATGTAAAACTTTGATCTTCTATTGTGGTCCTTCCCTACCTCCTGGGGCCATGATTTAAATAAACTTGAATCTACATTACCTGAGGATGCTTTGCTGTTCTTGAGAAGATTTTTATCAATTCCTATTTAAAACTTTGATCTCCTATTGTGGCCCCACCTTACCCCCAGGGTCATGATTTGAACAAACTTAAATCTACATTATGTAATGAAGCCTTCACATAAGTTTCTTTTCTGGCCCAGTGGTTCTCAGAAATTTTTTTTAAAAGATATCATTAAATTTTCTTTAATTCTTAATTACCTTCCCTTAAAAGAGGGAATGACCTTTTGTTTGAAAAATTTAAATCTTCCGCACAGAAGGATGCTTTATGCCAAGTTCGGTTGAAATTGGTCCAGAAGGTAAAAAATGTGAAAAGTTTACAGCCAGACAAAATTTGATCAGAAAAGCTTGTTTGAGCTTTAGGCTCCGGTGAGCTAAAAAAAGATGGTTATTTCTTACACTTATATTTTCAACTGTTAAGTATATATTTCTCGCCAAATTGAACTCAAAAGACACTAATGTGTAATGATAATAATTACTGATTACATCAAAGGTAAAACTCAAGAGGATGACTTCAGAGAAGGCTAACATCACACTGTGTGTAACAGCTGATATCTACAGAGATCTAAAAGGTTATCAGTCTTGATTTTAGTAAATGTAAAGACATTCTTCATTATTATGTTCTTGACACACACAATGTGCATTTTCAGTCCACTTTGATTAAAATATCCAAGTGACAAACTTCACACCATCCCTGAAAAACAAAAAAAATTTTGGTTTTTCCTTACCCTCATTTCTTGTTCCCTTTGCTTGAAAGAGGACAGCATGGTAGCTCTGGCTACCTGTACAATGACATACTGGGATACACCCATCATTGCTGTGGGTAAGATAAGGGTGTACACAGGGAGGAGACGAGTTGTTTGGGGCATGCCCCAGCCCATCACTCGACCAACTCCCTCTTTGATGAAATCAATAGGCCCTGGTTTATCACTAGAGATATCAGCCTTAAATAAAAATAGGAAGAGCAGTGTCATTACATAAATTAACTTCTGAAAATATCAAAATAGAGTCACTAATACAAAATATGTCACTGAAAACATATTTGTTCAATATTTTTTTCTCACAGATTCATCAATAATTATGACATATAACTTTACTCTTGAATATATGTGAACTGCAGATCTATAACAGAAATGATATAAAATTACATTTTCTGACAATACAGTACACACACAAATATATCCTACTTTCATTGTAATTTTGAAAATGAAGTGAAAATAAGGCCTACCTGAATAGTTTCGATGAAACTAGTTGCTAGGAAGGGAGTTGCCAAAATGTATGCTAATCTGCAAAATTAAAATATAAACCATATAAAATACATATTAAAGTATATGCATACTGCTTTTAGAACACATTCATAAAGACAACCAGAACTCAAAAGACTCATCTGATTGGATAATTTGGGTCACTACTTGTCATTATTGTATCACGTACATTACACATAAAACTAATATGTATTTCACACACAACTTTGAGCCCTTGCTAAACCATTTAAAATTTATGATCAAAAAGCTCTTTATATTCAAATAATGTTGTAAAATAAATTCATACAATATAGTTTTGAGTGCACATAATAGGCAAATTGAAAATTGACATTTTTACCCTTTAAGCAACAGATGTTCCAGATGTTTCCTAGGTGAACTGTGTCTTGTGACCTCCCTATATGATTAATAATGAACAAGAAATATAAAACAAGAATCAGCAACTTTTAAAGGTAATTTTCTATTAATCATGACCCTGCTTAATGAAAAAAACAAGTTTCTGCAAATTATTATATAATGTGCATTATCTATTACTGACATACTAATTCAATATTTCAAACAAGGATGATTTGTGGCAAGTTTGGTTGAAATTGGCTCAGTGGTTCTTGAGAAGTCAAAAACATGAATGGTTTACAGATGACACGACAGACGGACGCCGGACACTCTTCAATCAGACAAGAGGCCCATGGGCCACATTGCTCACCTGAGCACATTGGTTTGGCAAAAGCACAAATCAGTTCAGTATTGAAAAGATTACTGGGGGGGGGGGGGGGGGCTTGAATTTTAAACTACCTGATGATGCTTCCATGTCAATATAACAAATGACTTTGTTGTACTTGAGAAGATTTTAAAAAAAATTCCCATATATTCCTTTATAAAAATTTGATCTCCCATTGTGGCTCCTCCCTATCCCAGGGGTCATCATTTGAACAAACTTGAATCTACACTACCTGAGGATGCTTCCATATCAATATGACTAAACATGGCTTTTCTGTTTTTGAGAAGAAATATTTTTCCTATATGTTCTTATGTAAAATTTTTGATCCTGCATTGTGGCCCGACCTTATCCCCGGGGGTCATCATTTTAACAAACTTGAATCTACACTACCTGAGGATGCTTCCATATCAAAATGACTAATCATGGCTTTGCAGTTCTTCAGAAGAAGAAATTTTCCTATATATTTCTATTTAAGACTTTGATCCTCCATTCTGGCCCCACCCTACCCCCAGTGTCATGATTTGATCAAAATAGAATCTACACTACCTGAGGATGCTTCCATATAAATATGATCAATCAGGGCTTTGCTGTTTCTGAGAAGAAGATTTTTAAAGATTTTTCCTATATATTTCTATGTAAAACTTTGATAGTCCATTGTGGCCCCGCCTACCCCCAGGGGTCATGATTTGAACAAACTTGAATTTACACTACCTGAGGATGCTTCCATATAAATGACTCATCATGGCTTTGCTGTTCTTGAGAAGAAGATTTTTAAAGATTTTTCCTATATATTTCTATGTAAAACTTTGATCCCCATTGTGGCCCCGCCCTACCCCTGGGGGTAATGATTTGAACAAACTTGAATCTACACTACCTGAGGATGCTTCCATATAAATATGACTCATCATGGCTCTGCTGTTCTTGAGAAGATTTTTTTAAGGTTTTTCCTATATATATCTATGTAAAACCTTTGATCCTCCATTGTGGCCCCGCCCTTCCCCCGGGGGTCATGATTTGAACAAACTTGAATTTACACTACCTGAGAATGCTTCCATATAACTATGACTCATCATGGCTTTGCTGTTCTTGAGAAGAAGATTTTTAAAGGTTTTTCCTATATATTTCTATGTAAAACTTTGATCCTCCATTGTGGCCCCGCCCTACCCCCAGGGGTCATGATTTGAACAAACTTGAATCTACACTACCTGAGGATGCTTCCACATGAGTTTCATCTTTCCTGGCCCTCTGGTTCTTGAGAAGAAGATTTTTAAAAGATGCTATTAATTTTTCACTAATTCTTTATTATCTCCCCTTGAAAGCGGGAGTGGCCCTTCATTTGAAGAAACTTAAATCCCCTTCACCCAAGAATACTTTGTGGCAAGTTTGGTTGAAATTGGCCTAGTAGTTCTGGAGAAGAAGATGAAATTGTGAAAAGTTTACGACGACGACGACGACACCGACTACAGACAACGGACAAATTTTGATCAGAAAAGCTCACTTGAGCCTTCGGCTCAGGTGAGCTAAAAAGCTCACTTGAGCCTTCAGCTCTGGTAAGCTAAAACAGATTTAATATACAGTCGAATCTTGTCAATTCGAACCTTTGTTCCTGAGCACATTGTCTGGATTAATGAAGTGTGAAGACAACTGAAACATACTCGATTTATATAAATATAAATCTATTCCCCATAAAGGACAAGGTATGGTAACGGCTGAATCTGGCCCCTTATTTGATGTAAAAAATCAGAACACAGTTAAAATTGTGATAGTTTGAAGTTAAGACCTTAAAATGATGCTTGTTTTAAAACCAGCTCATATTTTGACTTAAAATCTTACACGGAGGCCACAAGAGGTTGCAGAAGTAGGACATTTTCCCGAATTTCCTCAATTCTGGTCAAATTTCGTCAAATTTGAGACACTTTTCACTTCGAGAAACATGGAGCACAAGCTTGCCTATCTGAGATTTTTATACATAAGATGCATCTGATACTAGTGTATGAAGTATATAAATTTGGTAAATAGGCAAGCTTGTGCTCCATCTTTTCTGAACCAAAATGTGCTGTAAAATCGGTGAAAATTTGCATAAAATTGAGAAAATTCGGAAATTGACATATTTTCTGACCTTCCTGTGACCTCTGTGTATCCCATATCTTTGAACCAATACTCATTTTGTGGCAGGGGTGAGAACAGGTTTTTAATTGATAAACTATTGCATCATTCTAAAGACACAACAAACCAGGGGCCAGAAAGGGGTCTTAGCCTATCTTGTCCTTTGTCTGAGAGGTGAAGTGCCCAAATTAATGAGGCTCCAGACCACTGTAGTTGCACTCTGATGAGATTAACTTACTTTGGTAATGGTGTGAGCTCACTGATGACTGTCTCATTTACCATCAGAATGCCTTTGGACATCAAGACACTGACAATCCCCTTCCACGAGGAAGACATTCCCTGAAATAATTGAAATAATTATTTAATAAAAAAATGACATCTTTGATGAGAAAAAAATTCTTTGCATTAAAGATAAATTTTGACATCTGCATCAATTGTAAACTTTCTATTTAAAAAATGCATTTTTTTCTGCATGTACAATATCTTTCCTGTATATCAGCACTGCCAATTTTTTTTCTGTATGTACACTATCATTTTTGTAATGGCAGCACAACAATTTTTCTGTAAGTACTCTATCTTTCTGTAATGGCAGCACTGCAATTTTTTTTTGTATGTACACTATCTTTCCTGTAATGGCAACTTTGAAATTTTTCCCTTACCTGATGTCTCTGTAGCTGTACTAAAACTGTGACTAAAGTAAAAGGAGTATTGTGGTACCAAACTCCATTATGATGCACCTGTTAAATAGATCATACAGAAAGGTAACATTTTATGAAATTCAATACATGTATTTACCAGTAGCAAAAGGTATTAACTCATACTGTATATATAACAATATGCAAAATGTACACATATAGTACTGTAAAGGTGGAAAGTTTGACAAGGAGGAAACATTGACGAATTTGACAAATAGCTTTAACTTGTCAAATTTTCATCTCACCATTTTTTTTTCATTATTTCATTTCACCAATATAACCACTTTTACAATATATATCAAGCTAGATGAGTATACTCCCCTTTGAAACAAAATGTGTAGATGTATATTTTTTTCTGAATTTAAAAAGTAAAAAGAAAATTTTCTTTTTTAAGCGATCTGTAGACTAAAAGTGAAATTTTTTAGCACATTTCTCATATACCTAAAGATAGGTGGAAAATAAAATCAGAAGTGTCTTTTTTCTACACAGATTAGAAGGTAGAGGTATGAAAAATTTACCTGACATTGTCTCCTTAAAACTATGAAGGGATGTGAGAGAATGTGTTCTGCAAAAATACTACTGCAAAGAAAATACAAAACATTCAAAAACTTTTTTTTTATTCAATATGAATATTAAAAATTTCCCTCTGTGTAAGGAATTTCTGCATTTGCTTATGGTTTTAAAATATATATTTTTTTTAAATATAATGAATTTTTTTTATCCAGAGAGAGAGAGATGGAAGAAGGCAGGTATATTAAACTTTATCTTACCTTGTAACCCCTATTACGTAACCAGTTGCAGCCTGTAACTGATCTGAAACATAATATTTAGACAAACTATTATCAGGTGTATCATATTTGAAATCAACACTTTTACTTCAGACGGTAGTAATAAAGCATCCACACCCATTGCACACTTATTAAATCCAGCTCACAAGTAGAAACTGCATAAACTGAATAGTAAAGAAAATCTACTAATATTTACAGCAATGAACACAATAACATTTGTTTTAAAAAACAATCTTTTGTAAAATTAATTTTTATTTTTCTTAAATCACTCAATGGTAGATTATGTCTTCCATTATAGACCTATATTATCAGTTATCAGAGTGTCTTAAATTTACGTGTACAGCTGATCCGACAGTGACTCGAATTGCATAATGTATCCTGTTTACATCATGCAGCATGAGCCAAGAATATGAGGTATTGTATCCACTACTCAATATTACTAACATATTTAACAATATTTTACCAATAACGTACCTGACGTTGAACCACTTTTGCTTTCTTGCATGTTCATATTTTCTAATGACCCAAAGTAGTCTGGGTTGTCTTGGATCCATTGTAAATCTGAGGGACTTGGACCTACAGATTTTACTTCTTTTAACTGTCTAGGAAAGGTCCTGTCCCCCATTGTCAAAGTGGTGAGTTAATCAAAATCAATAAAGATTCCGCATTACTAAAAAGTTTTCTGGTCTTTCTTCAATATTCTTGGACTGTCCTCCAACTGTCATTTTCTCCGGAAGTCATAATAACGGAGAAAACCGACCATGATAATAGAGAAAAATCCCGGAATCTTGGGGAGCTACTAGGAATGTCTATCGAAGTTCATAATGATATTTCAGAAAAATATGGCAATAAATTATTATATATCAAGTCTTTTAATTCAGATGTTTCTCCATAATATTTTTGTAGTTTTAAGAAAAGACAATGATTTCAGCATTCCTTTTTTTTCCTTTAAATCTTATTCTAAGCCTTTAGAACATGATTTTCTGAAACCAGTACCAAAAACCTATATACGAAGTATATAGGTCTCTGCCAGTACTTACTTTTAACTCTTTTTCCTTTAAATTTCTTTTTAAAAAAGAAAGAAAGTGAGAAAAGACTACCATTTTTATTTACGCAAATACTCTAATTTTTAAACCAAAACACATGCACATTTTAAATACATGTATACTTCAAGAAAGTGTAAATAAATAAATAGATAAATTAAACTATAACCTACAAACAAATCTGGGAGATACATTGATATTTCAAGTTTCAATCATAGGGGCTTGTCTTCCGGATTGTTAAATGTCAAATAAATTAACAAGATTTTAAATCTACTTTAAATACACTTAAAAAGTCAAAAATGCCATGTTTAAGAAAACGTACCACACCTATATACATGTACAGAGTCTTTTTAGAAGGTAGGGGATTGCAATAATCAGTAATATTTGTATCTGCTTAGTACTATACATGTATATCTGGCAGTCGTCTATAAAATACACATTTTTCAACCTTATAATTCTTGTTTTAAATCTCTCAAAGGATTAATTATCAAAACATAATTCATTTTTAATTGTACTTTGGGTGCTCTGTTTCCATTTCTGTCGAGGATAAAAGAAGTGAATATGCACATTTTACTGATAATTTTTCAGCACATCTTTTTGTGAACATTAACTTTTCAAACCTTGTGTATAATTCAAGCATTTAATATAAAAAACTGTATTCAGAAAAACCCACTAAAAATATTGATTATTTAATCAATATTTTTCAGTGGGTTTTTCTAAGCACAAATTTTAACGGCTTTATTAAAAATGTGAAAACTTATCATGAATGAACATTTTCTTTTTAACATGTAAGCAAGTTTATCACTATAAGCTCTCAGTGGCGAATATGAACATTTTTCTGATAAATTTATCAGCATGAGTTACCCATTGTTTTTTGATATATATAAATATATTCACAACTTAATGTGTTATCAGTTGCTTTACCATGCCCATCCACATCAAAGCTTTTTTTTTTTTTTTTTTTTTTTTTTAACATCGGGTTCGATGTCATAAAGAGTAGACCCAGGACTGATGAAAACTATTTGCATACCGTATTTCTTTTTTAAAATCAGTTATCACAACTTATTTCTTTTATATCATTTGAGTGATGTTTCACTGAATAATTCGTTAGTGAAGTTTTATCAAATGATTAAACAATTACTTTTGTCAGTTTCATTAAAAATTGCCAGTGACTTAGATCCGCCAACCGTAACCACCACCGTACTCTCTTTTTTTTTTATTTCTTTTTTGTTTGTTTTTGCTATATATTTCACGACTTTTTATCGAAAACGAAAGTAGACTTTAAATTAAACTTGCGAAAATTACTATGCGAATGAAATCCATATAAAGTATACGAACATCACCTGTAAAAGGAGTTAGTATGAACTCTGAGACAGGCGTCTCGGAGTTATACCTGTATACATCTTATGGTATATGATGCGTCATGGTCCCATCATCAGGTGGATCCTCCTTCAACGGTTTTTTCGGCGTTGTCCACTACAACTTCCAGAGGTACGCCGACTTGGGCGTACCCAAGTCCCAGCCCGGAACCACTCAGCTCTCCGCCTTCACTGCAACACATTGAATATTCATTCACTAACACATAGATTCTTAGTGTTGCACTTTCCACTGCTCTTCTCGCTTCTTCCTCCACATGGATGCCATTTCTGCCTCTCAGCCCAGGCGTCCAATGAGTTGCCGTCTCTCAGTGCCTGTTACACCAACAATCTGCAAGGCCCTCCACATAGATTGCCCTACAAATCTAAGGCATCCAACTTCCACTGGGAGACACCATACTCTCCAGCCCCGTTGTTAACAGTCTGCAACCATATCCTTGTACTTACTCATTTTCAGTGGAAGTTGGCTTCCTGGGCTTCTTCAATTCTGTCCTCCCACGGCACCGTAAGTTCCAGTAGAATAACAAGCCGGGCTGCAGGAGACCAAATAATATCTGGTCTCTGGTTGGTAGATGCTATTTCCCATGGGGTTTATTTGCAAAATTTATTAATTTATAAGCATAGATACGTTTCTTGACTGCATGTTGCATCGTTGCCCGTTCGAATTCGAGCTATTTAAAAAGCACGATTTGATTAAAAATGAAATGTTGAGGTTTTCTGATGTAGTACATTATTATGAGACATATATTATTTCCGTTTGTTTCTCAGACATAATCAACGTTGTCTACGATGTTACAACTTGCCCCAAGGAGGTTGAGAGGATGTTGCTTTCATGCGTTTTTGTTTTATTTTTTAAATCTATTAATTGATCTATTTGTGCTACTATTAAAAAGTTTTCAAATTGTTGTGAATAAATTGCATTGAATGTTGAATATATGTACCCTGGACAAATAAGAAGCGATTAGATTTTGAGACTTTGCATTCAGATACCAAATAAGAGGAACTGAATGGATGAAAATGTATAAATTTAAATTATCAACAAAACCAGCCAATACCTGTGGAAAATTTTATAATACAATGTATTTGAATAGATGTATACACATTTGAATAGGAATGTTACAGCATATGTCATTTATAAAATATTATGATTTCTTTTATACTACTAGTATTTTCTATAAGAACAACAGATAAAAATTTGTAAAATGATATTCAGAATGTTTCGTAGAGACAAGAAAACGAGACAGTCATACATATAAGTTCTTATAAGGTTTACTTTGAAGAAAAAACAAAACAAACAAGACGTGCTGTGAAACGCTCCCGTATGGCAGCTCATTACAAAAGCTAAAGTTTCTCAAATGCAAGTCCATCTCCAAGGTCAAGAGATAAAAAATGTTGGTCCTTATCCAAGGAATACACCTAAGAAATATGAAAGCCCTAGCACCAACTGTTTAAAACTTATGAACAAGGTGAAAGTTTTTCAAAAGTAGGTCAAACTCCAAGGCCGAGGTCAAAGGGTCAAAACTAATGGTGTCCAAGGGGAGGTCTTGTTACAAGGAATACAACTGAGAAATATGAAAACCCTAGCACAAACTGTTAAAAAATTATAGCCATGCAAGGTTAAAGTTTTTCAAAAGAAGATAAAATTCCAATGTCAAGAATAAAAGGTCAAAACTGTTGGTACCTAAAGAAAGGACTTGTCACAAAAAATACACATACGGAATATGAAAGCCCTAGCACCAACTGTTTAAAACGTATGACTAAGGTTAAAGTTTTTATAAAGTAGGTCAAACTCCAAGGCCGAGGTCAAAGGGTCAAAACTAATGGTGTCCAAGGGGAGGTCTTGTTACAAGGAATACAACTGAGAAATATGAAAACCCTAGCACAAACTGTTAAAAAATTATAGCCATGCAAGGTTAAAGTTTTTCAAAAGAAGATAAAATTCCAATGTCAAGAATAAAAGGTCAAAACTGTTGGTACCTAAAGAAAGGACTTGTCACAAAAAATACACATACGGAATATGAAAGCCCTAGCACCAACTGTTTAAAACGTATGACTAAGGTTAAAGTTTTTATAAAGTAGGTCAAACTCCAAGGCCAAGGTTAAAGGGTCAAAATAAAATGTGCCCAAGGGAAGATCTTGTCCCAAGGAATACACTTCTAAAATGTGAAAGCCCTAGCACCAACCTTTCAAAACCTATGACCAAGGTTAAAGTTTTTCAAAAGTAAGTCAAACTCCAAAGACAAGAATAAAAGGTCAAAACTGTTGGTTACCAAGGGAAGGTCATGTCACATGGAATACACATGCAAAATATGAAAGCTCTAGTACCATATGCATCTGTTTAAAACTTTGGCCAATGTTAAAGTTTTTCGAAAGAAGGTCAAACTTTAAGGTCAAGGGGTAAAATAAATGGCAAAGGGAAGGTCTTGTCACAAGGAATATACCTTTGAAATATGAAAGCCCTGGCCGTTCCAAAGTTATAAAGGTTAAAGTTTTTCAAAAGTAGGTCAAACTTAAAGGTCAAGGTTAAAGGATCAATTAAGTTGGTACCGAAAGAAAGGACTTATCACAAGTAATACACGTGTAAAATATGAAAGGCATAGCTCCAACCAATCAAAAGTTATAGTCAAGATTAAAGTTTTTACGGACAAACTGATAATCAGACATACAGATGGACGGACAGAGTAAAAATTGTATGCCCCGAATTTTCGATTACTGGGGCATAAAAACAAAAGCAAAAACCCACTGCACCTCTCTGTATATCTCACCACGATGTTAACAATGTTGTACTATTCACAAAAAGTTTATATTCAAGAAGGATCAGCTGAACAAAAGTATATTGTGGGACTATGTGTTAAAGGGGCCAGGACACAGAGTTGAAGTTAATATTTTCTCAAATTTTCTGCATGATATTATGACTTATATGTTGCAATAGCATTTCACACGGAAATATAATAAAAGCATGTTCAGAAACTTCCATTGAAACTACGAATTTCGGGACGCGTTTAATTGACACATCCTTGCACTTTCACAAAGTAAATTTTATCCTTAATACTTAAGAAAAGTAGAAATTTTGTTGTGTATTTATGAAAAATATTTAAACTATAATCCAGAAAATTCAGATTAGAAATGTGAGAAAGCAAAACCAACTCGCCAGTATTGCCAGTCCGTGCTCAGTGATGTGAGCAAAGTTTAACAAATTGAACACACCAGGTGAAACGTAAACATTAACAATAACAGAGCTCGTGCCCTGTTTACTAAAACGTGATGTAAAGAAGAATGTCGTTGTCATTGAATTCTAA